TTTCGATTCCCACTCCCAGCCAACATTGGTGACGAATATCTGAACCGGTCGGTGGGCCTCCTCTAGGTTGACTCGGCCTTAAATGGGTACCCTGTGTAGTGTGTAAACATCAGCGCTGAGAGGACAGAGGCGGCCGGGCGTTGTGCTGGCCACCCATCCCCTTATAGGTGCTCGAGAAGAGCACTTGCCTCTCAAAGTCTGTTCAAGGCTAAGGGGCCGTCCATAAATGACGTCACGCACCTAGGGGGTGGGTCAGACATTTGTGACGAGTGGGGGGGGGGGGTTGAGAAATGTGACCGTCACATCAAAATGCGCTACTTTAAATAAATATAGACAACACGTTCTACTTAATTAAATAGACTTTTTAATAAATGTTTTCTCCTACAACATCAGAGTGCAGTGGCACATTAAATACGCACTACAATGGCAATAGTTTAAAGCGACTTGAAGCATGTTTTATTTGGGGGGGGGCAGAGCTTTGTGACGTCATGTTTGAGGGGGGGTCTGACTTTTTGTGACGCCGTGTGACAATGGGTGGGGGGGGTCAAAAATCGTCCAAAATCGCGTGACGTCATTTATGGACGGCCCCTAATACTCTGGATCTTTGGATGGCGGGCAAAACGATAACAGCTCAGTGGTTCGCGCACTGCACTACAAATCCGATCACCCGAGTTTCAATCTCTACCACGGCTAACCGATCATTTGGCGACCGACATATGAACAGGTCCTGGGGCCGCCTCTGCGATACAAAGAAAACGGACGTGTCCGTGGGACTAAGACTACGTAACAACACCTGAAGAGGGGGGGAGGGGAAGGGCGCGGGGGAGGGGAGAACGTGCACGTGCATCATCTTCCAGTGGTGCAGTGCGATTACGCAACTGCCAAACAAAGAAAAAAAAACCCGGAACTTTGAACGTCAGCAGCTATCTCAGAGATGTCGGCGACAAACCTGCTGCACGGGGAGTCAGTCGCACGCGGTTCTGTTTCGGGACTGGTCTTCGTGACGTCATGTATTAGGGACTCGACGTTTCGTAGCCACATTTGCATTGCGAGCACCTACGGACGTGAGGACGGAACACGAGGGGGGGGCGTGGCCAGAACCATGCACCGACCACGCCTGCGTCCCTTGTTGTTATTTTGGTTTCCGATCCCTGGAGCGATCTCGACAACAAAGACGATCCTGGGGAGAAACTAAGACCTGGTGGCAACCCCACCTGGGCTTTCCGGCATGCGGTTGGAGAGCATTGGACGAACGTTGACGCAACGTTGCGCGTCTTCTACTGGGGTGCCTGGCGTGGTGTGTAAACATGAACACTGGAGATAGACACCCACACCACCTACACCACCACTCCCGCTCGTGAGCCGTGACGCGGTCTGGATAGGTGCTCGCCAATGGCACGTGTCGTGAAAAGGCCCGCATGGCGACATCTCTGTGTTTGTTCTGATGGAGGCGTTTGGCACCGTCTGCACCGTGTGTGTGTGTGCGTGTAGATGATTTGTGTAATGGGCTGTAGAGACCTGTATAGTTGCAGGTGTACGCTTTATTGCGCTTTGGTTAACCACGTGAGAACCTGGCTCACCAAAATGACAAACGCGACATGTACGTTGACCTTCTTTCGCACCGTACGTAGCCAACCGCGCTAGAGATCACATGTATAGTATGTAGAACTTCTTTCGCTCCGTACGTGGCCAACCGCGCTAATCCGAGATGCGAGGGAAGGACAACAAACAGAACACAAGAAGCTGACCTCAAGAGATGGGTTTTCGATCTGGTTGTAGGCAACGTACAACAGTGAAGCGACTGAAACTCACGGCATGTACCAATATACGCGCGTGCGTGAATGACGGTGAGATGGATTTGTATATTCAGCATTCTGTACGCAGGTGATTTGTGTATTTGCTGTGCAATATGAACCAGGATAAAGGTGAACAGCGGTGGTGACGTCTATTGCAGCGGGTCTGGGGTCAACCAACAGGTCATGTGTGTTGTACGTACGTACGTTGAACGTCTTTCGCACCGTACGTAGCCAACCGCGCTAATCGAAAGTGCGGGGGAAAGGAAAATGAATGATGCTGATTGTGTGCCTTTACTGCCTGGTCTAATATTCTGGTACAAGCTAGGTGTGGTTGATTGTGTAGTGGACTGTAGGTGCGTGTTTTGTTTCGCGTGTGTTGTGCCGCGTACACGTTTCACGTGTGGGGAGCGGTGGCGCGGTGGTCGGCGTTACTTCGGTACGAACGCGGGCCCCGCCACCTACGTTCGATTCCCAGTCCACGGCTATCCATCATTGGCGAGTGATACCTGAACCGAACCTGGGCCTCTACCCTCCACCCACCCCCCCTAAGATCGACGCAGCCTCAAGAGGAGCACCTGGCGCGCTGCGTAAACATCAGCGCTGGTGAAGACAAAAGGTGGCCGGGGGTGTGGTGCTGGCCACCCACCCCCCACCTCGTGTGCCGTGCCGTCCCCTCCATAGGTGCAACTCGCTAACAGCCCCAGCCCCAAAAGTCTGTTGAAGACTATACGGGGGGCGGATCTATGTATTTGAATTGGGGATTGTGTTGTTTTTCCGTGCACTCGATTACGTGGGCAGTTGGACACGTAGTAGGCTTTCGCGACCAATAATAGTACAATGTTTTGGGTTAGATTGCGTAAATATAAATGTGTCGTTAACACACCACTACCCGACACAGCCAATGAGTAAGGGTTGTCACGAAAACAAAATTACGTCAACCGACAACATCATCCATTGTAATGTATGACTACGTTTATCTTCCCCTGTGATATTTGCACCTAGTAGGCTCACAGTGATGACATAACCTTTACTCTATTTAAGACCGAAACAGGAATACTTCTTTACAAGTCTGACAAATCGCCTGATGAAGCTGGTTATAATCACCAGTGAAACGTCGTGCTCGATTCGTAAATGTTTGTGGGTTAACTATACCAGTGTGTTGAAGTAATAACTAATGTGCACGTCTTGTTTACGTGCAAAACCCTTAATCGGCCAAAGTGTTTAGATGTCAGCAAGGCTGTCCATGGGGGGTTGAAGGGCCCGGGGGAAGTCACGCTGTGTGACCCCCCCCCCCCCCACCGGCCTTCAAACTAAAACGTAAGAATTACATCTGACACCGCGTGCCATCGAAGCGCGGGGCCCGGGACGGTCGCCCAAATTCGCTGTACCCGAGAGACAGCTCTGGGTGTCAGTGTGTGTGTGTGATTGGGGATTGGTGTATATTATTATTTTCCACGTCCACACCGGGATTGTACACGCGTGTGTTGATGTGTATCGCTTATTGAGGCACACCATGTGTGGGTGGTGAGGTGAACGTGTCCTTCCAGTCCCTTGTGCAGTTCGTGCAGGAATTTGTTTTACTGACCTGGCACGCATCTCTAAGTTATATACATCCCTACATTACACACAACCATCCCTTACACATATCCCAACATTACACACATCCCTACATTACACACATCCCTACATTATACACAACCATACCTTACACACATCCCTACATTACACACAATCATCCCTTACACATATCCCTACATTACACACAACCATCCCTTACACACATCCCAACATTACACACATCCCTACATTACACACATTCATCCCTTACACACATCCCTACCGTACACACAAGCATACATTACACACAAGCATACATTACACACATCCCTACATTGCACACAACCATACCTTACACACAACCATACATTACACACACCCCTACCTTACTAACATCCCTACATTACACACAACCATATCTTACACACAACCCTACATTACACACAAAGCCTACCTTACACACAACTCTACGTTACACGGATCCATCCCTGCGTAACACACATCCCTACATTAAGCAAATTCCTACATTACACACATCCCTACGCTACTTACCAGAGGTGTGGACTCGAGTCATGTGACTTGGACTCGAGTCAGACTCGAGTCATGAATTTGATGACTTCAGACTCGACTTGGACTTGCATAACAATGACTTTGTCCCACCTCTGAGGTGTGGACTCGAGTCATGTGACTTGGACTCGAGTCAGACTCGAGTCATGAATTTGATGACTTCAGACTCGACTTGGACTTGCATAACAATGACTTTGTCCCACCTCTGCTACTTACATCCCTACCTTACACATTCCTACGTAACATACGACCTTACATTACAAACCGCTAAAACGTCGGTTGTTGTTAACCACCTCCTGAAATGCCACACTCGCGCTACGAGAGCCAGATTTACCACTGGACAACAACTTTTTAAATTCCTGTGAATTGGTACTCGGCTTATCCACCCCAAAACTATGTCGTTGACAATGATGATCACGGTAGTGGTGGTGATGTGGTGATGATACAGTTTGTGAGAAAGAAGCGGTGCAAAGCCGGTCCGGTTACATATGCACACATAGACCCCAGTCAAATCAAGCTGATTTGTTCAAGCACGTGAGAATTTAAAGAGACCAGCATAGTCTAATTGCGACAGTGACCAGGGTATAACGATGTTGATGACGGTGATGCTTGTGATGCTGATAGTGATGATGGTTACGGGGCTGATGAAGCTGGTGACGATGTTCAAGAGTTTGATGATGTTGATGAGGAAGATGAAAGTGGTGATGAGGTTGATGACGGTGGTGATGATTACGATGGCGAGGTTCATGAAGTTGGTAATAATGAGGCTGATTACAGTTGTGAGTGAAGAGGTTGATGACGATGATGATGTTGAAGTTGGTGAGAAGGTTGATGATGACGGTGATCAAGTTTGTGGCGATGATGTAATTGACGATTAGCCTGGGCGGGATGACGAGTCACGCTGGCATCGTCACCCATCCGGGTCTAAGACCTCACTTTTTCTCCAGGCGCGAGGCTGAGATTGGAACCCACACCTCCCCACACACCTGTGTGTGTTAGGCGCACGCTATCATACAGCGCACCCACACACGCTCACGCCTGTGAACGTGTACCTCGCCGCGCTCTGTCCCCGCAACTCACCCACAGCTCCATGCCCCAGCTCATGGTGGCGGTGGCGGAGGCCGCGGCACGGCGGCTGAGAACGAGCGCGGAGGATAAGAAGGAGAATAAAATCAAATAAACACGAGCACAGGATAAGGAGGATGAGGAAGCGCAGAATGTGGCTCACGCTCGCTCTCTCGCTGGGACACGACGCTCCGCCCCCTACTAAGCCCCCCCCCACTCCGCGACCAGGGGGAGGGGCTTCCAATGCAGGTGTTGGGGACACGACGAAGCACCCTCCTCCGGGACCAGGGGGAGAGGCTTCCAATGCAGGTGTACGGGACATGAGGCTCCACCTCCTTAAGCACCCCCCCCCCTTCTCCGGGACCAGGGGGGGGGGGGGCTTCCAATGCAGGTGTGGGGGACACGAGACTCCACCCCCTATTAAGGACTAACCCCTTCCGCGACCAGGAGGAGGAGCTTCCATTCCAGGTGTGGGGGATATGAGGCTCCACCCCCTTAAGCAACCCTCTCCTCCGGGACCAGGGGGAGGGGCTTCCAATGCAGGTGTGGGGGACATGAGGCTCCACCCCCTTAAGCAACCCCCCCCTTCTCCGGGACCAGGGGGAGGGGCTTCCAATCCAGGTGTGGGGGACATGAGGCTCCACCTCCTTAAGCACCCCCCCCCCCTTCTCCGGGACCAGGGAGAGGGGCTTCCAATCCAGGTGTGGGGGACATGAGGCTCCACCCCCTATTAAGCCCCCCCTTTCGCGACCAGGAGGAGGGGCTTCCAATCCAGGTGTGGGGGACACGAGACTCCACCCCCTATTAAGGATCCCCCCCTTCCGTGACCAGGAGGAGGGGCTTCCAATGCAGGTGTACTTCGTTGGATGTGGTGCAAATGCAGAGATTTAAAAAAATCTACACGTTCGTCAATAACACCGCCTTAACGGAACAGATATATTAAATAGCGGCTTTTTGGGCAATGACCAGGAGGCGGGGTGTGAAATACAGGTGTATGGGAAACGAGGCTCCGCCCTCATACGAATATGGTGGAAATTACACATTCGTATGGCAGGACCAAGTACTCCATGGGACAATTGTTGACTTTCCACAAATCGGTACTCCTTTTATGAAACCCGGACGGCTTATTGGGTTAAGCTGAAACCCTTATGTTGAGGAGTACGTTGCACTAATCGTGGTGGGGTAGATTATTAATAGGTACCGTGAGATGGGATTATACATTAACAAGCCTAAATAAAGTCTTAGGATTTGGATGGATGTTGCGATCAGCCAGCGTACAGGATCCCACTGCTGTGCAAAGTTTAACCCTTACCCTGAGCTTACATAAGAGAAACCTAATCACATTTAAACTAAACTTTTTATTTTACCAGGTAAGGCCCACTGAAATATATAGCCATTTTTCAGACCCCACTGGCCACAAATTATCATGTGAAAATGTATAGCAGTCACATACTCTAAACGCACGTTTCTAAATGTGGAGCGAAAAACCGGAAGACCCGGAGAAAAATCCACGCGACCAAGGGGAGAACATGCAATCACCTCACGCATCCGCCTGTGACTTGACCAAGGTGATTCATGCAAATTAGGCCTGGTCTATTGAGTTTTCACCCGGTTAAATAGATAATCTAAGCCTCTATTTAAGGAACGAAACAGGAGTACTTCTCCACAAATCTGGCTGTACTCAGATTGTAAATGTTGTGGCTTTGCTCTTCAAAACACCCGTGTGCTGTACGAGTAACGAATTGGCACGTTCTGTTTAAGTGACAAACCTTAGTAATTGGCTGTATCGGGTGGTGGCGGGTTTAGCTACACATTTATATACTTATACATACATGATCTAACCCAAAAAAAACTATATTATGGATAAACAGATGAACTTGACTTATCTTTCGATTTAAATTTCGATTTAAAGCTTTCGTGACTGCAGGGATTCATATTCTTGGATCTTTCGGTAAAGTCACGTAGAAGGGAAATAATACAATAATGAAAATAAAACGTAATAAAATTCTCACGACGTTCGGCCACAACGCAAGCAGCCGTCCTCAGGTGAAGAACAGAGCTGTCGGGAAGACAGCGTCCTAATGAACACTGCTTAGCTTGGCAGCGTATTTTAAGCTGGGTGGGAGGAGCAGAGCGCCTTGACAAAGGAGTTTACATATCAACAGAGGAATTTAGCATATTGACGCTAAAGAACTTAACTTATGAGCATATCTGTATTAGTATCGCGTGTTGTGCCAAAGTCACATCTCTCTGTACGATGGGTGACCGGGCCTTTCCTCGTGTGGCCCCCAAGCTGTGGAATTCACTTCCATTGGACGCTCGCTCTATTGACTCCCTCGCATTACTCGAATCGCGCCTTGAGACACAACTCATGTTTAAGGGCTTTTAATCGATTTCTTCACTCCTTTATTTTTGGGGTTAGATTTGATTGGTGTGAGCCTGCCCTGTGCGTGTCTGTTTTGTAGTGTCTTATAACCTCCCGGTGAAAACACCCATACGCCTCGGTAATTTTGCTGGAGCAGTCGACACCTGATGACGGTTGCTTGTGTTGCTTCCGAAACGTCGTGATTTAATTTATTTGTTTTCATTTTAATTTATTTTATATATTGTTACCTACGTGACTTTACCGAAAGAACCAAAGAGTATAGTGTAAATTATAGATTATTTATAGCATCAATGTAGTTTAGCCACGTTACACTGTATAAATAGGGATATCATATTAAGGTATTACTCTTCTGATTATAATCGGTTCGATTACTTGACTAATTAGATAACATGACATAATTGGGGAGGGGGATGTCACCTGTGTTCCCACGTGTGCCAACTGGACAGGCTGCGATGAGCCGGGCTTTGCATCGGCATCATCAACCGCATGACACTGGGCATGGCGTGTAGGGGTTTCTCGCCTTCAGGAGGCAATGGGGAGGCGGGCGCCATTTTGTGTGTGAGTAATCAACCATAACTAAGTTATATGATTACAATTTCAGTCGATTCATCGACTTAAGTGCCTAATCGTCTTAGCTCTATGTGGAACAGTTTTGTTGTTAATATGATAATACGTGTGGTGCGGCCCTGCTGTGTGCTTGCAAAATACAATAGTACAGTAATACCCCGGTTTAGGTCGGGAATACGTTCCTGAAAGGTGCGGCGACGAATATCAAGGCGATGTAAATCAAAGCAATTTACAGAGAAGCTGGAGGCGAAGGCTGAGGCGACGGATACCATAAATTACGGATGCTCTCAGCGACATAAGTGTGGGTTGAGGCGACGCAAATCAAGTAGTGGGTATTAATAAATTGACGACATATTTGCGAAACTACGTAAAAGGGGGTGACGTAAATCAGGATATTTCGTAATGTATCATTTAAAAAATGCCCTATATCCAATAAATCATTGAGTGTCAAGACTTTTTCAGGGGCCTTGCATTGGGATGTTTGGTCAATTGCTTTAAAGTATGTTTTGTTAACCTACAGGGAAATTATTTGGCAAGAAAACACTACAATGATGATTACGAATCCTCGTTGCAGTATCCCAGCAAACATGTAACGTTGGACATTCTTAGTACAACGTCAACCAACGTTGGCCCAACATTGCATGTTACCGGGATGTTTTTTATACGCTGCAGGACAAACATTAATACCAGGCAGGCAACGATAAAATTTCATAAAATCAATTTGCACTCCTGATTGATGGATTATAATAATGTTAAGATGCCCCGTCAGCGGTCTAAGTGACACCCTAGAAAACATGGAAAGTTGAACCAATGTTGCATGCACTTTGTCCCAACGTTGGCCCAAAGTTGCACTTTACTGGGACACTGCCATTGACGCATACAAATCTTGGAAAAGACACCAGAGTGACGGCAAATAAGTGGCATAATGGTGCACTTAACCGGAGCTTTGGAGTATCGATTCTCATTCACGAAGAATCCAAATCCTGTCCAAGAGCCCAGGATCTCACAGTAAATACGCCAACGTTGTAATTTGGTTGTGTAGGAACCGTTCGATCCACGTTGGGCCCACGTTCCATGTTTACTGGCGACACCCAGCCTCTACACTTATGCATTACACGTGTTGCTCTTTTATAGATCCAGCAGGATATTATGGTCACCACAAGATAAGCTTCGTTTCACTACACATGCTTTAAAATCAAACGTGAGAAAAGTTCGTCGTAAAAACATAAATTGTACGTAGTGATACCGAGCTGATGTCGTTGGAAACCAAACAAAACTCAAACATGGGAATAATTATAAAATCCACAAAGGTAAGCATCATATTTGGCCTGCAGTAAAGTCTCACCTTACACAGTGGGGCTTGCACAATGTTAACTATCAAAGGCCCGAAAATTATTTCAACCCGACACATCACATCCAATGTATCACTCTCTCTATAGCTGTGGCTACTGGAGACAAGTGCCTACTCCAGTCTATAAACTACAGTATTCTGTGAGATATTAAACCCTTGCTTGTAAGATATGCAAGACAAGTAAAACAACCCCCTTTGCATGACCATCCCACACCTCTGATTAGCACGGTTGGCTACGTACGGTGCAAAAGAAGTTCAACATCCATACATATTAGCAATGGCATCCCAATGAACATGGAATGTTGGGCCAACATTCCTCCAACGTTTACCACATTGGTTCTCGTCACCTGTCATTCAAATTTACGCTGTAGGCCACTACTGCGAGTGCGAAGGCGACACCACTTTGACACTTGCTAGGCTGATCAAATTTTTTGTGTAAACAATGGCAGCAGTTCATCCAAATTCTGTAATTTATTTACAAAAAAACCCTTTCACAAGGCTTTCGCTGGAAGAAATAAAAAAGATAAAGGATCTCGGACCGGACCAACCCGATTTACAAATCCAGCAGCAGGCCAGTGACAGAGGACGAAGCTACACACGAAGCTTCACCCGCGCTTGTTATGAGAAACGGAGGTGGCTGGCTGGATGTGATGTTAGCAATTCTCTTTTTTGTTTTCCCTGTCTTTTATTTCAAAGTGTCGGCACTGAAGTTTTGTGGACAACGACGAAGGTAAGAGACCTCAAACATCTCTCTGACAAATGCAAACGTCATGAAAGTAGCCGCAGCCATATTGATAATAGCATGAAACTAACGTTTTTATGTTCAAGTAGGAAACATGCTTTTTGGTACTTTGGTCTGAAATGTATATAAAAGAGAAACATTTATGTTCAAGTAGGAAACATGCTTTTTGGTACTTTGGTCTGAAATGTATATAAAAGAGAAACATTTATGTTCAAGTAGGAAACATGCTTTTTGGTACTTCTTTTGGTCTGAAATGTAAATAAAGATCATCAAAATTTATATTCAAGTAGTCAAAATGGTTTTTGGTACTGCTTTATATTTATTTGCCCCCCTCAATAAAATAAAAAAAATGCGCCCCCCCAAAAATAAATATCACCAGCCGCCACTGTTACCAACCAATATAAAAAATATATATAATGCGTATTCTAGCATAGGATCCCAATGCGCAATGCATGAAAAGCAGGAAACAAAAACAGAACCAAGGCAACCGATCAAACTAAAGAGGGAAGTCCAGTTTAAAGAGATGGGTTTTCAAAGCAGATGTAAATACATCTACCGACTCTGATTGCCTGATTTCAAGTGGCAAGGCGTTCCACAGCTTTGGTGCCACGCTAACAAAAGCCAGATCACCAAAAGAGCGCAGCCTAGACCTCGGAATGCTGAGCAGTTGGAGATCAACATATCTTAAGGACCTTGATGGAATATATAAATGTATTAGTTACTGCAAGTAATGTGGGGTGAGCCCTTTTAAAGCCTTATCGGTTAATAGTAGTAACTTAAAATCCACTCGGAATTTGACCGGTAGCCAATGAAGAGATAAGAGGACTGATGTAGTGTGCTCATGTAATCGTGTACGTACGTGTAAGCACTCTAGCAGCTGCATTCTGAACAAGCTGGAGTCGGCCCAGTGCTTTGCTCGGTATCCCAACCAGTAAGGCGTTGCAGTAGTCGAGTCGGGATGACACAAAAGCATGGACCAGTCTCTCCAAGTCAGCAGGTGACAGGAAGCGATGCATTCTGGCAATATTTCTTAGGTGGAAAAATGCATTTTAACGACCTTAGAGAAATGTGTCTCAAAGAATAATGACCGGTCAAACTGAACACCAAGGTTTCTGACCTCCCGTGTGGGACTGACATGGTGACCATCAATCAACAAACGAGACGAACCAATTTTTGAAAGATGCCGAGGGGAGCCGATGAATATGGCTTCAGTCTTGTCGGCATGTAATAGCAAAACGTTTTGCCGCAACCATGAATTCACTACAGTTAGTGATGCATATAACGCAGAAGATACTGTTGCATAGTCTGAGATTCCATTGCGAACCCAGTAAATATGGGACGTTGGTATAACGTTCCATGTTTACTGATGATTGTACCTAAATGTAAATCCCCATCAGTCCATTACCCAATGCCGGCCCTCACAATGTCATTCCAAAAATATATATTAAGCGATTTGTTTACCTTCATCCAGAAATTGTTTGCCTGGTAGGATGGGGATGGTTTCGTTTAAGTTATATGTTTTTAGAGAGATGTGTTTGCCTTTCCTGTACTTTGCACTCTTATCGTGTTTTCCCCCATTGTTTGTTGCTGTAACGTTCTAACCCCGTGCCCCTCCTGGACATGTGTGGAATAAAAAAAGATTTATAGCTCCATACCTGTCAACCCCTCATCAGTGCCTTAGCTTATTACAGGCCAATTCAGAGCGTATTGGTCACCCCGTGCCCTAATAAATCTCAACGTTCATCCGACAAAGACCCATCACAAGGAGAGAAACACAAACAAATAGACACATTTTTTCGTGTGTGCCCGTATTGAAACGTCTGTACGCCGTAAGGACCTGCAAACTCAATTTCCCTGGACAAGAATGTGGGGTTAAACTGTGCGGGTTGACAGCTATTGTAGTTCATCGGATTCCACCTACAAACAACATATTCCTATTCTACTACCACGCGGCAGCGCTCGGCTATTCATACTCTTTGGTTCTTTCGGTAAAGTCACGTAGGTATCAAATAAAAGTAATTAAATCACGACGGTTTCGATTGCAACACAAGAAATCATCATCAGGTGGGAAAACCACAGCAATTTTTTTTGCTGATGATGCTTGTGTTGAAATCGAAACGTCGTGATTTAATTTGTTTTTATTTTATTCCTACGTGACTTTACCGAAAGAACCAAAGAGAATGGATCCCTGCAGGCACGAAAACTTCAAATCTAGATTCGCTTAGCTATTGCTAGAATTCCGAGAACGGGGGGCACGACGCCGTGACGTCTTCGCCTGCGTGATGACGTCGTGACGTCTTCGCCTGCGTGATGACGTCGTGACGGCTTCGCCTGCGTGATGACGTCGTGACGTCTTCGCCTGCGTGATAACGTCGTGCCGTCTTCACCAGCGTAATGACGTCGTGACGTCTTCGCCTGCGTAATGACGTCGTGACGGCTTCGCCTGCGTGATGACGTCGTGACGTCTTCGCCTGCGTGATAACGTCGTGCCGTCTTCACCTGCGTAATGACGTCGTGACGTCTTCGCCTGCGTAATGACGTCGTGACGTCTCGCTTGCGTGATGACGTAACCAAATCGTGGCTTGTCAAGTTTTGTTGTGGGAACTGCAACATTGTTTGTTTACGCATTCAAGCGCTCGCACGCGAAACAAAACACCGGGCAGAGTTCCCAAACTCTCATTCTCCCGGGAATTTCTCGGCGCCCTGGGCTTTTCTCAAGGCGCGGAAACCAAATGACACCGGCCGTTCCGCCAGCCGCGGCCCCGCGTTCGGCAGCCGGCTCCCTCCTAGGCCTTTAGCCGAGGCCTTGCCCGCCGCCTCGCCCTCGCCTGGATTCCCTGCGGGGATTGGGTGACCCCGGCTCGGTCGAGACCCTCGGGTCCGCAAGGTGCGGGATAGGCATGGCGTGAGGCGGCGGTGAAGGTGGCAAAGGCGGGCGAAGCGAGGCGATGGCTTCTGCTACTGCCTCCTCTTCTGCTGCTGCTGTGTCCGCAGCAGAGGCGGAGCGAGGAGCCGCGGACGGTCTGGACCCCAGGATCAAGGTGCTCGATTTGGGAAAGGGTGGTTCTCACACACGCGCACGTGTTTGTGTGTTTGTATAACATCACTTGCTCCTACAGTCTTAAGTGTATTATAGGGGTGGATCTTTGCGTGTGAGTTTCTGGCATATGTCTATATTCCGATGTGTTGAGATGTAATAGATACGACAGTGTTCTTCACTAATTGTCAGATGGGGGCCACTTTCATTGATAAGACATCAGTGTGAGGTCAAATGTGAAACCGTTGGGGTTTGGCAGCATGATAGGGATTTTTCACTTTTGTATATTGTCGGGGGTGGCACTGCAGGGGCCCGAACTAAAAGGTCATCAGGGGTCGCCGGTGGCCAGCGGGCCTTGCAATGAAGAACGCAGAGATACAACGATTTACGTGACAAGCACCGATCAAATGTCGACAAAACAGTCGTATGAAGAATATACTGGGTGTGCGCCAAGTGTAATGCCGCTTCGTCTTTATTTATGAACTTTTCATCGACCTACATTTTTTTAAAGTCTTAATTTGCGAATGGCATTCTTTCCAGGAGCGTAGTTTACAATAATAATTCCATTTATATAGCGCTTTTCATCAAGGATCTCAAAGCGCTGTACAGGACACAGCAGCAGCAGACACTTAGCATAAAAATAATACTGGTAGGAACCACCTGGTTCCACCAGCCCACAGGGGATTATTGTGTCCGTCCGTCGTGCATCAAAAAATGGGAGGGGTGGGGCTGGGTGGGGAGGGGCTGGGTGGGGAGGGTGGGGCTGGGTGGGAGGGGCTGGGTGGGGAGGGGCTGGTCACCCCGTGGTGCCCTTATAAAACTCAACGTTTAACCTACTCACACCGGCTTGTGCGCGCCCTCACAGTCGGCCATATTTGCGGAATACACCACGCTGCCGTTGACCCTGGCCATTGACCGAGCAACCCAACGTTTCTACCAGCTCCCTCCGCAGGAATGTGTTGTTGCTGAGATGTATCATCCGTCATGGGGCGAAATAGATGAAAATCTGAGGTTAGCCAGGACTGGGATGTACGTTGGATGGAGGCAGAATAGTACCCCCGAACGGGTCCTGTGGTCTCTGATGTCCTCAGGCTTGCGTAAGGCTTGGCGTTATCTTGTTGTAGAATGACTTCTGCCAATCTGCAAGTCTGGACGCGTTCACCAATTACGGATTGAAAAAAATCGTCTTCAGCGTTACAATTTTTTGCAATTTCTATATTGTGTAAGAAATAAAGTGTTTGAAAGAAATGAGGCATTCATTTGAGGTATCCCTGGCGGTAACGCATTCACCGCATGTTGCAGAGGTTCATGGTTCGAGTTCAGCGGCCACCGTGGTTCATACTTGTGGGTGTCTTACCCATAAAATAATAAGTAATATTTAAAACAAACTTTTAAAAAACACGCTTTTATGAAATGTACGGTACTAGTAATGGCAGAACTCCACGACTCCAGGAAGTGGCCGCAAAGCTTGCCATAACGTAAGGGGCTGTGGTGATTTACAGCCAACGTCAGTTGAGCGTGGACAATTAGACCCAAGCCGAAACATAACATATAAAAAAGAATGTTTAAAAAATATTAATATATTTATGATAGAATATAGTATTGTCATCAGTATGACATAAGTATCCCAAATTTGCAGTCGATACCACATTGGGAAGTGGGTTAAAATTGAGTTACAAGATTTGAGGATACAACGACGACAACAACAGTTAATAATAAAATATTTAAAAATACTTTTTTTATGAAATGTACTATCCGAGCTGCCCCTGCCCCCTTCGCCCCTCCCCTCCTTCCACATTCCGCGCCCCTGGGCATGGCTCCCCGAGGCTTGCCGAGACTTAAGGGACCGTGGTGATTTACAGGCAACGTCAGTTGAGCGTGGACAATTCGAGCCGTAAAAAGATTGTTTAAAAAATATATATTTTAATGATATAATATAGTATTGTCATCAGTATGACATAGCTATACGAAGTTTGCAGTCGATACGACTTTGGGAATACGGTTGAAATTGAGTTACAAGATTTAGTTTTTTGAGGATACAACAGACGAAGTGAGTTAAATAAAAGCGTGTAATAATAAAAAGCGTGTAAATACTTAACGCTGTCCGCTTTACAGTGGAGGCTTAAGGTCCCGCGTCATCTTTTGCAAGAGCAGGCCTTCATATGCCAGCGTCAGTGTCCAGATTAAAACGACTACCAGCAAATTACTCAATTGGAATATCATTTTGCGACTGCGAAAAACTTTGCATGATCCTCCTGAAAAGGAGTCTTGAGAATCGGTGAGGCTTTCCTGGATAAACAAACATAATCGTAATAACATACTATACAGTACACGTTATTTTAAGTGTACGTTTAAAAAGGTCCAAATCCCATTCAGACGGGACATTTATTTGGCTAGAGAGACCTGCAAATACAGATTTGATAGTCTGTAAGAGAGGGGAGTTCAGTGAGGCAATGTCTTTCATTGGAGACCTGGGAAAGACATGGCTTGATCAGGTATGGAAGATAATAAAGTAATGCGTGGTAGTATGCGTCGTGCAATTTATGCATTAGGTACCAAAAATAAAAAAAAAGTATGTAAAGTATATTCTTGGTTCTTTCGGTAAAGTCACGTAGAAATAATAAAATAATAAAATTTAAACAATTAAATTCTCACGACGTTTCGATTGCAACACAAGCAATCATCATCAGGTGTGAAAAAAGTTTGATGATTGCTTGTGTTGCAATCGAAACGTGGTGAGAATTTTATTGGTTTATTTTTTATTAGTTTATTGTTGTATTATTATTATTTTATTATTTCCCTTCTACGTGACTTTACCGAAAGAATCAAGAATATGAATCCCTGCAGTCACGAAAGCTTTATATCGAAATATGTACAGTATATTAAACAAATAACTTCAGTTAAAAGATTACATCTATTTAGAGACATTCAGCAGCTTAGAGGCTAATCCCTATGTCTGAGCACTGAACCAGCACAGCTGAAAGACCCTGAGTTCAAATCCGGACAGCTTCTTGCATATAATAACACCCCTGTTCTCGATTGGAGTGAGTTGATGGGCTCATACTCTTTGGTTCTTTCGGTAAAGTCACGTAGGTGAAAAAAGAATCAAATAAAAATAGAAAATAAGAATAAAATAATAGAAATAACTAAATTAAATCACGACGTTTCGATTGCAAAACAAGCAATCATCATCAGGTGTGGAAATCACAGCTTGTGTTGCAATCGAAACGTCGTGATTTAATTTAGTTATTTCTATTTTTTTTATTCACCTACGTGACTTTACCGAAAGAACCAAAGAGTATGGATCCTTGCAGTCACGAAAACTTCAAATCTTTATGTGCTCAGCCTGGTCAGTAGTAGCTAAAGAAACAAAAACACCTTTTTACATTGGGTTTTGTACCTGGATTTTTAATGAAATGAGCTTTGAGAAAAAATTCTAGAACAGATTGTCATTGGGTGAACCACTCTTCCATACAACTAAAGTATCATGTCTTAACGGTTGAGATAGACCCCTGAATCATATCACATAAGGCCTACAACGATTTATTTTCCCACACTCAAGCATGGGGCAATGGCCATCTGAATGTTGACAGTCCTCAACCAGCAGTGAAAATTGTGTACATTGTTATGGTGTGAGCATGTCTCTGCATAGGACATCTGTGTGACTTTAGGATGATTATCCACTGTGATGAGTGAGTAGTAAAGGAGTTTGAGATACGAATGTAACAGTAAAACCTTTGATTGCGAGCATAATTGGTTCCGGAAACGTGTTTGTAATCCAAAGCACTCGTATATCAAAGCACTCGTATATCAGTTGTGATCACGTGACGCTCGGCAGACAAAGCGTATACACGTACTACTCGCATTGCAAGACCTCGCTCGTTTATCAAATTAATATTTACTTAAAAAATTTGCTCGTCTTGCAAAATACTCGCAGACCAAGTTACTCGCAATCCAAGGTTTTACTGTATAACCTCTTGTTGCAACAGCCCTTTCTTGTTCAGCAGTTCTACTGCTGTATCTTTCTACCTGATGACGATTGCTTGTGTTGCGATCAAACATCGTGATTATTTATTTTTCCGACCTACGTGACTTTGCCGAAATAACCTGCAGCCACGAAAACTTCAAATCAATATAGTGCAGTTGGAACACTGGTAGGGAAATAAAATAAACTTGAAATATGTCAAATGTTTAATTGCACGGTCTCGTCACACTGCATTCTATGCTGAAATTCACAGTGTACAGTCCTGGTCAGTCGTTGACAACGACCCTGAAAGACTGAACCACTTCCCTCGTGTGCGTGTGCAAACAAGGGACAGGATGTGAACCAAAGGGAGGAGAGACAATGGTTAGAAAACAAACGCAGTGGGAGGCTGAGGAAGAACAGCAAGATGATTGTGTGTACTTGTGCTATGGCTGCATATGGTTACTCATAGCTTGTACAACTACATGCGCAGTCCATTGCACGGACAGTATTAGCAATTATGGATATTTTACTCTCTTTTTTCGAATCCCACTCGAGGGTCAACTCGGTCCATGCTTCCTCTGAGGTCGATAAAATAAGTAACATTTTCTGGGCAGTCAGTAATGTTTTTCACCGGGAGAGACTGGTCCCTACCATGGGAATTGAAAACTCATTTCTTTAGAACTCCTTTTTATGCTAAATTTGTTCTCCCCCCCCCACACCTCCGATGAGCACGGTTAGCTACATATGGTGCGAAAGAAGTTCTACATACATGCACACGTTATAACTGGCATGGGGCTGCCAATAGAGACGAGCACCATCCAATTTCTTGTTTTAGCAGGGAAACAGACTTTGGTTTGATACAAAACTGGGCTCAAGGAACAGAACAGATAGACTGTTGATTATAAAGACTGCGGGGGCGGTGACTGTGCCCTCACTTTCATTCATGCCGCTTCCCCATCCCACAACACAGTTTCCACTCAAACGTGTGTCTTTTAACCCTCGCTCAGAAAGCCAAGGAGGATATCAATTGGGGGCTCAGTGGCAGACAAGTGCCCATGGGGCAAATACTTGTACAGATTTGCACAAGAGGGGACCCAAAAGCCACACTGTTAATCGCTGCCCTTCTCCCTCTCTTTCTCACGCACCTTTTCCAGGAGGAACTGGAGAAATTAAACCAAGCAAGTGAAGAAATCAATGAGCTGGAAGTAAAACTCACAGTAAGTCAACGTCGTCTGAGTTCAATTCTCAGTCGTGCCCAACAGTGATGGTTGAAATCTGAACCGGTCCTGGTCGCAACCGTTCAAAAATGTGTACTAACCTATGTGGTGTGAGCCCTGGGGAGCCCTTCATCGAGAAAATGATTGACAACAGGTAGCAAATTATTATATTATTTTAGATGCATGCTTGCAGCATGTCTCCCCACAGACGTGTAGAGGCACGCACAATGCTCACTTGGTCCAAGAGTTGAACCGGTTTAACCGTTTTCAGTATTATGATTACCGAGTTGTCTTGTTTTGCATTAGGGACTTGTATTTGTACCACAACGTTTATGAGCGTGTGTTTGCTCAAACGAGCATGCCGCAGTGCCAATTTTATTTGGCGGCCGTGAGCCAGTGGGGGAAATTGCACATAACCATGGTAGGGACCAGGCTGTCCACATGACAAGCACTGTTGGCTGTGTACAAAGTGGTACTCGTTTAATTAATTATAGGGGGTGATGGGCTAAGTTGAACTCACGCGGGGTTGTGAATTCACAAAGTTCCCAAGGTGAGACGATCGTTTAGGCATAACGCCACCTGGTCAATAAAATTACCATTGCAGTTACAGTGAGAAGTTGTAGTTGGTCGTAAATGCAGCAGTTACTGAACCCAATTAAAATGATTCAGCCAAGTTACAGCAGTGAGGTGAGCAATATTGGGCAAGCAAAGACTTAATTATCTGGACCCCTTGGCACTTGGCGGACACCCTAATGATGCTGTTATATTCCGTAATTTTCAGCATCATGTGTGTAAGTTTGCTTGTGTGTATCTCTACATGTGTGTGTGTCTATAGAGTGAGTTCCACTGCACGTGTGTGTGTATTCATTTACATGTGATTGGGTAACTATATGCTTGGGTATATATATATGCACGTGCGAGAATGTGTACTCACCCATGTGTATATGCGTGTCTGTTTAAATATAGACTTAAAGCTTTCGTAACTGCAGGAATTCATATTCTTGGGTCACGTAGATAGGTTAAAAGAAAATAACAAAAAAAGAACCAAAAACTCGGACGTTTCGATCGCAAAACAAGCGGTTGTCTGCAGGAAAAGGAAGACGACCGCTTCTGTTGCGTTCGAAACGACGTAGTTTTTTGTTTGTTATTTTCTTTGTACTTATCTATGTTATGCTATGGGTCTTTTGGTTAAGACACGTAGATAGAAAAATAATAAAAATATCACGACGTTTCGATCACAACACAAGCAATCGTCCTCACGTGAAGAACCTTGTAAACGCCTTATCGTTGCACAACCTTATTACAGACCAATTCAGACCTCGACTTAAAGCTGCCGTGACTGCAGGAATACATATTCTATGGGTCTTTCGGTAAAGCCACATAGATAGAAAAATAATTAACAAAAATATCACGACGTTTCGATCGCAACACAAGCAATCGTCTTCAGGTGAGGCTGATTGTGTTGCGATCGAAACGTCGCGATATTTTTATTATTTTTCTATCTACGTGGCTTTACTGTAAGACCCATAGAACATGTATTCCTGCAGTCACGAAAGCTTTAAGTCAACATCTATCTAGTGACTTTACCGAAAGACCCAAGATAATACGTGTCTGTTTACTTGGGTGTTTGTCTGTGAGTAGGGGGAGGAGATGCGTGTGTCCAGACCTGCATGCGTGTGTTGACGTGTGTGCTCAGTGCACCTTTGTTCTCACAGCTCGGCATGCCAGTGTGTGTACGTTTCAACGTGTGCCCGTGTTCGCCCCCAGGCTACCAGAGCTGAGTACTGCAGGGTTCTGTCTGAATCGGCCAAGAAGCTAAATGTGTGCGCAACGAAGTTGGGCAGCTGTGTGGAGCGGGCACGGCCTTATTATGAAGCCAGACGGCAAGCCAAAGAGGTCAGTATTTTGTCTGCAGGTGTGTATGTAAAGGCGTCTGTGTGTGTTTATTTGAACTGGTCCTCCCCTTGGTCGACTGAGCCTCAAAAGAGTTCCTGGTACGGTTTGTAAACATTGGAACTTGGGAGGCAAATGCGGGCGGGCGTGGTGTTGGCCACCTAGTGTGCCTTGCCAACCTTCACAGGTGCTCGCTAACAGCACTTGCGTCAACAGTCTATTAAGGCTTTACGAGGGATTTTTGTCTTCATTAAGCCTTCAAAGTGCACTTGGCACAGGTGCCGTGGTGACGTCACCGTCACTTAGTGGCAAATGGCGGGTATTGGTATTGTTAAAGCTCCGAGACGTGCCTGGCAGAGGTCGCAATCGGGTACCCGATACCCGTACCCTACCCGATACCTGGCTACCCGTACCCTTACCGACCGGGTACGGGTAGCCGTTTGCGACCCTGGTGCGGCCGGGTACGGGTACGGGTAGGCCGTGAGTCACTGGTGAGTAACCGTTTGTCACTCATTTCCCAACGTCTTGTCTCTTCTCACAATTCAAATTCCTAGAATCAACCCATCCGCGCCTGCTACATGGCTTCATCCCAGAGGTCGCAATCGGGTACCCGATACCCGGCTACCCGTACCCAGCCGGGTATCGGGTACCCGTTTGCGACCCTGGTGCGGCCGGGTACGGGTAAGGAATCAAAACCCGTTTGCGACCTCTGGTGCCTGGTTTGGCTGAGACAGTCCCGGTTTAAGAAAAGTTGTCCTTGTGTCTAAAAGCATTTGCCAAAAATTGGGACATTGTCCCACTTTCTGATTATCTGGCCTCATGCTCGGCTCATGATGCGGGCAAAGGTTTGAAGCTACCTGAGTAGTGGGTGGGGTTGGCAAAGGAGTGAGCTTAGCAATGTAAAAGTGGGTGGGGCTGAAGGAAAGGGGCTGCCATCTCACCATGTGTCCTCCACTACAATCACGCTGACTGGACTTGGATTTCTGGATATTCTTGGCCTCTCCTCGATACATTCAGCCTTAAATGTGTCGTGGGTTGAATAACTAGAAGAGAGCTTCTCTGAGGCAACACAGTTTTTATTTAACAATTAACACAGAGAGGTAACGGCCCCTCACACCCGATAAACTATGGAGGTTACTCTCCAGACTAATACGCCTCTTATTGGCTAATCTACAAGTCCTCCCTGAGTGAAGCTTGAATCTTCACTGGTATATAAGCTGGAGCCGACCCTTGCCAGGGGTACGGCTCTGCCCTTGAGGCTCTTCAGTCTTCAGGAGGCTTCTTGCCTTCAGCTGGACGACGACTGCCGGGACCGTTCAGAGGTCCGGCTTTTATAGAGAGCCGTGGCTCGCTCTGCCCCGGCCACGCCTTCCTTCTCGAACCTTCGAGAAGGATCCGGGGATGATGTCCTCCCCCAGCCCCCCCTCCTGGGGTCTGGGGTCTGCCCCTTTTACATACTGTTACATAGGGTAACCGTTGGGCGCTATGGCCCATCGACTCTCAGCATTTGGGCTCAGCCCCTTTGTTGCCCCTTATTGCCCTGTGGCCGGTATTGCCGGCAACTGCATGGGAACGGCGCATCTTGGCCCAATAACAGCGTTACAAATGCATAGGAGATATGGTGTGCCGATGTCAGTGCTGTGAAGCTAAAGGTTTTCGGGTATAGAGTCGTGCTTACCTTAAAAGGTATTACGTCCTTTAAGGCTAAACTGGAGATCTTAGTTTGTATCCAGACATTGCCGCCACATAGTGCCGATTGGCAGCTGTCTTTGTTGTCTATGGATGTGTGTTTTGGTGTATTTGGGTCAATAGAGTTGACTGCGCGGATTAGATAACCTACACAAGTTATAGATATCAAATTGACCATTAATCGATCCAGCCTGGCAGCAGTTTGTATCCAGACATTGCTGCCACTTAGTGCTGATTGGCAGCTGTTATTATTGTCTATGGATGTGTGTTTTGGTGGTTTTGGTGTATTTGGATTAATAGAAGTGACCACGTGGATTTGAGAACCTATCCAAGTTATAGATATTATATTGACCATTAATAAAGATAATGAGGGCTTTGGCAGTTTACGTGGAAAGAATGATCGCCAATGGTCAAGACTAATGACAGAGTGGCAGCCAAAGGACCAAATATGCCCGAGAATATGTCCACCACGAGATGGAGCAATGAAATGGGCTCATGAGTAAGTACAAGATGGATTGTTTCAATTTAGATTTGAAGTTTTCGTGACTATGGATTGTTTCATCGCAAGACTGTGAACAATTTTTTGGGAAGGCCTTGTTTCAGCAGTGGATTGATCATGGCTAATGATGAGTGTTTAGCATATATGTTTCTTTGTGTATGATTGTATTTGCAAACATGTTTAATGTGTGCGTGTCCACATGTATGCTTGTGTGTGCACGTACCTGTGTGTGTGCACGTGTGTGTCTGTACGTGTGTGTGCGCGCGTGCGTATGTGTGTGTGCGTATGTGTGAGCGTGTTTCAGGCCCAGGCGGAGGCACAGCGCGCTGCACTGCGGTACGAGCGCGCCGTCAGCATGCACGCCGCCGCCAGGGAGATGGTGTGCGTGGCCGAGCAGGGCCTGGCCTGCAGGGGCGGCACCCTCGATCCAGCCTGGCAAGAGATGCTCAATCATGCCACCATAAAGGTATTGTAATATACGTGTGTGTGTGTGTGGAGGGAGCGGTATCGTAGCGGTTAACACACTGCGCCACGAACCTGGCGACCCGAGTTCGATGGCCAATGCTAGTGAAGATTATCTGAACCGGTCTTGGGCCTCGCCTTGGTTGACTGAGCCTCAAATGAGTACCTGGTGTGTGATGTGTAAAGATCAATACTCGGGACACAACAATTGCAGCATGTGTGTATACACACACACACAAACCCTCATCTCTAAGACTGTCCTTGTAATGGGAGATGGGCGATTTCATGAGAAGGGTTCGTCCGAAACTAGGGTAGTGGGATTGCTAATTTAGTACAACTAACCAAGGGATATGAAGATTTAAATAGGCCTGTTGCAGAGACAAACAATAGTACAGGAGTGTCCTGCCAGCCATCAACCACCACAATGGCAAGCTGCGCGATCTAGAAGAGGGGAAAAAAGTGCCAGTGCACAGTGGCATTAACCACATTGGTTTGTGATGACAACTTTTCGATGTTGACCTTGCACAGCACCTACCCCTGTGGTCTATATGCTACATATCTCTAAACACAGAACCTTCGTCTTTGATCATTGTCGCCCCCGCACGTGCGCTGCAGGTGAATGATGCAGAGGCCGACCGCCTGCACAGTGAGAGGGAACACCAAAGCCGGGCGCTCCGCTCCCAGAATGCCGAGCGGCACCTGCAACAGCTGGCATCGTCGCTGCGCCGCGTGGTGATGAAGTCGCGACCGTACTTCACTCTCAAGGCGACGCTGGGAACTCAGCTCGAGGTCTTGAGTGCACTAAATGCCCTCTTCCTCGTCATCCTCGTGTGTTCACCGTCACGGTAGAGGATAGAAGATAGCGGCTTGAACGTTTTGAAATAGGACATGGGAGGAAAGCGTCGATTGTGATGGGTGGGATGCTTTTGAAAAGCAACGAGTAAATAAGCCTGTGGCCTTTTAAGGACACGTGCATTCACAGGATGCTAGGAACCTTAATGAAAGGATATGGTAAGTAACTTGATACTTGAGAATAGAACATTGGCCATGAAGTTTTGTGGGTGTAATCAAGGAGAGGAGGTTGAGGTGGAGGAAGCACCAGTGCAGCGTAAAGGAAGGACATGTAACCAAGACATGCACAGGAGTGGCAGCCGGAGGTCGGCAACCATGCACAATATCTAAAGCCAGGTAGTGATGATGATTATAATGAGACGTAAGAGTGATCTTGGATGTTGGGTGTTGATTGAAACATTAGCATATCTCGCCAAAGTTAAGGAAGCGATAGCAAGGAGTGGTGGCATCAACAATTAATTTCTTGTCGGGGTTGGATTCAACTTGTTATAGTCCTAGTGTCAGTTCAATTACGTGAGTAACATTTTATGGGATGCAATAGAGGTTGACCCATAGAAAGACTTGGCCCCACCATAGGAATGTGGACTTTCCACTGCCACTGGACAAGATCACTCTCCTTGAAATTGAATAAACAGTATAGGATGATTTGTGTGGGGTCAGTGGGCACAGATCATAAGATCACTCCACTTGAAACCCAGCCAAGGCGCAGGTGGCTGCCGAGAGTCAAGCTCAGCATCTCAGTTGTGCCGGCTCAGGGTTCTGTCACTGCCAATGTGAATTTGACGAGAGGGATGTAGTCCCAGTCCTTGAATTCGTTATCTCAGAGGTGCTGCTTCATGCCTCTCACGGGGCCATGAGTAGCCCTTTTCGGTACAAGAGCTCTGCAATAAGTCTTCCGAAACAGTCACCCTGAGCCCACTGAACCACCCATCCACATTGTGTACGGTGCAGTTCGCATTTGTGTTAAACGATCCACCCTGTTGTACATTGCAGGAGAACAAATCCAACGTGACGTCGCTGGAAAAGAAGGCCCGCGATGCCAAAGCTCGCTATGCAGCCGCCCTGCGGAGCCTTGAGAAGATCAGTGAGGAGATGCACAAAGAACGGCAGCTTCGGCCCCAGCAGCAGCAGAAGCAGCCGTCCCCGCAGCCCGGCCAGCTGCCGACCCAGCAACAGGAACCTGATCAAGAGAACCAGCAAATCAATCAACAACACAGGCATCAAGAGCTGCCAAATGACCTTCAGCGAGACTGGGGGCAAAGCGCCAAACAGAACAACGACCGACAGCAGGGAAACGGTCAAAGCCAACAGGAGTCGATCGATAATCGGCAGCAGACATCCGTGCAAAAGCAAATTCACAGAGGAGAGTGTGCACCACAAACACAGAGCCGGCAGCAAACCCAGTCATGGAAATCCAGCAATAAGGAAGCAGGAAGTCCTGGCGATGGAACTGCATCCCCGGAGTGGGATTCCCATGATCCCCTGGGTGTTGCTCCGCTCTCCGCCGTTCCCACCATCAAGCTGAGCCGCGCGGAGACAGGCGCCACCTCGGAGTCTGGTTCGGATGAGGATTTCATCGAGGCGGTGCAAGTGAACGTGCCGACGCTCACCTGCGTTCCAGAGCTCGATGCCGTGGGCGAATTTTACCTGCCGGAAGACGAGGTGGAGGAGGAGGAGGAGAAGAACGTTGTGCAGTGGGATGGTCTGCCACCACGGCAGGGCAGGAAGCAGCCAGAGCGAAGTGTACGCGATGTCTTGGGGGCGGAGGGCCAGGCCATGCCCCCGCTATTCCGGGACGGATCGGAAGGTGGCACTACCCACTCCCTAGCGGCGCTCAACGCCCTCCGCTCCGACGCTGACCTGGAATTCGCGCTGAGCTTCCATGCCGCGGAATCGGAGCTGGCGCTGCCACCGGACACGTGGCCCGAGCCAGACGGCGACTCGCTGTCGCTGGGAAGCCTGCGCAGCTTCGCATCCGACCTGCAGAAGTGCGACTCGGTGGATCACCTGGCCGGGCTGGCCGACACCCTGAGTCTGTGTGGGAGCGACGGAGGAGCCGGGCCGAGGGCAGGAGGTGAGGGGCGAAGAGGGACAGGGACGGCGGTGTCGACAGAGGCACAGGCGGCCGCGGCCGCAGGGGGCTCGGCACTCTGGGTGCGAGGGAGCAGTAAGCAGCACCAGCGCAGCATCAGCATGTGACTGCGGTGGTCGGTGTTTCGACAGTACATGCAATTGACCCTGGAGGGTGAGCGTGTGAGTAAGTAAGGGGGGTTACCTATCAAGACAACAAGTGTCTCCGTGTTCAAATGAGTGTGGCGTGGCACTCCTCCATTGGCTCTTCATTGCTGATTGTGGAAATGCTGCATTCCTTTGTCAGCCCAGTCTCTGCTGATGACTTCCCACACACAAGTGCTCAGCTAATTGACCCAGGAGCCATGGTAAGGGCAGTGTGCTCAGTTGGCCCTGGGCAGCTAGAATTTGAATTTTACAACATTTTCATTGATAAATTGAATGCTCTGGAACAAGCACAACCAGGCTGGATATGTAGAGAGATTATTATTGAATTAAAATACCAAATTAATGAGCAATGCGGCAGTGCTTATCTCCTTTGTTGGCGCCCCCTGAGTCAGGGGTGGAAACTTTACTTTTTTGCCGCAGGATTTAATCTCGGGCTGTCCACAAAGCGCCCACCCACCTCAATCAACCCTGATAGGATGAAGGACTTTCTAAAAGAGAAAAGTCTCTAGCCCTTGAACTGGCTGCCTGCCTGCCCCTCTTGAAATTTAAGCTTGAGTGGAAGAAGGGGAGAAGGAAGGTAGAGGTCGGAGTCAGCAGTGGAGATGACTTGGGGAGGGGCGGGAGGGCGTTCCACACAATGCGGACAACAGAATAGTCACTTTCTGTGCAGCACTAATCATCTGCCCGCTCGTTTGAACACTGAGACACGTGTATTGAACGCATGTGGGACGACGGCCTGATTTGCAAAATCACAATGTGTGTGTGTCTACGTGGAAACGAGCCCTTTTTGAGTTGTCCTCTGCTTTACTTAACGCTGACCCCCTATATCACGTGCACTCCAATAACACTACTGATAAGCGTTTAATGCTCTGTGCGCAACCAACATTGTAACGCTATTCGTATCGCCTGCTTGACGGCTAGGGACGAATAGCAAATCGTACTATTTAAATAACGGGTCACTGCTGTCATCCATCAAGTATCGGATGTCTGAAAGAGTTATTATTTGGATTTTGCTGGTGTGCAATGCCACTTCTAGGTGTCTGGGGGTATGTGGGGTAAATGTCTGTGTCCGCGTATGCATGAAAACATATTGTACAGCACTGGAATTTGATATGCAGCAAGCTTGGCAGCTTGAATGTTAAATATAACTTATTTTTTGTAAGCTATTTTTTTATATTATATCAAACGCATAGAGAACAAAATAATTTAGGCTTAATTTAATAACCTACTAAGTGGCGTTTAGTTGTGCATTTTACATATTCAACTTAGCACCTGTGAATATATTCGAAAATCTATCGAGTTGACTAAGATGGCGCAGAATACTCGGTGGTTGTCATACAGCAACTGAGGTGGCACTACTGGAATCCAGAGTTTGTGTGTCTCACCTGTGATTGAAATGGGCATTCTCAGTTCTAGAGAGGTGATGAGGCTCAATCTGACCAACAAATACTGCATAAAAATAAAACTCAATAAGTGCGGTCTATGGTCAATTCTTCAGCCAAGCTCCGATTAAAATCTAAGCACTCTTTGTAAAACGTGTAAAGGAGGAGAAATCTCGCTTTGAGTGGCAGAGGCTGATTGAAGTAGTTCAGTTATATCTCTCCGAGGGCTGTTCTGGGATGTGATCTTCTGCCGGCTATTTGAATTTCAGAAGAATGCTTATTTTGTCTCGTGTCATTACCGTACTGTGATACGTAGTCATAGAAAATACATTGTTTTGTAAGTGGAGCGAGTTGTACATAGAACATGATCAGTCTTAACTGAAGGTCCACTCTACTATGCGTTTCACATGAGAGCCATCGCCACCCGTGTTGAGAGTGAACTTTGCCTGGATACATTGCCTTAACCAGAGTGTATGGCGCTGTGTGTGTACGTTGGTTGGTCGGTCTCTCGTGTGGGTATGAACAACACCAGCGTTGCTAGAGCCAACTGATATTGAGTAGCAGAAAATGTATCGCATAACTTTCACTGATGCTGCCCCCCCCCCTCCCTATGACTAGCACACTGGACTTGCAATCCAGAGGTTACCTATTCGATCTCACACAGCTGTTAAACAGAGGGCAGGTTTCTTAAACCGCCCTCCCCCCCCAGGCTCTGTCCACCCAGCAGTATAAATGGGCGCACCACAGTTGATCGGCAGGTCATGTGTGGTGGGTAAAGCGTGGGTATCCCCACCTCTTCCAAGACGTGTGGTCAGTATGGAAGAGTAGGATAAAATACCGTACAAGGGGACTAATAGAGCTGCTCCCCTTAGAGGAGTCGCTTCTACCGACAGTGGTGTGAGCACGATATTGCAACAACAACAAAGATATAATTGAATGCTCGAAATCAAAATAGGTGTTTAAAGGTCAAAGTGTCTCTAGCTCAAACTAACGTGACGTGACACTCGTCTCTATCGTATGTATGTTGAACTTATTTTGCACCGTATGTAGCCAAGCGTGCTGTTGGTGGCCCTCAGCCAGCAATGGAAATCCGACATTGTTAGCCTGCCACAAATTGGTACACACAGACAGACGATGGGCTGAGTTGAACTGCTCTCTGACCATACTCTTTGTTTTTTGCGGTAAAGTCACGTAGGCTAAAAAATTAAATAATGTAAAATGAAAACAACTCAATTAAATCACGACGTTTCGGGCACAACACAAGCTGTCCGTCTTCAGGTGGGGACAAAACACAGCGAAAGAAGAATCGCTTAAGTATGCCGTGTTGCGCCCCAAACGTCGTGATTTAATGTAGTTTTCATATTTATTTTATTTTTTACCTACGTGACTTTACCGAAAAAACCAAAGAGTATGGATCCTTTCAGTCACGAAAACATGAAATCTAGAACTGCTCCCTGACCGTTTGTTGAAATGAAAACCTTCCAACAGCTCTAGACACGGTGGTGCCTGGGTTTGTTACTAAAAAAATAGCTGCGATTTAACACAAGGGTGGTTTAAATATATATTTATTTTTTTGCTTGTGTTGAATGTAGTGTATTGTGAGTTCAAGTAGCTGTGCGCACTTTTACACGATAGGTAATACGTGGTTTGTGCTTTATGTTCTGGACAGAAAAATGTAGAAAGTTTAACTTAAATATAATTGTATTTTTTATGTGGCTGTCAAAACCTGGCATGACCGAACTACTGATTCATTAATCTTACGCCTTACGCACTGTGCACTCTTGGGTAATCATGCATTGCTGTAATCAGATTCGTTTTGCTCAGCTGGAACTGATTACTTATGAGGATGACTCTCAATTACAAATAATTGAAAGGTAGTTAAAACTAATTGACATGGGGAAATGATTGTGTCAGCAGCTTGGGTTAATAAAATCCATAAATGACGATAAAGCCCCACCATCGTAACAGGGCTAAGCTGTAAAACTACGAGTTTCAAATAACACACGCACAGACACGTGTACTCGGCACACGAGTGCGTTAAGCAAAAATCAGTCGGCATTTCCTGCAGTAGTGCATTGTGGTCCTCTTGTCCTAGGTCACTGTCAAAATAAATGTGAGTACACGTGACCGGACTGACTTAATTTATTCATTATTATTTTTGTTACGCGCACAAAATGAGCCTGAAAGTCTGAAAGTATGTATAATGTATGTTGAACTTCGTTTGCATCGTACTTATAGCCAACCGTGCTTAATCGGAGGTGCGAAAATACACTCCGTGGTCACATCTAACCGTGGAAGTGGAGACGTACATGGGTTTCCGCAGGCAGACTTCGCAGCAGAGAGCATTTGTGACGACTGTACCGATGAGTCCGAAAATGACAAAACCGGTCCACAGTTTGTCTATCGCTGCGTCGGTGCTGCCTGTCATTCGGTCACATTTGCTCAAATGTATTCGGTTGGTGACCTCTTAAGACAAGAGCCACAGTGCAGTTCTGCAGGAACTGTCGGTGGCTTTCTTGCATACGCTCAGAGGCATGGCGCTGTTTGCAGGTGGTGCCGTGTTCTTTTAAACTTTAGCTGATGCAAGGACGGCAGTGGTCGGGTGAAGACGGAATCCACCACAGGCTGAAATCTAATTAGAGTGCTGTTGGGTTGACATTAACGACAACATATTAGAATTGAACAAGTTAATTATTATTATTATTATGTTCATTTGAAAATGCTAAATATGAGATTATTGTTACATTGCTTCTAAAACATGGAGCAATCAGTCGACAGACTGATTATATTGCATCAGCCCCAATTCTGACCAATATACATCCGGTTAATATATATACTGCGGAAATCAAAACACATTGTACAACGTGAATCAATCACTGTCGCTGCACTAATAATATAAAATGTGTGTGTGGGGGCTACGGCGGCAAATAAATACTAACGGACTACGTAATCAACCGTGACGCTTATGCACTGTGTCAGCAAAGGTATCACCTTCTCAAGTGACAGCATTAAACATTTATATAGACTGCATTGACGCGGCAGTCAAAAGCGATGCCGTGTATGACCATAGTGCTCAACGCTAGCGCACACTTTTTAAAGGCCCTCGCACACCATACAGGTGTTCTTCTATAGGCGTAGCCACTGCCAGTGACTTCGTGTATGCCCCGTAGCACACGTGGTGCCGTATAGCCGGTGATCTTTTAAAGCAGATAAAAATGGAACCGTTACATTTGTTGTGAACATCAACTCATTTGACGTCGGTCTTTTGCTGCTCTTAGCAATTGTTGGATGGTGGTTTTCTCATGGAAATCCTACATTGCCATGAAATGTGGCCGGTCCCTGCATTGATATGATCACTCTTGATTTATGCTACTGTTGTAGGTACACGTACAGTAATTTGTCAGTCCACTGCTGGATGAAGGCCTCCCCACACTGCAAGCTATGAGGGGGGGGCATTATATTTCACGTTACGTCTACTACCACCACGCTGGTCCATGTATGTTGACGGAAATGGGGAGCATAGATGAGGGAACATAGACGTGCAGTACAACATTGCATTCTGTTGCGCCACATTCTACTGACCACCATGTAGCACAGCTCCGCATCCGCCAATGACAGCCTGGCAAGCGTGGGTGGTTGTCTATCCGAGTATTATCTCGGATCAAACCCTGCTTAGCTTCTGAGATGTGACAAAATTGGGTGCATTTTCGTCACATGCTTTTCGGGTCGATGGACTTGCCGGCATTGCACCACGTTGAATGGGCAAGCAGTCAGCCACACTAACGACTGTGAGCCCGTGCAGCGCTCGGTTGAAAGTTTGTTTCGAGTCGTGCTAAGCCTGGAACTTTAAATGTGTAAATTGTTCACATTTATTTGCACCAATGTTGGACGAGTGTCCACAAACACTTAATGTTTAAAATAAGACTACTGAAGCTGGTGTCTGCTGCTGGGCTACGGCGATAAAGTGTGATTGCACGTGCGCTTGATGTACAATGACATGCGTGTACGTGTGTATGATCATACGTAAAGTGAATGTATGCAAACGTGTTGTGCGTCTACGTGTAGTGAGTTTACCCGAAATGTATGGCAAAGTACATCATGCGTATGCACAATAGAACAATAAAGAATGTTGTTGCATTTTTTATTCCTGCATTTTGTTCCATTCATTTCAATGCACAGCGTCATGCAATTTGCAGTATACTTCTTATTGATGAGAGGATCAGTCCGCCGGTAAATCATCCCGTGTTCAACTGCAGGCAACCGCAAAGGTATCTAGAGTTATTTTCACAGATGAGATTCTGCCAATTGCGTCCCCCATATCAACCCACCTGGGTAAGTAGAATTTCACTATACCCACTATATGCAGTGCATCTATTTTAAGTCTTATGTACTTGACAGGGGTGGAGCTGTAGCCCAGTGGTTAGCGCCGCTGGCTTTTGAACCGAGCAACCGGAGTGTTTTATGCCCGGCTATCGGAATCAGAATATGTATTTATACTGGAGGAATCCGATGAGCGACAAAGATGTCCAGTATCATCGACCTGGATAACCCTCTTTGCCAACCTGCACTGACCAATCCGGTGAAGTATGGTTAAACAGCCCCACGAATGTTATGGTTTGGAGAAGCCTTCGTCCTGCAGTGGATCTACACAGAGCTGTTAATCATTAATTTTACGAACATATTCTTGGTGCTCGTTTCGTTTGGCACTAAGCCGGTGATAATTCCATATTTCTGTGTTGGGAGTCCAGCCAATACGATTTGACAACCATGGTAACATTCAAAGGTGGCACTTCTTATCTTTCTTGTCACCCTGGATAAAATGTGACAAGAAGACACCGCACATTGTATTGGCGTGGCACCCAGAGGTCAGCATTCAAGGGGATTATGACTAACTCGCCTGGTATAAAGGAGGTCGTGGGTTCGATTCCGACCCTGGCGCCTGCTGTATATTTGGAGTTTGCATGTTCGCTCTCCCTGTGGCCGTGTGGACTTTTCTCCGGGTCCTCCGGTTTTTCCCTCCATTTAGAATCAACATCAGGCGTTTATAATATTTGGCCACTGCTATCAATGTCCACATGATAAGCCGCTTAGTTGAGCTATCATTTGTGGCCAGGTCGCTTCTGAAAAAGAGCTACTTAGCTCGGTCGGCCCTACCTGGTAAACATCAAATATAGTTTAGTTTCGAGTAGACCTTGTCGCTGGGGGACCAATGAGCAGGATGACTTCTCAACGCGAGATCCTTTTTCCTCCCTGAAGGGTGGCAGGAATTGTGGCGCAACATCGCCGCACACGAGGAGCTCGTTACCGACTTGTATGTAGTGACATAGAATCGGTCACGTCGCAGCATAGCGCTGGCTGCTGGCGGGGAAGGGGATCTGCAGCTACAGCAGCCCTCACTGACAGCAGGCCAGGTAATAGACCAGGGAGGGATCTACGGGAAGGGGCACACCGAGAACCCACTAGTAGGTTCCAGAAGGGGGCGTGGCTGGGGGCGGAGCCAGGCCACGCTGACAGTAAAAGAAGGGCCCCGGGAGGGGACCTCGAGGCTATCGTGTGCAGTGGGATCCCGTCGTGCTGCTGGAGTCTTCGCCGCTGTCTCCGTCTTCACCATCTCGGTGTCGCCAGTCAGGCAGTCTACCAGCTGCCTTGACTGGGAACCGTAGTTCAAATAGTGACGAGTTACCAAGTGTTAACTGTCAGGCCGCCGTGTTAATAAACAGAGTGCCTCCTACTCTTAGTGTCTCCAAGTCAGTCACTACACATACAATAACTCTCGGGGGTTCAACTCCTATTTAAGACACCGTGGTCAGCCCTAAATCATTGCAGAACAGCGCACGGAAGATGCGGTCACCTACATTGATGATGGAAAATGAAGAAGAGTCCGCAATGTGACTGCTGCGATCCAAAGAGCCAGAACATGGATGAGGTGATCCAGCACTGCCCCCCGCACCGCCGATTCACAGAGCTTTCTCACGTGATCCCACACTGCCCCCCACACCGATTCGCAGAGCATGGAACACGAGATCGATCACTGCCGCCTGCATCGCCGAATTGGCGGCAATTTCACAGACACCCACCAAGCTTCCACAGAGGCAACCGGATGGCTAAATCACCTCCATAACCACAACAGATAACCTTTGTCGCGGATATGGAAGAAGAGGACACGTTTCGTCTCGCTCAATCCTCCGTGACCTTCAGTCCATCCCGAGTCACTCCCGCCGGCCCCCTGCAGCGAGAGCGGCCGGTGCGTCGTCATGTTTTGTTGTCGGCGGGCGGTGGCAAAATACAACGCCACTGAATAACGAATGCGTCGGTAAAATATTCACGAGCTCCGAGTCGGAATTCAACACTCGGCAGCGGGCAGCGTGACGCGAGTGGCGCATATCCACTTTCGTTGCATGCGACGGTAAGGCTCCTTTTGTGCGAGGCTGGTTGCGACGCTGCGCTTCCATTTGGGAGATGTGACCTGGGAGACAGGAACATGTTTGGCCGCAGCTGTGCCAAAGTTGCGACGTTTTGGTGGAGACCTGGGGCCGCTCTACCAGCAGGTATGTGGACACGCGGTGGCGGTGGCCGGGGCTGCGATTGTGTTTCGGCGAACGGTGGCAATAGAGAGGGCTCGTGTGCCGTGCCGCAATAAGCGGTGACCGTGCCACGTGGCAGTGGTTCTCAATCCACGTTTTGGCGACTGCTACCCCTTGGTTGAATTTAGTTTCAACCGAGTACGCCCACTTGTTCTGAGCCAAACATGGTTCTGAGAAAGAAAGAAATGTATGAATGAATGAACATCAATATTTTAACCGATTCGTCCATTTTGTGTAGGTATATCCTAACTCGCTCGTAACTGCAAGCGAATAAAGTAAATTAATAAGCACTCTGCTTGCGTGATGTAATTTGTTCGCGCTCGCGGCTTCCTCTTGGAAACCCCGTTGTTTACGATCAATGAGTTTACAAAGGTATTTTTTTTATCGTTTTAGGTTATCATATGGCCATATGGGATTTAAATGTTATCGTAGTTATTTTATATTGGCAGATTCATACATGATTTTTCACCAATGACTCACGTATGATGTAATTTCACGCAATTTATCAATCACCTCGCGTACCCCGTTGGTACATTGCCACGTGCCCCCAGGGGGTCCGCGTACCCCCCCCCCCCCCCGGTTGAGAACCACGTATGGGACTGCACCAGCCTGCCGACCGAGTCGCCCTTTGAAGATGAGCAGTGAACTCGTGAGACACCGAGAAGTACAAACAAGACCAGGTGGTTTCCTTATTAAAATATGTTCCGCTGGAAAATATTGCTCGGAGGGCACGTTGGTCGTGAGCCTGAAAGGTTGCCTTATATTGTGTTTGGTGATTGCAGCCTGCCATTTACGGTTTGTTTGTTTGTTATATTAAATATTCACTCGCACTGATGTGTAAAATGCTGTGTTGCGTAACAAAGCGTGTTTTTGTTAGGACATACGGAATTCAAATAATTACTGCATTGTATATATTTGTGCGTGGAAGTGGTGGAATGTGCTATCCAAGCCATTACAAATAATGGCGGGGGGGGGGGGGGGCGGCAGCGGTTTATTGAATGAGACGAGGATTGTGCATCGGATGAGGCACGGGTTCTGTGTTGGACGAGTACGGGAATCATTGCCGACTCAAGTTTGAGTCCCGGCCAGATGTTGGAGGGATTGTAAGCTGCTGCAGGGCTGCATTGTGGGCAACAGCCTCCTGTGCAACAAAACCAATTGTTGCATTAGACTCGCCACGGTGGCTCGGAGATGTTATCTTCATCTCCTGGTATGCAGGAGGCCGTGGGTTCGATCCCGAATCTGACGCCTGCTGCTGTATATTTGGAGTTTGCGGTGTCTCTCCGTGGTCGCGTGGATGTTTTTTTTCTGGGTCCTCCGGTTTTCCCCTCCACATTTAGAAACACGCGTTCAGAGTATTTGGCTGCTATAAATTTCCACGTGACAAGCCACTTCGTTGGAGCTATAAGTTGTGGCCAGGTCACTTCTGAAAAAAGAGCCATATAGCTCAGAGGGCCTCACCTCGTACAATAAAATACCTGTAGTTTTAGTTTACTCCTGCACGTGTCCCCACATCTATGCTGCCAGCTTTCACCGACCCGTTCTGACCAGCGTGGTGAAGTATTGCAAAATAACATCCACGACCTGCACAGCGGGGAGAGGAGACCCTCATACAGCAGTGGATTGACAAACGGGGCTGTCGGTGTACATTTGCAATGACACTTGCCCCTCCGGCATGCAAAGCTAACGCAGGTGAATTGTGTTTGCGGTAATGTTTACAGCCAGGAGCAGAGGGCACGCGCTGCTATTAATGAAGACATGAGGCCGCATGGAGCCTACTGCCCAGTTCGGCCTCCACAGCCACGCCACTCACAAGGCAGAGGTGAAGAAGGGAGACAGAGATGGGGTTTCAGGCACCTGCCACACTCTGTCTGGATGGTGTCGATTCTAAAGTTGACACCAAACATTTCTTGACCAAGTCCAATAAAAATCGGTTCTCCCTCGCGATGATGCACATTGGGGCCGTCCATAAATGACGTCACGCATCTAGGAGGGGGGGGGGTCAGACATTTGTGACTATGTGTGACGAGGGGGGGGGGGTTGAGAAATGTGACATCACGTCAAAATGCACAACTTTAAATAAATATAGGCAACACGTTCTACTTAATTAAATAGACTTTTTAATAAATGTTTTCTCCTACAACATCAGAGTGCAGAGCCACATTAAATATGCACTACAATGACAATAGTTTAAAGCGATTTGAAGCATGTTTTATTTTTTTGGGGGGTAGGGGCAGAGTTTTGTGACGTCATATTTGAGGGCGTGTCAGACTTTTTGTGACGCCGTGTGACGAAGGGGGGGGGGGTCAAAAATCGTCCAAAATCGCGTGACGTCATTTATGGACGGCCCCTTACACAGACGTATAGACTCTCACACATACTCATGGGACTCACTCACACGGATGCCCACATACTCTTACAGATACTGACGGACTTAAATGCATAGCACATGACCAGTGTCACGTGATCTATATTTGCTGATGAGCATGGTGATAGTGATGACGGCTGTGATTAAGATATTCACGTGGCGTGTGAGTGTCTGTGCGTGTAAGTCTATGGGTCTCCATCTGTGTGAGTCTGTGGGTCTCTATAGAGTCGATTGGTGTCCATGGGTGTGCGTCTGTGGTCTCCAATGAGTCTATAGGTCTCCGTGTGTGTGAGTCTATGGGTCTCTGTAAGAGTATGTTGGTCTCCGTGTGTGTGAGTCTCTGGGTCTCTGTAAGAGTCTGTTGGTCTCCGTGTGAGTCTCTGGGTCTCTGTAAGAGTCTATTGATCTGTGTGTGTGTGAGTCGTGTGGGTATCTGCCTGAGTTTCCTCTCTGTCTCTTCGCCGCTCTGTTGCCTCCCTTTGCCGCTTCTAACGTCGTCTTTCTGATCAGTCTGAAGTCTCATTATTTTGCCGGTCTCTTTATTTCACCAACGCAACTAACGCAGGTGGAAGAATGTATTTATAGATGCGTATCGACGTGCTACATATGTGTGTTCTCTCCATACACGTTGACGTAACAATGCATGTGTACTAGGTAGCAATGACACCCACGTTAACATGGAATGTTGGCATGTGGTTGGAACTGTTGGACCAACGTTACCCCAACGTTGGCCCAACGTTCCGTGTTTATTGTGTTGCCTCTCCCCTGTCGTCTATTATTAACGAAGAACAATTAACGGTCCAGGTGAGGGCCGTGTTCCTGGGCTCCGGGCTGCCCCCACTAACCGTGCGACACAGGCCCACGATGGGGCTCGGCTCCGCTGTGGGGCCCGGCTCCGTGACAGGGCCCAGCTCCGCGATGGGGCCCAGCTCCGCGATGGGGCCCAGCTCCGCGATGGGGCCGTCCGCACTGGCACGGGGCTCACAGGTGCAGGACGTGCGCGTTCACCAGCAGCCGTGGGGCGGCAGCGTGGTGTGCGCCTACCGGGGAATGCTCCGCGCTGGGGGTGAGTGGAGTGTTACTTAGGGGGTCGTTGGGCCATTAGGTTAACGTGGCGATGTTGCAGGTGGCGTTTGAAAGAATCTCGCGGGCGAGGGATTGAAAGGTGAAAATGGAGCAGGCTGTGAGGCACAGAACCCCTTTGAGGCAGTGGGGAGGCCAAGGTGAATATTTACATACAGGATTCAGAGTGGGAGTCCATCATCCAGCAGTGGAATGATATTATGTAACAATTTCAGCTTCTCGCGCACACAGTAGTCGCTCACTATCATAGAGAGAGGCATGCGGAACCACAGACAAGCAGGAAGGCAGTTTAACACGTAAGCTTTCACGACCAATATTGTTCATAAGATAGGTTTTTGGGTTAGATCGTGTAAAGGAAGGCAGCCACGCAGTAAACCGGCACCAATAATTGCCCAAGCTCTGAGATCCTCTTTATATTGAGGTGTTATCGACCAATTAATGAGTGTCGACACAAGTGGGAGGAAACCAGAGAACCCAGATTAAACCCACGCGCGCGAGGGGGAAACACTGTATCCCAATCAGACGGGGTAGTTGGGAGTCCACATTTTTGCTGTACAGGCGTGTCTCGCTCAACGAGTGTTCTTTTTCCGAGAATTCGCCACAACGAGCAATTTTAATTGAGACGAAATGTGTTTCGCAAAAACGAGCTAAGTGTTCGTTTAGTGAGCGGAGACCGACCAATGAAATTCGTCCTGCGGCCCGCAGCTGTTCACCAGATTTCCTGTGTGGCCACGTGTGGGAGAGGGGGGCCTCATGGTGGCACGATAATGGGTGAGGGGGGGGGGCTAATTAATTGCAGACACTGAGAACAGGCACCTTGCATGTATGTTGTTGAACTTCTTTCGCACCATACGTAGCCAGCCGTGCTTATCGGAGGTGTGGGGGAAGGACAACAAACTAAACACAAAATGCAGTTCTAAAGAAATACGTTTTCAATTAATATTCAAAAGTGGATAGCGACAGCGGCTTCCTAATATCGGAAGGAAGAGCGAGCATCGTGGTTCTTCATGTGTGGTGGAATATTTGATGTTTTATTGCTTTATTTTAAAATCATAATTTGCATTTCTCACGGTAAAAAAAGTTTTTAAAGAGTGCAACATTTTGTGGCTGAAATGTCGCTCAGCTTTTAACATTCGGAGTCGATGGGGAAACGATGATCCTCTAACACGTTATCCCGGAACGTATTTCACTCGTTAAGCGAGACACGCCTGTATTGGCTTCTCGCGATCCAGGGTTACGGCAACTCCTCGACGCCCATTGGAAGGGAAATTTCACAACATTTGTGTGAACCGCCCAATCTTCACTGCCTCCACAGTGCTGAATTCGATTGTCGTCCACGTGCACAGCCATCACCGCCCCGCTAATTGATAAAGGTCTGTACATGTATTATTATTGTTGTTTTTGTACGGTTCAACCTAATTGAAGGGTCCACTTGCATTCTGGTCAACGGTCAACAGACTTGCATGCGAATTGGAATGTCCCCAGGGGCAAGGCAGGAGTTGTGACAGGTGTACGCGCATTTGAGTGCAGTACCCAAGTGGTGTGTGTGCATCTGAAGGATAACCGGACAGATTGGAGGGTAGCACGAGAAGGGTCATCAGGTCAGATCGATAGGTGTCGAGTCTAAGTGAGAGGTCAAGTCAAGCATGCGACAGTGCCATGGTACAAACAAAATTAAGAGGTAAAGCTGCAGCCCTACAATCACTTGTTCACTCCACTTCGTTGTCAACCCCTTATCAGTGCCTACCTTATTGCAGACCAATTCAAACCTTATTGGTCACCGCGTGCCCTTATAAATCTCAATGTTCATCCTACAAAGTTCCATCGTAAGGGAGAAACACAAACAAATAGACAAAAAAATAGTGTCCATATTGAAACGGCTGTACGCCGTATGGACCTCCAAATTAAATGTCCCTGTACAAGAATATGGAGTAAACCGCATGGGTTGGCAGCTATGAGGTTGAAATACAATTCAAAAATTCAACCGGGGGGGGGGGGGGGGGGGGTTAACAGTCGCCAAACCAACTTTGAGAAACCACTGCCATGGAGAATGAACTCTCTTGGCCAACGGCGGTTAGAAAAAGCTCCGAGTCTGATGCTCTCATCGCGTTGCCCCCCCCCCCCCCCCATTACCTTCCCCAGACTCATTTGCGTTCTGCTCCCGCCGCCGCTGCCACCGGCCCCTGAGTCTGAGCTTCCACATTGGGGGGCTCCCCGCGGGCCGCGTCTCCTGCTGCTGCGAGTTGCCCCTGCGCGGTGGGGCCGCCGTGCCCGGGGGGCGCTTCCACATCGCCGGCATCGAGGGAGGAACTCCGTGCGCTCGGTGCGCGCCCACTGCCGGGCCACCCCCTCGCTGTTTCCGTGTGTGCGTGGTGGGTGGGGGGGGTTGCACTCTGTGTGTCTGTCTGTCTGTCTGTGTGCGTGTGGTGTTGGAGCGGTGGTGTGGCGGTTAGCGCTACGCTGCGCTACGAACCTGGCAACCCGAGTTCGATTCCCACTCACGGCCACCAACACCCAGTGACGATATTCTGAACCGGTTCCTGGGCTTCACCTAGGTCGACTCAGCCTCAAATGAGGAACCTGGTGCGGTGCGTATATACATCGCCGGTGGGGATACAAAGGCGGCCGAGCGAGGTGGTGGCCACCCACCCCCTCGTGTGCCGTTCTGGTCTTCATAGGTGCTACTCGCTAACAGCAATTTCCCCAACAGTCTGTAAAGGCTGCACGGGGTATCCTTGCCTGTGGTCTGTTGACTCGGCCTCAAATGCGGTGTAGTAATCATCGCCACTAGGGGGACAAAGGCGGCCCGGGCATGGGGTTGGCCACCCTCCCCCCACCCCCTCGTGTGCCGTGCCAGCCTTCATAGGTGCTCGCGGAAAGCACTTGCCCCAACAATGTATTGAAGAGATCTTTGTCAGTGTTGGTGTTTAAAGATAACAGTGGTTCATCTTCTTGGTTCTCTCGGTAAAGTCACGTGGAAGGGAAAGAATAAAAAATAAAACATAATAAAATACTATTGTATTTTATTATAAAATACTATTGTATTTTATTATGTTTTCGTTGTATTTTTATTATTTCCCTTATAATTGTATTTTATTATGTTTTAGTTGTATTTTATTATTTTATTATTTCCCTTCTACGTGACTTTACCGAAAGAACCAAGAAGATGAATCGCTGCAGTCACAAAAGCTTTAAATCGAAATATAACAGTGGTTGTTTTCTCCTGGTTAGACGAATCCTCGTTCTTGCAAAACAATTCCACCTGCTCAGAACCAGTGCCCATCGTCAGTTCATGAGGAACACTCGTTCTCTGTTTTGATTTTGATCCTTATTTATCAACAGCGATAGCCTTCTGGGAATACAGGTCCCTGTCGTACGGGATGGGAGAATCTGGGTTTAGTTTATCTTTCTTTGCGAAACAGGTGCAGTGCAGTACTGGGTCTGGGCAAACCGAGCTGCACCTTCCAGACGAACTCCGTGGCCTCGTGCCCCCTCCCTCATCACCTCCCCCCGGCGCTCACCAGGGACGGGTCCCCCTACCTCCACGGGGTCCGGCCCTTCCTCAGGCGCGCCGCCTCCAGGAGGCCCGACGGCCTCGCCAAAGCGTCCACCGCCGACAGCAGAAGCCGCTTCGAGCTGGCCTCGTGGACCGACCGATACTCGCTGGGACGCGACGGCAGGCGTTGCTTGTACGCGGGCAGGACCGTGACGGACAGTGGACGCACGGCGGTGGGGCGCGTGAGGCCCCACGGAAGCTTCGAGGAGGACAGGAGCGTCGAGGAGGTGCCCGTGTCATCCAGGGGCGTGGAGTCGAGTCGCAGGGAGCGCGCGAGACCCGGAGGCAAGAGCGGCGTTGACCTGGACGCCGGCTTTGAACCGGACGCCGGCTTTGAACCGAAATGCAGGAGACGCGAGAAGATGGCGAGGAGCGCTCGTGGCCACGTCGATGACTCGAGCGGCAAAGTTCTCGGCAGAAGGTGGAGGAGGGCTGCGGGTGGTAATACAGGTGGTGCTGCTGCTGCCACTGCTGCTGATTTCAGCGATGATGATGCCACTGATGGTGGTGGCAGTGAAGATGCCAGTGATGTGAGTAGAGACGGCAAGTTTAGTGGACGGTGTGGAGAGGTCAAGGGAGGCGTGGGGTTTTTCGATGGGGACAGTGAGGACTTTAAAAACGGCGATGATGCGGATCGAGACGCAGCTGGTCGTGGCCGTGACCGTGGTTACAGTGGCGATGGTGATGCGGTGAGAATGGGCAAAGATGGAGATGGTGGCGATACGACTGTGCAATCCGTCTCTGCACGTGATCATCAACTTCACTCGGAGTGCAGGTTTCCTGCGCAGGGTGAGTAATTCATAATGTTACACGAAAATTCCACCGTGTATAACTCAAACGCACAATTGAATTCACGTTCGGTGTTTTATTTCTTTGGAGAATTTTCAATAGATTTTTGGATGTTTAGTCGATTGGATTTTATAAAATGTTACTTTTGACAATTATACGAATAATGTTTTATTATGTCCATGAAAATTATTCCAAATAATCCTTTATTTACTCAAAAGAACTTCAACTGAGTCTCGACTCCTTTACAGAGGATGCAATTCTGTATTAAGTATACTGCGTGACCGACCCATCATTAAAACATTGAGCTGACAAGCTCAATGGGCCTTACCTGAAGTAATCTGACCGACTGTTATGCGCAATTTTGTGACGATTATCTGAACCGGTCCTGGGCCTCCCCAAGGTCGACTCAGCCTCAAATGAGTACCTTGTGTGGTGTGTAAACCTCGCCACTGGGGAGACAAAGGCGGCCGGGCGCGGTTCTGGCCACCCACCCCCTCGTGCGCTGTGCCGGCCCTCATAGTAGCTACTCGCTAACAGCACTTGCCCCATTGTCTGTCACCGCTATTACCGGGGAACTTTGTCATTTTTCGATTTAAAGCTTTCGTGACTGCAGGGATTCATATTCTTGGTTCTTTCGGTAAAGTCACATAGAAGGGAAATAATAAAATAAAATAAATAAAACATAATATAATAAAATTCTCACGACGTTTCGGCCACAACGCAAGCAGCCGTTGTGGCCGAAACGTCGTGAGAATTTTATTATATGATGTTTTATTTTTATTATTTTATTATTTCCCTTCTATGTGACTTTACCGACAGAACCAAGAATATAACTTTGTCATTGTCTTGCTATGTGTTCACTAACCCCCTCTGTCAATCGCATTTATCCCTCAACATCTCCACTAAACCCTCCGCGCAGTGCACGCGTTGTCTCCGGCACGCGCCCTCCTGTCTGGCCTCTCGGGGATTTCGCGAACCGTGTGCTCCCCTTCCCCGGACCCGGAGCCGAGCGACTCGAGTTCTGAAGACGACGGGACGCGTGCCAGGCACGCGAGATATCTGCACAAAAGTAAAAGCACCGGGAAAAGTACGACGTCTGATTTCACTGGAAATTATCCAATGGACGATTCACTGCCACTGAAAATGTGTCAAGTTAGTTCTGCGATGGTTGACCACATGTTTAGTCCACTAAGACTGAGAGAATGACTATAAAAATACACAGATTTACACTTGAGAAAAATTCCACATTTTATCGTCGACCAACAACGTCTTACTACAAGAGACAATGCTGGCTGAGTTATCGCTGGAGGTGGCCATAAGCAGGGAGACATGGACTTGTTGCCATTGTGGTAATGTCTCCTCATCAGGCCAGCTGGCTCTGTGGTCATAACACAGCACTTAGTTCATGATTAAAATTCCAAATGAGGCTCTGCTCAGCCTATACCTCTCTGGATTCTATTGAAAATCAGTACCACTTTGTGGGCAGTCAGCAGTGGTTGTCCCGTGGCTCGACTTATCTCGCCTCTACTGGACATATGTGAAAAAGAGCTTGAAATCTCATTTGATTCCCCCCAGTATATTCTAATTCTGTTTGGATGGGGGAAACTCTGTCCTGCTTTCGAAAGGCTATGCTGGCACGACTGTCATCAACGAGTAATTTCTTATACCCATATGTTAACCCATACTGCTGTGATGTAATGGTTGCAATCCACAGCTCACCAGTTCAATCTCCCAGCGTGGCAGTTGAAACAGTGTGTATTTGTCTGAAATCATTCTGCCTCTGTTCACCCAACAGTACGAATGGATACATCATAGTTAGTCGATGGGCCGGTTGTGTGTGGTTGAGTTAAGTTTGGCTACGTTCCAGCTCTTTCAAAACATATGTCCAGCGCTTCTTCTAGTAGAGACCCTTCCGCTAGAAGTGGTGTGGCCAAGCAATTGCAGGGCTGCACCTTTGCCTCTGACCTCTGTCAAGGCACAGCCCTGCAATGGATGAAGGCCTCCCGAAAAAAAGTTCAGGTCGTGGGGGTCATTTGACCAATACGTCACCACGCCGGTCAGTGCGGCTTGGTGAAGATTGGGAGCGTAGACGTGGGACCACAGGAGCATCGGACGACAACTAATTTTACTGCACTGCTGTTGCCGCACGCAATTAAGTCCCGCAATAGGCCACAATCCATGTTTTATGCACAGTGCTTGGTGGTCAAATCACTATCCAGGCTCAACCCTGGTTCACCTGCAAGATCTGATAAAAGCAGGAGCATGCCAGGTGATTTGGTTATAGTCGTTTGCTACACGTGTTCGTGTTTTAATTCCTTCTGTAGGAACTTGGCCATCTGCCCGATCACAAGAGTTTGGGCCGGGGTTCGTTTTTAAAGCCGGCGCCGCCGTGGGGGTCTCACGATTCCCACCGGCTTCCCCTGAAGTACCGGAGTTCCCATCTACGAGCAGGGGCCACGTCCCAGACGTGGCACGAGCAGTGCTCGCACTCGCGGACACCACCTCGGGGCGAGCAGAGGCTCCGTTCGGCGACGTCAATGGTGGAGCGACCCCGACGTCGGTCGAGATCCACGGGGCTCCATCGACAGAGCAGTCAATTACTGGAATGTCGAGCTACGGCAGAGGTGGGGGGGGTGCTCGGAGACGACACGATGTGGGCCCAGCGGCAAGCGCTGCCGAAGACTCCATCCTGACGTTGGTTGGACTTCAAGGTGGGTTCGTGGCGAGCGGATGACTGAATAAGAAAGTACACAAAACGTAAATGGCAGCTAAGTGAGATGCAGGAGATAGTGCCACGGTTGGGTGAATGTCAGGGGTCGGCGCTCGTATTAGTGAGGGCTATGGGTAAAGTTAAACACATTCCTGCGGAGGGAGCTGGTAGGAACGTTGGGTTGCTCGGTCAATGGCCAGGGTCAACGGCGGCGTGGTGTATTCCGCACATATGGCCGACTGTGAAGGCGGGCACAAGCCGGCGTGAGTAGGTTAAACATTGAGTTTTATAAGGGCACCACGGGGTGACCAGCCCCTCCCCACCCTCCCCACCCAGCCCCTCCCCACCCTCCCCACCCAGCCCCTCCCCACCCAGCCCCTCCCAGCCCCTCCCCTCCCCACCCTGCCCCTCCTCACCCTCCCCACCCAGTCCCTCCCCACCCTCCCCTCTCCACCCAGCCCCACCCCTCCCATTTTTGGATGAACGACGGACGGACACAATAATCCCCTGTGGGCTGCTGGAACCAGGTGGTTCCTACCAGTAGAAGTGAGTTTAGTTACCTCGTGAAGCCCATTGAGCTCTGCATCTCTTTTCCAAGGGCAATTTGGCGAGCAGACAACAGTTATGAGCAAGGCTATGGTTTGGTTAGCTAACTTGTCAGGATTAGGGTTAAGGGGCTAGAGTTACGGATAGAGTCGTGAGGTAAGTAGGCATCAGGGTCACAAAGATTCGATTGATGATTTTTCTACTTAATGTTTTTGTCTATGTCACCTTGCCCATTTGCCATGTTCCATATTGGTCTGTACATTAACATGTAATGATATAAATGGCATAACTGCTTTTGTCTTTAGTTTGTTTTCCTTCCCCGTACCTCCGGTGTAAAAAAAATGCAACATACATAACATGTACACATGAGCTTTATAACTCATCGAATTCCTCAAGTATAAATAAATATTGTGATTCTGATTCAGATATAAATAGTATAATTAAATCTGATTGATTCCTTGGGGAGAAATTTGATGCGTGAATCATTTGCTGCAAGAGTTGATTTTCGTGGATGCGTCAACGCGTCGCTCTCGTCCTAGTGGACATGCATCAGGTCATCTGACCCTCCTCACTCGTCAAATTCACAGATTTATCAGTTTTTGTGGTCACGATTAAATAATCTCTTCCAGCTGCCTTGTTTGTTCCGCCTGTGTTTCCCACACCGCCGATTAGCACGGTTGGCTAAGTACAGTGCGAACTAAGTGCAACATACATACACATGATTAGCATGGTTGGCTTACGTATGGTGTGAAAGTTCAACGTACATACACAATTATTCTGTCAGACCATCAGTTGACAAGGCAAAATTGCGCATATTTCCCATACACGTCAAATAATAAATTGTGTACAGTTCGATAGAACATATACTGACGAATAGATACATTACGCTGGTCAACACACTTTTCTGGCATAAGGTATTCCAACGGTTTTTAAGGTAATTTCGGGGTGCTGATTCCAAATCTGGCATCAGTTTCTGTCTATCACATCAGGTTTTTGAGAAATCAAATATTGCATTTTCAATAAAAACTGCAGAAGAAAAATATTAAATAAATGTGGATATCTACATAAAATGATATTATAAACACACTATCCTAAAAATACAGCACCATATTTTAACACTAAAGCAGTCACTGAATCGCAACAACTTGCAATCATAAGTAACAGTTAATTTCGGGTAAAATAAATGAAAATGGGGTATGCCGATAGCATAAAAATGAAAAGTGATAGGGCAAATCTGAGATCATATTTGGAATCAGCACCCTGAAATTAGTCTAAAACAGCTGCAAAAGTCCAGGCCAGAATTATTTTTTTTGACCAGTGTTATTCCATGCCTTACGACTAGGAGTAGAGCTTGCGCTAGTATTTGGTCGGCTGGGATTGTTTCGCCCCCTAACGGTTGTGCCCTTCCTTCCCCCCCCTGCCAACCGTGGCCTCTTGGCTCCCTCTTCCCTCCGACCGTGTTGCTCCGCTGCTTCACAGGGCCCTCACCGGCGCGGTCCGACTCTCGTGACCTGGCCACCGCGAGCAACGGGTTCCAGGTGCAAACCGTGAGCGGCGAGGATGGCGGAGCCGGATCCACGAGGGACCGCTTGAGGAGACAGGTACGTGAGGAGACCGGGGGGTGAGGAGACTGGGGAGTGAGGTGCGTGCAAAACGGCTACCACCGAACCCACGGTTATCCATGCGTGGATCTCCCAGGGGTTGAGGATTGAACGTGCTCACGTGTGGCCTCTGCGGGTGATCTGGTCCGATCGTTGGCCACTCCTCACCCATCGGTGGGTCACCGACTCGGCAGCGCACGCGCTTGCGGTCGCGTCGGCAAGCGAATCGGTTTGCTCTCAGAAACAATGACGATAGACATCATATTCTACGTAGTTGAACGAAATAATAAAAAAAACAAGATAGGACTAAACGAGGGAAAGCCTCCACTGAGTTTCTGGACTTTCCTCAGGGTCGCTTGGACAATTTGTAATTGAGTGTTTCGGGGAATCTAATCACCACACTATACAGTGCACCCTTGTACAGTTTGATCTATAGTTTGTTCTACAACAAACCAAATATTTTACATCAGAGCTGACATCTGCCAGGCCAAAAAACTAATTGACGTTTTGTGTATGTGCAGGTTGAGACCATTGACTCACTCGCCTTGAGAACCTGAATGAGCCTTGGGTGGCTTGAATCCAAACTCGCACTCAGCAGTGAGACTGCCATTATTATGTATGTGTGTATGTCAACCTTCTTTCGCACCGTACGTAGCCCACCGTGCTAATTGGGTAATAGAGAGACCCCCCGGCCATGGAACGCGAGTTAAAGATCTCATTGGTGCTGGCCCAACGGCTCCAGAACAGCCTCAATGAGGTCCTCGTGGGCCTCATGAAACGTGAAACGCACAGCCACAGGGCTTGTACCTTGGGACTCAGCAGTGCCACCTCAGTGCCCTGACGTGGCACATTACTAACAGCTTGGACCCTGAACCTCAGCAAGTATACGAACTTGGGGAAAGAGACGATGGGCAGGAATTCCAAAGCGGAGCAGCGAGGGAGAAAAGGACCCCAGAAAGAGAGAGTGTTGTGACCTGAGGTGTGTTGGATGAACACGGTACGGATGATACGAACAGTCAGATATACGACTAGTGCCCCAACTTCGGCCCAATTAGTGGTTTGCTCAGCAGCAGTAGTAAGTGAGAATAGGTTTCCCCCTTTTTTCTGGCAACAAACACTATCAGAGTATTATTTTATTATGTTTTATTTTTATTATTTTATTATGTCCCTTCTACGTGACTTTACCGAAAGAACCAAGAAGATGAATCCCTGCAGTCACGAAAGCTTTAAATCGAAATTTAACTATCAGAGTAATGAAAGCTCGGGCTGAGCAGCTACATCATGGGACCTCCTTTGCCAGTGCCGTTTTGAGACTAGGCTCAAAAGAAAGCTGTCTCTGGTGTGGACCAATCCGTTTCAAAGACAATGCCATATATTATCAGTGTTTTTTGTTTGCATTCTGACCACAAGTATCGTGGTTAATGCAGACATGATTCCTTGTAAGAGGTTTCAGTTTGGTGTTGTAACATCTTAACACAGCTGTTTTGTTGCCAGAAAAAAGGGGGAAAACCTATTCTCATATTTTGGTCCTGGCAAAGGAGGTCCCATGAAGCAGTCGTAAGTGTTCGGAGTTGAAGACGAAGGATGTTGCACGGAAAGGAAAAGCAAGCTCCTCCGATGCCTCCTTTACCAGATTGGTGATACAGCCTTTCCGCGACAGCGCTGATGAGACTGTGGTACCCAGCAGATTCATAGTTTTATTATCGCTAAATATCATTGTTAAATCATGGGAGGAATTGTGGAATGCAAGTTTTTATTATGGAAAAGGCCTATATAGTATTGTTAAATGTTGTGGAATTGCCAGTATTACGTGACGTAGTGTCTGTGACATGGCCATTATTTGCCTAGAGAGAGATGCAGCCCCCCATCTCTATCTCCTTCCTGACCCCCCCCCCCACCACCCCCACGTTGGCCAGCTGTCATCTCCCTCGCCTGGTATGCAGGAGGTTGTGGATTCGATCCAGACCTTGACACCTGCTGTATATTTGGAGTTTGTACATTTTCTCCGTGGTCGCATGGATTTTTCTCCGGGTCCTCTGGTTTTTTTCCTCTCCACATTTAGTATCACACATCACGCGTTTATATTTGGCTGCCATACATTTCCACGTGATAAGACACTTCGTTGCGCTATCATGTGTGAGAGCCTGGTCGCTTCTGAAACAATACCGACATAGCCTTACCTGGTAAATAAAAAAAATACAGTAAACTCTCTCTCTGTCCACGAGGGTGACGTTCTAGAAAACGCTCGCGAATGCAGAATTCGCGAATGCAGCAGGGAACCTTGTTCCAGAACGCAGCGGGCAGCCGAGAGGTCGTGCCCAATCTTCGTCAGACAGCTTCGAATGTCGGTGGTCTGGCACTTACACTCGCGAGTCCGGCGAGTCGCGAGTCGGGAATTAGTGTGAATTGAGTAGCTCGCGAACATGCGAAACTCGCGAATCCAGAACTTGCGCACAGGGAGGGTTTACTGCAGTTACACGTGTTCTATATTTACCTGTCTGGCACACCAGGTGCAGCATCTGTGCGCGTTCCTGGAGGTGTCGGGGCAGGCGGAGGAGCTGGTGCTGAGGAGGAGTGGTCTGGACGGAGAGCTCTTCTCCCCGCTGTCGGTGGCCATCGCGCGCACGCCCTCGTTCCTCTCCACCCTCAACCTGAACCTCAACGTCCTGAGGGCAAACGGCGCTCGGATGCTCGCCACGGCGCTCCCCACGCAGAGCCGCCTGAAGACCCTGCTGTGCGTGGCGGAGTCGTGCGCGTCGCGAGCGTGTGCGGCGACGAATATCTGAACCGGTCCCGGGCCTCCCCTAGGTGGACTCAGCCTCAAATGAGTACCTGGTGTGCGGCGTGTAAATATCGCCACTAGGGAGACAAAGGCGGTCGGGCGTGGTGTTGGCCACCCACCCCCCTCGTGTGCCGTGCCGGCCTTCATAAGTGCTCGCGAACAGTACTTGCCCCAACAGCTTGTTGAAGGCTACACGGGGACTCTTTGTCTTTGTTTGTTTGTGAACGTAAGTGACCACACCGGCCAGTATGGCTTGGTGAAGTAGGGACGGCGGTGCCTGAATCGGTTGAGGTATCACTCGCCACTGATGTTAGCCGTGGCCATGCCCAACCGCCTTTGTCTCCCCAGTGGCGATGTTTACACATCGCACCAGGTACTCATTTTAGGCTGAGCCGACCTACGGGAGGCCTAGGACCTGTTCAGATAATTGTCATGAGCGGGAATCGAACTCGGGTCGCCGGGTTCGTAGCGCTAACCGCTAATCTACCGCTCCCCAACCTACGGTCACACAACTCCCAGGACTCAGCGTGCGGTGTGGGGAGGCCTCCATGCAGAAAGTGGATTGGTAAAGGGCTCTGTGCATTAAATTGCTATTGCGTAACACCTGGTGGTCGTGATCATGAAGATGACGACGACGTTTTGTTCTGCAGGTTGTTTGGGAACCAGATGTGCGATGACGGCGTCTGTGCTGTGCTGAAATCTCTGACATCGGCGATCGCGTTGGTGAGCGGATGCCTGGTTACATCTCACCTGCCTGGCAGAAAGCGTTGGCCTGCTAAGGCTCTTTGCCTGCTGTGTCGAGGACATAATAGTGACATTAATGCCAACAAGACGAATGGTAGATTCCATTAATTTAACTTGCAACTGAGAAATGTTGTTGTGATGTCGTCCAAATCCTATCTGCCGCATCACGCTGACCCATCCGATGCAGAAGCCCTGGTTTATCCAATACAGCTCTCTTGTCTAATCCAATGCAGCAGAACCCTGGTCTCATGTGAACCAGAGCCCTCGGCAAACTTCAGGTGGTCTGACAAGGCCATCATGAGCCCCCAAGAAAGAAAAACACCCAGTCCTGGGACTCTAACCCAGAATACGAGTGGTGCCATGTCGTCGCTCCGACACAGCCTTCGTCTGTGAATCACCGCGTCGCCGTTACGCGCCACGCATCATTGCGGCGGGGTTGTGTTTCCGCACGTCAGGGCGGCCGCCTGCTGGAGCTCGACGTTGGAGGGAACTGCCTGACGGGCGTCGCGCTGAGGGACATCGCCTCGTACCTCCGCGCCAACACCGCCCTCACCGAGCTGGGCCTGTCCAGAAACCCAGACGTGGGTGACGCGCACGCACCACGCCGCCAGGTTCACGGTGGCTAGGAGATGTTAGCTACCTCGCCTGGTATACAGGAGGTCGTGGCTTCGATCCAGACCCTGAAGCCCGACCCTGAAGTTTGCATGTCTCTTGCCCTGTGGTCGTGCGGATTTTTCCCCGGGTCCCTAGGTTTTTACCTGCATATTTAGTCAACATTCGTTTCGAGTATTTGGCTGCTATGAATGTACACGTGCTAAGCCACCTCGTTGAGCTATACAGCTCAGCGTGCCCTACCTGGTAAAATAACAAAAAGTTTTTAGTTGAGGTACTGGGGGGGGGGGGGGGGGGAGAATCTCTCTAGCAGGGTCAAGGGGTCAACATGGGCTATGCCGCCGATGTCGTCAGAACACGCCGTTGCTTCCTTCTCTCTGCTACATTTTGGGGGAGTAGACCGGAAGTAGAGAACCTTCCTTACAGAGAACACGGTGCCCCAGGTAACCCCTCTTTGTCAGCATTGTGTAAACTGAAGGCATAGGACTTTCAAATACCTTTGGAGAGGCAACACAGTAGGGCATATCTTAGCGTTATCAAATAGCGAAAAACAATTAATTAAAGCTCACACTTTACAGGTGACAGGATGCTAGAATAAAAAAATGTAGTGTTGCCCCAGTCAAAATTATTTGCCTCTTGAATGCGATTAGTGGAGCTAAGATGCTCAGTGTCGGACAAACATGATTTGTGGGCCGTTGCGAAGTGTTATAGGCCTCATGTGGTCGTCAGTCATTGCACAGGGAGGACACGGCGGTCACTGCGTCATCTACGCGCGTCTCGACTCGCTCATCGCCGAGCATGGCTCGGCTTGTGGTGGAAAAACAACCTCGTGCCACGTGAACCGCACCGGGCAGGCAGTCTCGGCATGACCCAGGCGTGGCTCGGTTCTACAATGGACGAACTGCAGGAGTGGTCAATGTACTTGTTGCTACTGCTTCCGCCACTGTCGCTAAAGGCTCTTCCAGAGGACTGGGCTCCGCTATTCGAGGTGCTGGCGTTGCCGGGTTGCGGGCTGGCGCGCCTGGCGCTGGAGGAGAACCGGCTCGGCGAGCGGGGCGCGTCTCTGGCCGCCCGCGCCCTCGCGTCGAACCTGCAGCCTGCGGGCGTTGGAGGCCGAGGAGAGCGGCCTCGGCAGCCTGGCTGCCCTCACCGAGGTGCTGTTGGCTCTGCAGGCCAACACGGGCAGCCGGCTCGGGTATGTACATTGAACTTCTTTCGCACCGTACGTAGCCAACTGTGCTAATCGGAGGTGAGGGAGAAAAACAACAAACTTAAACACAAAAAGATATTTTGAAGAAATGAGTTTTCTATCTAGATTCAAAAGTGCACAGCTTCAGTCGCTTACTCAGTGTGCGAGAAAACAATGGCGTGCTGTGACATTAGCCGCATAGCCCATGTTGATCCCTTGACACTGCTCTAGAGGTTATTTCCCCCCCTTAGGACCTAAATTAAAAACTAAACTATTTTTACTTTACCAGGCAAGGCCCATTGAGCGACCTGGCCACAAATGATAGCTCAACAAAGTGGCTTATGATATGGAAATTTATAGCAACCAAATCATCTAAAGCAGCATTCTTCAATAATCTTCAGAGGGGGGCCACTTTCACCGATAATAAATCAGTGTGAAGGCCACCACACCGCCTGCAAGGGGTGTTTTCACATTGGTGTATTGTCGGGGACTGCATGTTAAGGGGCCTCACTAAAGGCCACCAGGGACCGCCAGTGGCCTGCTAGCCTTGCACTGAAGAACACCGCTCTAAATGTATGTTTCTAAATGCGGAGCAAAAAACTGGCGAAAAATCCACGCGGCCACGGGGAGAACATGCAAACTCCAAATATACAGCAGGGATCAGGGTCGGGATCGAACCCACGACCTCCTGTATACTCGGCGAGATAGTTAACATGACGCCACCATGGCCAGTGAGGGCCCTGAAAGGCCACTTATTTCCAGGGCTTGAACCCCGGCATCTATTTCCTCAACGTTCTGCTCAGCGTCTGTACATCAGAACATTGTAAAACCCCCGTGAGATACACCCAGCCCCAAGGCTTCGTGCCACCCTCCCATCCTGGCTCTGTTGTTGCCCTAACAGCTACCTGTCCCTGGACGACTCTGTGGAACGGAGTGATGATGCTCGCCGCATTTACCGGCAGCTCCAGCGCCTCACCGCTTCACGGGGAGGCCAGGTGGGGCCCGACCCCCCACCCACGGCCAGACGCGTGGCCGCAGGCAACACCGCGGCTGAAGGAGGGCCGTGAGATGTGTGTGTGTGTGCCGGTGCGGAGAAGCGTGCACAGGTTACGATCTGCCTGCTGGGGGCATTGCCAATACCGACAGCAGCAGCAATGAGTTGTATTCATATTAACCCTTTCCCGTTCTGAGACATCTGTAAGTTGCAGGGTGGGGACCTTTCACCTCTGAATCTCGTAACGTGCAAGCGGTTAAGTGTTAATTTTATTTAGAGAGGCATAGCGCCGTTGTTTTAAAGACATTGTTATTCGCCGCAGAGAACAGTCGCGACATGACCGTACTCAAATAATAGCTCGTAGGAGCCTCGATAACGATAAAGTTATTAAATTTTTTCCTTCCGGTTTAGCTTTGATGTACACGTACGTCATCGGAATGGGAAAGGGTTTTGCAGACCAACATAATCCAGCATCATTTAAGGAATTTAATTCCGCAGCGGTTTTGTAATTTTTGGTTTCATCAGTTCAGTCTGGCTTTTTAAGCAAATGCTGCTGGGTTATTATATCTTATTGGCCAGAGTACTCCATCTATCAGGGGTGGGGAACGTCCGGCCCGCGGGCCGTGTAAGGCCCGCGAAATCATTTGGTCTGGCCCTGCCAAGGCAACCGCATGACTCGAAATTCAATAAATCTAGGCGCTTTTTTCATAGCAACATATATTTAATTTTGTATTGCCCACGAATTATGTTATTTAATATCCAAATGGCCCTTGATAAAAAAAAGGTTCCCCACCCCTGATTCTAAACGATGGGGTACTGTCCCAAAGCTGAAAGCAATATTGTATAAAAACTGATTTTGCGTTGTTGCCGAACATTATGGCTAACAGCGAATGTAAATGGATCCGAGTTTGTGTTCATATTACACGTGCAACAAAGCATCCATATCAAAATTCTTATGCTCATGATGTATGCATTCTCTCTCGTGTCCTAGAATTATGAATAAGTCACGCCATGTGTATGCAAATGATGTACTCATAGAACATTGAAGCATATGTAGCATACAAAACCGTACAAATGTAACGTGAAAATGAGAAACAATATGAATAAAATGTTGAAAACAAGACAAAAAAATTACATACCGAATCAAATGATACGTGAATTCTTACAGGCCCAATCCACATACAGTAGTGAGAGCTGATCTAAAACACTCAACATTAGTGGCCTCGAGCAAGTGGTGGATATTCCACATTCCCCTGGTGGGGCTGTCGCACTGTAAACATGGGGAGGAAATAGGGGCACCACGGTGGTGAGATATTAGCTACCTCACCTGGTGTACAGGAGGTCGTGGGTCCGATCCCAACCCCGACACCTGAATATTTGGAGTTTCCATCTTCTCCCCGTAGTCGCGAGGAATTTTTCTCCGGGTCCTCCAGTTTTCGCTCCACATTTAGAGTATTTGGCCACTATAAATTACCACGTGATGATGAAGCCACTTCGTTGAGCTATCATTTGTTGTCAGCTCGATTCTGAAAAAGAGCTACATAGCTCAGTGGGCCTTACCCGGTCAAAAAAAACCAGATACAAAAAAATACTGTCCATTATATATTAAGTCTAGACCGATGGTGCTGTGTGGGCAGTGCGTTTTGACACAGCACGTGGATTTATTTACTGCGGGCGTATATATATATGCGACTACATCTCCGCACGGCATATCGTGTTTATGTTACAGAGACAAAGAGGCAGGCAGAGAAAAACTGCAAGGCCTTGAGTCCTTGACTTGACCAAAGCCACAGAGTCTATAGTACAGATGGCTGGGGGGAGGAAGTTCCAGACATCGGGAGCAGCAGAAGTTAAATAAGCGACCCCTCCCACCGCGCGAATAGGAAGGTCATAAGCCCAAAAGTCCAGTCGGGGTTCCATGTAGCCCTTTTGTCACTTTGCGATCGATGAAATTTATACTGATTTGTTGGAGGTCAATATAGGTCGTCCTGAAGATAGACCCGCCCCTGTCATAGGAATATGGAACTTCCAGGACTGGCTCAAAACTGTATCCAGCAGACGGGCGGCCATCCCATGCTCACGAGCGCAAGAATGCAGCACAAACATTCACACGGCAAGAAAGCAACCCTTACCATCACACAAGTTCCATTTTCCGCCAGGCACCTTTATTTCTAATATAATTTCTGCCTACTTACAATATAATATAATGATCACGCGGAAGATTAATAAATTATAAGTGGCATGCGTTCCATTGACAAAAAGTGTGCATGAGGGAGGTTTCGTACAAGTCGGTCGCGTGCGTGAAATTTGCCGACGCGATGCGCGGGAACGTCCGTCGAGAGCCAAGTGGAACGAGAGCTGCCTTCGTTACGCTTAGCTGGCGTCAAGGCGTAAGCCAGGGGGTGTCAAACACGAATTGGATTCAAGCGCACCTCCCGCGGGCCACACAGCTGGGCCTATGAAAATTAATAGCATAATTATACGGTATTTATTTACTGCTTTCAAGCGTGGGAAAAGGGGAGTTGATGTATGTTATTGGCAGCAGGGCCACGCCAAATCCCCCCGTTTCAATGTCTGGTTTGAATTCGGGTTGAATTTAGGTTGAATGATTAAAAATATATGTATATATGGATAAGTCATACAAATTTTAACACGTGGCAGCCTGGAGGAAGGGGCTTGGGGGACCATGTGTGGCCCGCGTTTAACACCCCCTGGCGTGAATTAAACACATGGTTAAAACGAGTTGCTACGAAATGACCGACTCGGGGAAATAATAAAAACGAGTGCTCAATACACCAAAAAGCTAGGGTTGTCACGATATCACTTTCACGAAACGATCGAAATTTTTGCAACTATAACGATTATCGGTTTCCTATTACTCTGAAAATTGTATTTCTCATTGTTACTGTTTAGCGTTCTTGTGCTTTGCTGTACCTCCGGTCCGAATAAAGATTCCTTATGAAGTTCTTGAGCTGCAGCTTGCTCAACATAAGCCCTGCCCATACGCTTTTGAATCATTGTAAGTTTAAAAATAAAATGCTTAAAACTGTAAAGTTATGCAAAACATTAAGAATGAAATTACGTAGGGAAAGTATAACACTGCGCTGTCAATTACTCTACAAAAGTTTTGCAAGCAACTAATTTCATGGGTAACAGCTTTAGATTTTTTAAGCATTTAATGATTCTTTCGTATTGTCAGAAATGTTTTTCTTTAAAATATAATTTCATGGGATAAACCAGCAAATCACGATGTCGTACAACCCCAGTAGAATGACGTCAACCAGGGTAACCCTGTACAACAACAAGCCGCCCTAGTGTCACCGTGGTTAGAGCACTTGCCTTTCAACGGCGAGACTGGTCCTTGCCATGACAATATGGAATTACCACCACTTGGCTCAGGACCGTCAATCCAAGTGAAGGCCGCCCAACATGCGATTGAGCAAATGGGCACCGAATTTCGACGGAGATTTGTTCAAATAATCCACGACACATGTTCAGTAGGCTTTCGCAGTACATTATATAAAACAATGCAAAATTCAGGTCAAGTATCGGACACATAAATTACAATGCAGCAACGACAACGCACGTTTGGGTTATTCGACAGGCACACACAGCACATATATTTTTTGTTATGCCACTCCAAGTGCTTACATTCCTTAGTCAAGACATTGTCAACCAAATTACGGGTATTTTAAACTAGGATAAACTCTCATAATGCACTGCAGGAATAAAACATAACAGCACCAAGATAGAAATCCATGATCTTTTGGCAGAAAGGGCACTATAACCTCCCCACACCCCCATACGGGTGTGTTTGTGCATCTGGTCATGGTGTTGGCCGTACTACACCCCTCCTCCTGTGCTGCTCCGGCCTTAACAGGGCACACGCACATAGACACCAATAACAATTAAAAACACACAACAGCTGTCATTCACCACCAAGTGGTGAAGTCACCGCAGGACTTGTGCCAGGTTAGGTTCACTTTGTGGAAGGCCCAGGCTTACTGAAATGGCTGACCAATACATACAAAGATACCGACGTACGGTCAAAGATCTCCCCATACAAGTGCTGCTTTGGGAGCACCTATTAAAGCTGTCACGGAGCACAATAAGTTGGTGTAGCCAGTACTATGCCTGGCCGTCTTTGTCTCCTAGGGGAAGTCCAGGAGCAGTTCAGCTTCCATTCGCCAATGATGGTGGTTGTAGCCGGGAATCAAACTCAATAGCACAGTAGTTGGTGCACTGTGCTACGATCGTGGCAAACCGGCGTTCAATTACCAGGCATGATACGCATCAATTGCACGTGATATCTGACCCTCTGTGAGCCTTCTATAGATCAACCGAGCCTTAAACGGGTACAACCCACATTGTGCTAAGATCAGGAACGGGAAGACAAAGGCGGGCAGCAATAGTTCTGGCTACCCCACTACCTCGTGTGCACTGAAGGCCTTCTTAGTAGGGGCTCGCAAGCAACACTTTTGCCACGATGATCCAAGGGATTACACGCGTTCACACATAACTGCAGGGGAGTGGTGGTGGAGAGGTTTGTCCTCGGAACCCAAAAACTTGGGTTCAATTTGTGGACATTTGCACCAGTAGCATATAAATATGGCTTGGCTTTCTCCTAGGTAGACTCGGCCTGAAATTAGAATGTGGTGTCTCGTTGCTCAACGAACCCCACTGGGAAGACAAATGGGGCCATGCGTGCATGGTGTGTGGTGCCCCCCCCCATCCCCCTTTATGTACCGCACATCTCCACGCTCGAACGAGCATCAGACTTAAGCTGGCAGTGGAAATTCCACATTCACATGACAGCGGTTAACTGTAGTAATAGGTTTTTACCCTTTTATCTGGCAGAAAAACTGACACCTTTATACAAGGGATCATGTTTGCATTAACCACAACACTTGCGGTCAAAATGCAAACAAAAAGACAACTCTGAAAATGTATGCACTGTCCTTGAAATTGTTTGGTCCACACCCGAGACAGCTTTTCTTAGAGCCTAGTCTCACATGGTGTTGTTGGACCAGATGACGCCAAAAGGCGCACAACTGAAAAGCGGTTAACTGCTCTGCGAGCAAACGACTGTTGGCTTCCCACAAAGCACGACTCATTTTTATCACTCGTACACAAGAGGACGACTGATGATAGGCCGAATCGTTTAGCGACCGGGATCCGAGGTTGCGGAGCGCCGAGCATGGTACCACCAAGCTGTCGGTTTCTGTGAATGGAGCGATCAAATATCACGAACGGGGGGGGGGGATCTCAAATGATTGTGAGCACAATAGGATCTCAAGTTACACATGTGCTCCCCCCTTCAGAAGGTGCAATTGTATTCTATCGTACAGCAACATGATCGGGAGACAAGTGCCTATATGTTGAAGTTGGGCAGGAGACGGTAACCTCGCGGTGGCGTGACCCGTCACCTGTTTTTGTTTCACAGTAAAAACACAAATGAACCACAATACCTTGCTGATATCGTCAATGAGCATAAAGCATTACGCAAAACTCCGGTCATCCTCACAGCAGCGGCTTTTGGCTAGCCATCGAACAAAGATGGTCACTGCATCGCGCACTTTCAGATGCAATTCTGCGGCCGTCTGGAACGCTCTTTCCTTCCTATATTAGGAAGCCACTGGAGCTATGCACTTTTAAATATAGATTGAAAACTCGTTTCTTTAGAACTACTTTTTGTGTTTAGTTTGTTGTCCTTCCCCCCGCACCTCCTATTAGCATGGTTGGCTACGTACGGTGCGAAATAACTTCAACATAAGTACATACAACTGACACCGTCATCTGGGTGACATGGACGTCGTGAATTGGAATCTAGATATGCTCAAAAGGTGCAATTATCAGGCACAAAAAAACTCGGGAACAATGAATCGATGTCCAGCGTTACAATTCGGAAACAAAACACTTTGATAAAAAAAAATTCAGGCAAAAACACCTAAAATGTTGCAATTTAAATGAAAGTAAAAAATCGATGCCTCTGAAATGTCGCTGTGAAACTAGAAATCACTATTCTAGATTTGAAGTTTTCGTGACTGCAAGGATCCATACTCTTTGGTTCTTTCGGTAAAGTCACGTAGGTGAAAAAAATAAAAAATAAGAATAATTTTGTTATTTCTATTTTTTTATTCTTTTTCAATTTTTTTCACCTACATGACTTTACCGAAAGAACCAATGAGTATATATCACTAACATATAGATAAACTTTGTTAGTATAGCTTGTGATGCAATGAACATTGTCTATAACCTTAGAGAAACACAACTGTGCTGCAGGGAAATAGGTAAAAGTGCGGGTGTGGTCTGTGATGTGAGTGGTGATAAATAAAACGAGATGATTTCAACTCAAGCAAACGCTCATCAACTTAACCCAACATCGCATACTCTTGCACGTTTAAGAAACTACCCAAAATGTGCAAGCAACCCGATGCCCTGTAAGCACACAGCACTGACCGTAACGTTGCACCTTTATCCTATTCCAGGAAGGAACTTCAACAAACAAAAACAAGCAGGTGCGATGTAGCAGCTCAACAGCTAGGCCAGCACCATTGGTGGAGGAACCTATTAGTTCCTGGGGGCTGAACTGCAACTTCAAATTACAAAGATAAAGCTCCCCCGTATAGCCTTCAACAAACTGATGGGGCGAGTGCTGTTAGCGGAGCACCGATAAAGGTCGGCACGGCACATGATGTGATGGGGTTGGTGGCCAAAAGCACACGCGGCCGCCTTTCTCTCCCCAGTGGTGATGTTTACACACCACACCATGTACTCATTTTAAGGTCGTGTCAACCTAAGCAAGGCCTAGAAGCGGTTCAAACATTAGCCACTGTTATTGATCTTGAGCGTGAGTCCAACTCGGGTTGCCGGGGTCATGGCGCATTTCCGTAATCACTGCCGCACCGCCCTCCCTCACCCACCACTGCAAGGACCTCTTGCATTCGTAGGGGGGACGTGAGCGCACTAGAATTAAAAACACAGCGTTGGCAAGTCAAAAGCATTCCCATCTCGTGCGACGCTTGCAGCGACCTTTGAAGCTAATTAGCGGGTTGTTTATAAAAGGCAGTTCCCATGTGGCCCCGGGCTGCATGAAGTAAAGTCATGTGCCTGATACAGCCCGCGGGCCACATATTTCATTCTTTAGCCCTGATCTACGTTGTGCTTCAATGGCCGTTCAACATTAGTTCAGCAGTAGCCGGGCGATAGTGGCTACGCACGTGGCCTGTAATCCAACACTGTGGAGGCAGCGAGGGTTGGTGGATCGCACACAGATGTTGGGAACCTCTCTACCCATAGGCGTCGAGGTGCAATACCCTGGCTCGCCAGGAGAAGTAAAGGTACAGCGAAAATGTGGACTCCCACCTGTTCTGTCTTAGTGTTGCCGCCTTGCACGCGTGGGTTGTTTCCCCGTTGCTCCGGTTTCCTCCCACATGTAACTGCGCATTGTTTGGCCAATAACATCTTAATATGTAGAGGACCGCAGAGGTTGGCTGCCTTCCCCGTGGTTCCTCCTCGAATCCCTGAGTCATCCACTCTCTACGAGAGCGAGCGAATAATGGGCGCATTACAAGCTCCCGTTATTATATTATTCACCAGTGAGAGAAGATATTGTCTTGTGTGAAATTGCAACTTTCAGTCAAAAGTCCATTTCGCAGTTTAGGTATAAAGTTTTACTTACCCAGGAAAGACTTGGGTGAGTCTCAAGATTATTCCTCTTCTGCAGAGTGATGCATGAAGATGTTTGGCTAATTCTGTTTGACTTTGTGTGGGAGGAAACTGCAGAACTATGCATACAAGGGGGTAACACTCAAAGTCTCCGCACCGACCGATTCAAGAATCTGCCGCTGTACTGCCATCTCCTAGCCACCGCACAGCCCGAGCTTATGATACCAACTTTGTATTGCAAGGTACGTCTCCCATCCAGGTATCAAGCAGGCTCCACTGTGCTTAAGATCCTGATATCAGACGAGGTTAGGCATATTCATGGCGATTTAGTAGTCATAGGCAAATCAGTGAGAGCGCCACGCTTGCCCGAGACCAGGGGTCGGCAATTTGCAGCTCCAGAGCCGCATGCGGCTCTTTAAAGGACCGCTTTGTGACGTTGTTTATTAAGGACCACCGTCTAATATTCACATGCATTGCGGCTCTTGAAATAGTTTTTTTTACCGAATTCGAACAAAAATAGCTCTTCTCTAAATGTGGTAGCCGACCCCTGCCCTAGACTCATTTGTGCACAATAGCTGCACCGCATAGCTGCACAGTGAAGCATCCGTGGCAGCCTCAATGCTAATCCGCAGCCACACTGCTCGAGTCCCCGCACTTCCACTCACAAGCAGACAGCCCCGTGGACCCCGGTTACAATACACGACGCCGTGGGTGCACGCTTGCGAGCCGCCCCAAATAAACGGAACCCAACACAAGGAAGGGGAATCTGAAACCTGTAATTGTGATACGTTGCCCTGTAGCCAGGAGCCCGTGTGCCACAGGTGAATTACCAGTGGTTGTGTTTTTGCAGACGCAGAGTTAAAATGCCACATTGCCATGCTTTGTAAAAAATAAATTCGGAATAAAAATAAAACGGCACCCAATTAACCTCTTGGCAGGTTGCGTTTTCCTTTAATAGGCTGAATGTGTCCACACAGCCTAGTTTTTACAGGTAGCAGCAACCTTCCATGTCTGGCAATGCCCTAAACAAGGCCGTTCGATTCGTACAAGCACACGAGGCGTGCGTGCCAACAGCTTAAACGGTCGCTCAGTACATTACCGATTGCACCATCACTTTCTCAGTATATTACTGAGCAAGTGATGGTGTAATCGGTAGGATTGCACCATCACTTTCTCAGTATATTACTGAGCAAGTGATGGTGTAATCGGTAGGATTGCACCATCAGGTCCGTTTCTAAAGCGCAGCATCATAAGCCTGGCTGCTGGCCATGGCTGCTGATGGAATGATACGTGAGGAAGTATTATGGCTGTAGGGTCAGACAGAGAAAGGCGTTGGGAGCGCAAGGCTCCCTGTCAACGCACGGCAAAGCGACTATTAAAGGAATTTGCATGAAAAGTCAAGCATTCATGACTCGGATGAAAGTCATTCAAAGGCCTTTGCTACTACATTAAGTATTTTCTTAAATACAATGTTACCGATGCGATTCGTTACAAAATATTTTAGCAGTATAATTTTAAATATGCATTTGTCTTGCAAATTAACTCTTTACATGTATTTTTTGTTATTTCCACTCTAATTTACTGCGTCTGCTGAATGCGCGTCCGGTTAGAGCACATGACTCGCAATCGTGAAGAGTTGCAAATTCAAATCCCGGTCATGGTTCAGTCAATTTTGCCCATCATCCCTTGGGGCTTGTAAAATGAATACCACTTTGTGGGAAGCGCAAAGACAAAGATCACCCATATAGCCTGAACAGACTGTTGGGGCAAATGCTGTTAGCGAGCACCTATGAAGGCCAGCACAGCACACAAGGGGGTGGGTGGCAGGCACCACACCCGGCCGCCTTTGTCTCCCGAGTGGATACATTTACACACCGCGCCAGGTACTCATTTGAGACTGCGTCGACCTAGGGAAGGCCCAGGACCGGTTCAGACAATCGTCACTGGTGTTGACCATGAGCGAGAATGAAACTCGAGTTCGCCGGTTTGCAGTGCAGCGCGCTAACCGTTCCACAGTGGTCAGCACACGCAGACACTGGTCCCCACCATAGGTGTGTGTGGGATTTCCTCTGCTGGCACAGGGTAGCAGCCGCCAGCACAAAGCGTCCTGTCCGAGGCTTATTTTATTAAGGACCACCATGTAGTATTCACATTTCATTGCAGCTCTTGAAAAAGTTGAGGTTTTGCCCCAAATTCGAGCAAAAATCGCTATTTAAGAGGGATCAGTGGTGAATCTCACCAGACGCAAGTGGTGAAAGGTCAAAGGTGAAACGAACACTTGGGAAATGGTGTACGGTTTGAGCAACAACGCATCACCCTGTCAGTGGCTGTACGACAAAACCATCACAAAAACCATCGCCGACTGGCCACATTACAACGCTACAGGCAGTGTGGTATCTATCGCACAGAGCTGATAATCAGCTACGCAACGACTGCGTAGGTTTTCACGGTTGTGCCGTACAGGCCTCCAAACCTGTAAACACGACAGAGAGCTTCCAGCTGTATTGAACGATCCCCTATGCACGCATACACACACCCCCACGTACAGCTTTATCCGTGTTTACGATCACCGTCACACGCGTGCTCGCATTATAAATGGATTTTCCACGACAGAGAAATGCGAGCCGTTAAATTGCGGAGGTTGCACGAGCGCTCAGGCGAACGGGTGAACGGATCTGCCGGCTTCAGAGCGGCGCAGCAGCCGCCGCCATTGGGCATTGTGGGAAATGAGCGCTCGCTGCTGCGCGACACTGGACTCCGTCTGCAAACTCCACGCTCTAGGCAGCGTGCAGAGTGTGCACTTCTGCTTGTGTGCAAATCTCCTCCGTCTTAACGTTAGTCGACCTTGTGGACAAACAGGTCCCTGCCATATGAATGTGGAAATTCCACTACTGGCTCAGGGGGTACTAGCAGTAAGAGATATGAGTGCCATTACATTTCTTGCTTTTCAGCAGGTGAACTATTTAACTTTATTTGTCTGGCTAATGACAGGCATGTTAGCCTTGGCGATCCACTTGTGTCCACAACTGTAATCTCCATGTTTGTCAAATGATGGGAATATTGCCATTGTGTTTTGTTCCCCTGGAAGAAGTAGAACTAAAACAACCCACTAATAACAGGCGGTTTCCATTTGTACACGAAGTGTCAAGAGTCAAATTGTCTCCCCGCTCTAACAAGCAATGGGGCTGCACTCATTTAGTGATGACCATCATTGACCCTTTAGTGCAAATTCCATGGCAGACCCAGGTATATCCACAAGACAACCACAATTCACTTCATTTGTTTGAATCTAGCGCAGTGATTATGAACGATGTAGATCCCTCCTAGCAAACGGAATATGAACTCTCAACCTTTTGAGTCAAATTAACTAATTAAAGCATCATCCATCATGATTCAAATAAAACTGTGAACCATTAACCATAATCTTTAATTATTTTCAGGAGGATCTGCCTCCATTGGATTTTTATTTTAAGATGTTTTCAGCCGTTTAATGAGTGTTTACATGTGAGAGAAAACCAAACCACCCGGAGAAAGCTCTGTGTGTGTGGTGATCAGCGGTGTGTGTGTGTGTGGTGACCTCTATGTGTTTGTGTCGTGATACCTGCGAGGGGAAGGGCAACGCTCTATCCCCCGTACAAATGTGAACAGATGGAGATTTAGTCCACACTTTGCTGTACCGCGTTCTCCTGGCGAGCCACAGTATGGTTCCACCTCGACACCCATGGGAAGGGGGTTTCACAAAATCTGTGTGGTGATCCACCGACCCTGGCTGCTGCCTCCACAGTGCTGGATTACAGGCAGCCACGTGCATAGCCACCACCACCCAGTTAAATACCGGGAGCCACCACAGTGCCCTTACAAGGGCACCGCATTGGCGAGATGTTAACTGCCTCACCTAGTATACAGGGGGTCTTGGGTTTGATCCCGACCATGATGCCTGCATATTTGGAATTTGCATGTTCTCCCCGTAGTTACATGGATTTTTCTCCGGGTCCTCCGGTTTTTCCCTCCACATTTGTAAACATGCGTTTAAGAGTAATTGGCCGCTATAAATGTCCACGTGATAAGCCGCTTCGTTGGGCTATCATTTGTGATAGCCAGGTCTTACCTGGTAAAATAAAAAACATAGTTTTAGTTTCGTTTGACTAAATGAAATTGAATTGTACTCATGTACATATGTTGAAGTTATTTCATTATGAATCACAGTTTAATTTGCATCTGGAATATATCCTTCTTTAATAAAGCGCAGGTTATTTGCTCCTGCAATGTTTAAGCAGGCAGCAGAAATGTCACATTTCTATAAAGATCTCTTCATAAAGAATTGTTTTTGCGGCTAATTCGCGACAATGCAGGTGTGTTGTCTTACACCGCCCCTTCCTTCACGAAATCTTCAGGCGAGGCAAACCTGAGCGTCAACTCCTGAGTCTTCGGGGTGCGAGGGAGTTACCGCGATGGAGTTGATGAAATGCTGTGAGAAGAAGCGTCAGTCACGGCGTTTATGCCTGCCCTCTCCGTGCTGGTGGGTCCACCGGAATGCTCCAGTAGCTGATGCTGTGCCGTCGATAGTTCTCCGAAAGCAGCACCGTGGCGAAAATACGCAAGGATACTTCAGAATCTGTCAAAGCAGAACGGGAAGAGTTGTGGCGTTAAGACAATGAGCTCGGCGGAGAGTTACATGCGCATGGATCCCGTAAACGCGTTGGAAGTACCAGAAGATGTATTTATACTGGAGGAATTCGATGAGCTATAAAGCTCTTCTTCACAGATGTCCAGTAGGGGGCGGGTCAGGACATTACAACAACAACTAAAAATACAAAGACACTATAAGAGTCCAAAGTATGGGAAAAGTAAACAAATCACTTTAAAAAAATACAAATAAAACGAATCTATTTTTATCTTACCAGATCAAGCCCACTGAGCTATTAACTTATTTTTCAGAAGTGGCCTGGCCACAAGTTATAGCTCAACAATGTCGCTTGTCATGTGGAAATAATCGAAACAATCTAAATGCATGTTTTGAAATGTGGAGGAAAAAACTCCGGAGAAAAAAATCCACGCGCCTCCTGCATACCAGGCGAGCACAATAACATCACAACACCGGGTCCCCCCTTAAATAAATAAAAGTAGATAAGTTCAAACCAGCTGTGCCTTCCCTAGCACCAACAGACACCGAACAGTGTAATGAAGTATGGTCAAACCAACCCCATTAATCATATGTGATCGGGAGGGCTTAATTCAGTAGTGGTTTAATATAGGACTGTAAATGATCATTAACGCGTTGTATGTATGTATGTATGCTGCACTTTTTTTCCGACCATACGTAGCCAACCTTGCTAACTGGAGATGGGGGGGAAGGTACCTGACAGCGACGCCGACAGCAGCAGCCACTCCTGAAGCCACTGCCTGCACGCCTGGATCCCCAGGGTGTACGGGTTGAGGCCCCTAACGTAGCAGGCCTGATACACACGCGGGGGGCGGGGATGGGTGGGGGGTTAGAGGGGGGAGACGTACCAACGCGGCATGAGACCACCGCGCACTCTGTGGGCACGGCGTGTCACACGTGCGACGTGGTGGCAGCCGCAGTTTGCTATGCATTCCCAACGTACAGCACCGCTGCACTGCATCACTCGCGGCACGTCGCACCCACAGCACATCACATCCAATCGTGACGTATTGCACGAGCCATGTCCGTCACACCAAACTTACACCTCGCAATTTTTACAACACGACTTGTCCTGTTTGCAATACAAACTGTGTCAACGCAATAAACTATGCACACACCACACACCGCAGAAACGATCTCCACTTACCACGTGTACAGCTCTGAGCCAACTTGTGGTGAGGTCGCGATGTGTGGTGTGGACAACTTTGTAGTGGTACAGTCAATTAGCCACGCCCAGCCAACTGCAAACACCGTCTACCGCATGCGAGCGCTGGCTGGCGCGGTCTAGAGTGGTGTGCGACCCCACGGGTTCACGAGCAATGTCGCCGGGAGGGAAGCCGTGCAGTCCCCGCCACTCCTTGCTCGGCTGCAGCGAGAGCGGCCAACTCCTCCTCCTACACCTCCTCCTCGTCACCTATGCTCTCACCTTCCTGACCTCGTCGTCCGTCAGCTGCTGCGGCCCCATCCGAAGGAGTGCGCGGTCCAGGTGGCCGATTTCCGTGGCATGAGAGAGAAGGCGGCGGCGGAGCCACGGCGCCGGCACGCGCGCGGTGAGCGCCATGACGCGGCTCAGGGTCCTCTAAACCCGGCACGGTGAGCACACACACACACAGAGCTAATCACTAGACACACACACAGAGCTAATCACTAGACACACACACAGAGCTAATCACTAGACACACACACAGCTGGTCACTACACACACACACAGCCAGTCACTACACACACACAGCCAGTCACTGCACACACACACAGCCAGTCACTGCACACACACACACACAGCCAGTCACTACACACACAGCCAGTCACTACACACACACACACAACCAGTCAGTCACTACACACACACACACAGCCGGTCACTACACACACACACAGTCACTACACACACACACACAGCTGGTCACTACACACACACAGCCAGTCACTACACACACACACACAGCCAGTCAGTCACTACACACACACACACAGCCGGTCACTACACACACAGCCAGTCACTACACACACACACACAGCCAGTCACTACACACACACACAGCCAGTCAGTCACTACACACACACACACAGCCGGTCACTACACACACACACAGTCACTACACACACACACACAGCTGGTCACTACACACACACACACAGCCAGTCACTACACACACACACAGCCAGTCAGTCACTAACACACACACACAGCCGGTCACTACACACACACACACACAGTCACTACACACACACACACACAGAAAATCACTAGACACACACACAGAGCCAATCACTACACACACACAGCTGTTCACTACACACACACACAACCGGTCACTACACACACACAAACACAGCCGGTCGCTACACACACACACACAGCTGTTCACTACACACACACACAACCGGTCACTACACACACACAAACACAGCCGGTGGCTACACACACACATACACAGTAGCTTACCAGCTGATTTGCCTTTAAACTCCAAATGTCTAGGGGAGGCTCAGAGAAGAGGGCCTGCACCGACCGGAGTTCGTTCACGCTGGGCTGCCCGTTGGTCTGCACCTGCAGAGCAAGAGCACAGCCGAGTCAATTAACGTGAAGGAACAGTTCGCTGCGAGACCAAAACAAGGTAGACAAACCTCGCATGTGAGCGGATTCGGAACCGCTCCCCAACGTCCGCTTTGGTCCTCAGAAGTATTTTAATCCGTCGACAACGTTCCACTTCGAGCCGCACGACGAAGGTGACGTCATGAGGCACGATAAGTTAAAGGTTGATTTAGTCAACAATGTGAGAACTCACGGGAGCAAAGTGGTCTCTTTTGCAAGAGTGACCTGGGTCAATAAATTAGAAAAACAAAATAATGAAATAAAGTACAGCAACAAATTACAGTCGACCTAGGGAAGGCCCAGGACATGTTCAGATAATCGCCACCGATGTCAGCCGTGACTGGGAATCGAATTTGGGTTGCCGAGTTTGTAGTTCAGAAGCTCAAAAAGCTGTGCTACCGCAACAACAACAAAACAAAGATCCCCCATATAGCTTAAACAAACTGTTGGGGCAAGTGCTGTAAGTAAACAACTATGACGACCGGCAATGACACACGAAGGTGTAGGTGACCAGCACCACACCCAATCAACCGCCTTTGTCTCCCCAGTGCTGAGGTTTACACATGGCACAATGCACCATTTACTATTACATTTTTAACGATTTACTATTTTTATATTAACCAGGTTAATCCCACTGATCTATAAATCTCTTTTTCAGAAGCAACCTGGCCACAAATGATAGCTCAACGAAGTGGCTTATCACGTGGAAATTTATAGCAGCCAAACAGTCTAAACTGCATGTTGATTTTAAATGTGGAGGGAAAAAACCGAAGGACCCGGAGAGAAATCAACGCAACCACGGGGCGAGAGACTTGTAAACTTCAAATATATAGCAGGCGTCAGGGTCGAGATCGAACCCACGACCTCCTGTATACCAGGCGAGGTAGTTAACATCTCACCACAGTGGCGAGTCAATCTAGAGAAAGCCCAGGACTGGATGAAATATTCGGCAATATGTTTGGTCACGAGCGGTCATCGAACGTAGGTCGCTCGGCTCGTAGCAGAGTGCGCTAACCGATATGCTAGCGCGCACGCGCACACACAAACATGTAACGCGGTAATGTGGCTAGATGATGCCGCACCATGTGACGACGTCCCAACGTGCGTCTGACGCGTGTGCGCACCTTGTGGCAGATCTCGAGCAGCGTCCTCTGCTTGTAGGTGTCGGGCAGCTCCTGGGCCTGGGTGAGCAGTAACGGGATGACGTGCGCGTACGAAGCAGCACGGAGGCCGTGGTAAACCTGCAGGAACTCCCGCTCCTGCTGCTCGCTCCAGAACTGGCGGATCAGGAACTGCCTCGGGTAGATGTACCTGCGAAGCACGCGGCACGGCTCACGAGTTACTGGTGGGGATGCCCAATGACGGAAGCATTGAGCCTCAAGGCCGGGAGGGCATCACGAGCAGGAATGACGGTAAAAAAAAAGCTACCAAGTCGGCCCATCAAGGCAGTGGCGCAGCGTGGTTGGGACAGGCCCCACTGCAATGAAGGAAATGCTGCTCCCTGTTTAATTCGTAGCCCGGCGTCTGGGCCCCTCTGGCAAGTGGGCCCCAATTTCACTCGATAGCTATGCCACTGCATCAAGGCAGCCTTCACTCTGCTAGCGGCCCAAGGTTACACCCACGTGTTCACGCTCTAACACACCTTCGAACGCGACGATGCTCACTCTGGCAGCGTCTGGCATGCCGTCACATTTAAAAACACATAAGAAGACCTTTTTGTTGCCAGTCTTGCCCGTCAAATTCGCGTATGTGACGTCACGACAACAGTTTTCACGTGATTCTCTCGATCGACGAGGAACTAGGAGATTCCCAAGGTGACGCAGTGCTCCGAAAAAGGTTGCACAGCCCTGGTTTTAACAATGCTCATGGGCTACATTGATCTGAGAGACCAAACTGCTACTTGCAAAGGAAACCCTTTTTTTTTCAATTCGGTGATTAAAGCAAGGCCTCTAACAAGTTAATTTACGACAACGCAAGATGTTACAAGAGCCCATGATGAAATCGCCGAGGAATGCATCATAACATGGAAGCTAAACCGGGCTGAGCCTGGACAGTGTTTGAAATGGGTGATCACCATGCACGTAACAGGTGCTGCTGCCAAGATAAATTATTGGTGGAGGGCAGTGCAGGAAAATTCACTGTTGTACTGTACCATGGTCCAATGTCTATGCTCCCTGTCTTCACCAACTCGTACTGACCAGCGTGGCGAATTATGATTTTAAAAAACCCAGAAAGCTTTTCGGGCGGCCCTCATCCGACAGTGGATTGACAAAAGGGCTGTTTGTGTACATGATGTTAAAGAGCGGGGTGTCGTCGCACGGGAACTCACATGAGCGCAAACACCGCGTAATTGGCGAACGGAGGAATGGACAGCAGCACGAGAGGAATCGCCTTGATGATGTCCCTGCGGAACTGTCAGACGGTGACACAGAGGAGACACAAAACATGCCCGTGTTGAGGATTCGGTCTATTACACTGATCGCTTTGTCTCATCCATACTGTGTTCAACCGCCGTAAACTGCAGGTCAAAACACTTTTCTTTAAGCATCTTTCATTACACTGCCCCACTTTGGCATGACCCCACATTGTTAGAACATTGCTCAGTTTCAGTGCTATTTGTTGCTGGTTGCTTGGCGCTGCGGGGCCTTTGGGCCTGTGCTTAGCTACCGTGAGTAGATGGGCGGGACACCGCAACACTGCAGGGCTTGTATCTCAATGCCTTGCAGCGCGAGGCATTTAGGTCACCACCGAGTGCTGCTGATCGGAGTCAATGGCGACCAGCGGTGGCTGAAAAAAGGTATGACGCCACGCCAGACAGGATGGTGCAGGTTGGTATAAACATTTGTAAATGAGCTTGCATTTTTCCTGGTGTGTGCCTGAGTATTTTCTGTCATGTGTGAGTTTTATCAAGGTACTCTACTTTCTGGGCGATGGTGGCTATGCACATGGCCTGTGATCCAGGAGGCATTGAGGGCTGGTAGATCGCAGACAGATGTTGTGAAACTCCCTTTATGTGGGCGTCGAGGTGCCATACACTGGCTCGCCTAAAGGTGGCGGTACAGAAAGTAGACTAATCGCCACCTGTTTCCATCTGCACGGGGATAGTGTTGCTCCCTCGTGTAAAGCGTGGGGTTTTCTCCGGGTGCGCTAGGATAGGCTGAAAACATCTTACAATAAAAACCCAATGTTAAAAAAGAGTTCTACAACTCTGTGTGGCTTTCCTAGATAAGGACGAATAAATAAAACAATGTATTCTGACATCGAAACACACACTTGTTAAAAATATAGCCGATGCGTAACTGTAATCAAGTGCTTTGGTGGTGGGAGTTAGTGGATCACACAGAGATTGATGTCGGGTTCAGACAATTGGGCTTGCCGAGGCAGTACAGCAAGTAGGATACTGACCTATCAGTACCTATCTTTCAGTGGCATTGTTCCTCACAGTACTTTATCATGGAATATATGGTGGCTCTATATATTATGGAGCAGTAAAGTGTTGGTTATTGAATATAGGTTTGCCCCCCCATCCATAAATAGTATGGAGAGCACGCATGTCAGCTGGGTCTCCTCAGCTGTCTCTTTAAATAGATTTTGTGATTTGAGACTATTGTTCCAAACACCTGCTTGCCAGGACATATATTCGACCTTGAAGCACAGCAACAATTGTACACGATCTCTATCCATACATTCTTGAATTCAAAAGTAGCGATCCTCATGCTCTGCCTTTGTACCCGCGGGTTTTTTCTAGGTACTGGGATGCAGAAGCCTGAGTCTTGGGACTGAGGCTCTTCCAGATGAAGAACTACACTGTTCTGTTATTGTTGTACAATTATTTGTTCCATACCTCTCTGAGTTTGTCCATATCTCTGTAGGTGAGGTTTTCATAACCAAATCCTTGGGAAATCAACTTCCTCTTGATTAAAAACACTTCTTTTGCATCCACCATCAGCAAACGGAAACCTTGAATGATTTCAACCAGAACAAAACATAAGCAGACAACACTTAGAACAAATTCGAGGTGCCAGAAAAAGTTAGGTACATGTGTTAGTAATATTCTTTGGGTATTTCGGTAAAGTCACGTAGACAAATTCAAAGAAAATAACTAAAATAACTAAAAACTACGACATTTCGATCACAACACAAGCGATCGTCATTAGGAGGAAAAAAGAGAAGAGGAAAGTTGCCGAGGCAGACTGTTTTAAAGGTTTAAAATGGGTGTAGCCCAAGGGTCATAAACGAAGTGGGCGGGGCTAGTGATGTTAATGTGAGAGATTAGCATGTTAATGGAAGATCACAGAGCAGCAACATCGAGCTCGGCGAGCGAGGTGGCTGTGTTAGTGTTGGAAATTGTACTTGTTAATGTAAAATCAGAGAGCCGAAAATAACAACTAACATCGGAAGGTGGTAGGATGGGAACATCACAGCAGGTTATGACTTAAATTTATTGATAATGTCTTTCCAATGATTTCTCAGTTTATACCCATCTTCTCGATTGAAATTGTGTCTGTGTCTGTATATGTGGATGGCTTCATGAACAACTCTTTGTTGATAGCCAGTGGGTTTGCAAAGTACCTTCGTCTTAGAGAAATCATTTTCGTGTGAGCCCACCGCATTAAAACAATGATCAGCCACGGCCGAGGTATTGGTCCTACCGTGTTTCAGATCTGCCTTGTGTTCATGGACACGGTCCGAGACATGTCGCTTAGTTTCCCCAATGTAACCACTGCTGCAGACACAGCTTAGTTTGTAGACGCCGGGGAATCACATGTTAGGGATCACATCTTTCACAGATGGGATCAGATCACAAATTTTATGTACTGTGTTAAATCGAACCTGGATCTTGTGTTTGCTCATGATTTTGGAGATATTTTTGGTGACCCCTGCTATGTATGGAAATGTGATGGTTTTGATTGGGTCCTCAGATGGTTCTTTCCCAACGGTTGAGGTGATAGCTTTATGGATTGTGTAGTCTGAATATCCATTCATCTTGAAAGCTTGGTGTACGTATTCCAGTTCACTGGCTAGGTGATGACGGTCAGCAATACATCGAGCTCGATGGTGTCGAGTTTTGATGAGGGAATTCTTCTGGGATGGATGGTGGTGGGAGTCAGGTTTTAGATATGCATCCGTATAGGTGGCTTTCCTGTAGACAGTGTCCCATTGAGCCATCTGGTCTCCTTTCGATTAAAACATCCAAGAATGGTAGCTTGCCATCATTTTCCACCTCCATGGCGAATTTGATGGCTGGGTGTATGGAATTGATGTGGTTGAGGAATTGGTTCAGAGCTGGTCGGCCATGTGGCCAGATGACGTGTCATCTACGTACCTCTTCCACAAGGACGGACGTAGAGTAGATGCCTGGATGGCATCTGTCTCAAAATTTTCCATGAAAACATTGGCTGCAACTGGATAAGGGATAACCCATTGGGGTACCTTCAGCTTGTTTGTAGAATGTTCCATTCCAGGTGAAGTAAGTGTTGGTGAAGCAATGTCTCACCAGGGCCGGTACATCAGCATTGTTCTTGTTGGACGAATTCTTCAATGATCGCGACGGTGTCAAGCACAGCAACTTAGGTAAACAAAGAGACCACATCGGAACTAACGAGCAAATCACCTGGAGATAGTGAGATGTCCTTAATTAACGATAAGTACAGCTGAGGTGGTCTTACCAGTGAATGGTTGTAAGGTCTCAAGACAGAAATCGGGCCAGTTTGTAGGTGGGTGAGTCAATGGTGGAGACGATAGGACGAAGGGATGTACCCTCTTTATGGATTTTTGGTAAGCCATAAAAATCTGGGTGGTCTAGCAGCAGAGGGTTTTAAGGAGAACCGCTTGGTTGGTTCGATTAAAGATGTCGAATCGGTGATGATGTTGGTTTTCATAACGAGGCTGTTGGTGGGATCTCTTAAAAAATGTGTATAGCTACCATCATTAAGTAGGTCCTGAATTTTATTGTATGTGGTTTTTATATTCTTGGTTCTTTCGGTAAAGTCACATAGAAGAAAAATAATACAAATTAAACAATTAAATATGCGGTTTTGTCCATGATTAGTTAGTAATCTCTGTGTTTTGGTCTGATAAGGAAATAAAAAGTGAAGGGAGGTAACCAAGCTGGATATGGGGTGGCAAGGGTATTTCATAAACGTGGAGCAGCAGCGCAGAAATCCTTTTCCTTTAGTTTTATCAAATGGTAGATATAAAAAATTATGCGATGGCACTTACCTCTCATGAAGGTGGAATAGAGTTTGTAGAAGTTGGGGAAATTGCGGAGCAGGAAATCCTCATATCTGGTGTTCGCTTTCTTGGTCTTGGACATGACGGCACTGGCGAGGTCCTTGTCAGCTGATGTGATGCTCCTCGAAGGCACCGAGAAGCCCGGTCTGCTTAAACATCAACATAATTGTAAATTAATCTGGAGCTGGGAAGACTGGTTCATTCAGTCAATTAACCGAGTAAAAATTTACTCATTTTTTTCGTGAATTATTTGGACACTTTTTTTAAATAGTGGGCTTCCCTGCATTGAAAGCAGGGAAATCCCTACAAGCCAAGACCAGAGTGACGTGGCTGACGATGTCACAAAGCCCTGCCCATCACCTCCTTGTCCAGCAGAACACGTGGGAGCAGAGATTTGTTTTCTCAGACTACTTTCAAGTTGTCTGATTAGTCGAGTAATCGAACTGATAATTGGCCATTGATTACTTGAATTACAGGAGAGTCCAGCTCTAAACAAGTCACACGATGAGACACAATCTCCAGATGCAATCCAACATCTGCCCAGGTGTGATGGAGATGGTTGCCACCTGACCTACTTGTGCAGTAATCCACCACTCAAGCCAATACATTTAAACGCAGTTCCATCCGTAGTTGACACCTTGGGGTTGCAAGCCTAGCATCCGCACACACCTGCACACCGGCACCTTGGGAGGTGGGGTTCTTGGATCACCCCGAGATCAATTACGTAAGAAGCCCAACCGACTGGGCCGTAAGGTGGCAAGCAGATGGCGGTACAGCAAGTAGGATGCTGATCTACGTGTATTGATTGTTGTTTGTGCGTCGTTCCCCAGTACGCGCGTAGGATTTCTTGGGTTACTCAGAGTTGCCCTTCCTCGCTATTTAAAGAGTCCAGGTCAGCGAGGGCGCCTGTTGATGACAGCACAACAAGTAGGTTGATGACCTGATTACCTTTACGACCGTTTTAGTTTGAGACCTTTTTATTTGAGTATCAAAAGGGCTGCCGTGCAGTGACAACTGTACACGATCTATATCCAGTACACATTTCGCTCTGAGATCCACCGACAGCACAATGGCTCAACTGTACGCGGTATAGGGTGCACAAACAATAGACATTGCATTCTGACTTTAAACTTTCGCGACTGCAGGAATTCATATTATTGGTTCTTTCGGGAAAGTGACGTAGATAGAAAAAGTTATAATAAAATTTTTTATTTGAAAATAATAAAAGCAAAAAACCCACGACGTTTCGATCGCAACACAAACGGTCTTCATCAGGCGGAGAAAGAAGAGAGGGGCAAGCCTCCAAATGCGACTGCTAACAAGGGCTTTCAAAGTGGGCAAAGCTGATTTTAAGCTTTCGTGACTACAGGAATCCATTCTCTTTGGTTCTTTCGGTAAAGTCACGTGGGTAGAAAAAGAATAGAACACGACGTTTCGATCGCGACACAAGCAATCGTCATCAGGTGGGACAACCACAGGCGCAGTTTGTTGTTGCTGTGGTTGTGAGCAAAGGGGCCCTCCATAAATGACGTCACGCACCTGGGGGGGGGGGCAGACATTTGTGACGATGTGACGATGGGGGGGGGGGGGGGGTTGAGAAATGTGACGTCACATAAAATGCGCAACTTTAGATATAGACTTAATCAAATATAAATAAATATCTACTTAATTAAAGACTTTTTAATAAATGTTTTCTCCTACAGCATCAGAGTGCAGCGCCACATTAAATACGCACTACAATGACAATAGTTTAAAGCGATTTGAAGCATGTTTCATTTTTTGGAGGGAGGGGGGGCAGAGCTTTGTGACGTCATATTTGAGGGGGGGGGTCTGACTTTTTGTGACGCAGTGTGACGACGGGAGGGGGGGTCAAAAATCGTCCAAAATCGCGTGACGTCATTTATGGACGGCCCCATAGCCAATTAATAAAGTTGACACGTGAACAAGCATCCCAGTGTATTCTTCAGGACCACTGGCTGGTCTGTCGGAGGGCGATCCACAATCCAGAGTGTACAACACACATCTTCATCACGCAAACTTTGATTGAAAAATCTATTATGAATCGTATTGGTCTTGAAATGCCACGTGTTAAATAATAATGTACTTTATGTCGTACAAGTAAAGCGAGTGCGTTAGACAATGGGGGGAGGGGGCAGAGACAGGGGGGGGGGAGATGGGGGGGCTGAAAGGCGACGGGGAGGGAGTTTCGCAACATTCGTGTGACCCACCAACCCTCGCTGCTACCTTCACAGCGCTGGATTACAGGCAGCCACGTGTGTGTGTGTGTGCGATTTGTACCGTACACACCACCACACACACACACACGTGGTGTACACACCACGTGTGTGTGTGTGGTGATTACCATACACACGTGTGTGTGGTGTGTGTGTGTACCGTACACACTGTACACACACACACATGTGTGTGTGGTGTGTGTGTGTGGTGTGTGTACCGTACACACTGTACACATACACATGTGTGTGTGGTGTGTGTGTGGTATGTGTGTGTACCGTACACACTGCATACTGCACACACGTGTGTGTGTGGTGTGTGTACCGTACACACTGTACACATACACATGTGTGTGTGGTGTGTGTGTGGTATGTGTGTGTACCGTACACACTGCATACTGCACACACGTGTGTGTGTGGTGTGTGTACCGTACACACTGTACACATACACATGTGTGTGTGGTGTGTGTGTGGTATGTGTGTGTACCGTACACACTGCATACTGCACACACGTGTGTGTGTGGTGTGTGTGTACCGTACACACTGCACACACACCACACGTGTGTACGTGTGTAGTGTGTGTGCGTACACACACACACTACACACGCGCGCGCACGTGGACGTCTCCAATGGCACATTGAACTCGTGGTCACCGCGCGTCGCCTCGCACGGAACCCCTCCTCGAGGCGGTTGTCGCTGCCCCGAGGGAGTCGGGGGGGGGGGGAGGGACACAGCCAGGTACCTGGGCAGACGAGGGCAGCGCGACCCGGGCGAGGAGACGAGGAGGAGAGGGAGGAGACGGCGGGGAGAGCAGCGGCAGCAGCAGCAGCCGCCGCGGCGCAGCGCGGAGCGGGCGGCGTGCGCCGCCATCGCCTTCCCGGGGGTCGCTTCCGTGTGGGCGATGACGTCACGACGCGCGTGGCCAGACAAAGGCGCAGCCCTGCAATTGCTCGCTCGGGTGTCCGCTGCCCCCCCCACCCGCCGTGCCGCCCCACCCACCCACCGTGCCCCCCCCCCCACCCACCGTGCCCCCCCCCACCCACCCACCCGCCGTGCCCCCCCCACCCACCCACCCGCCGTGCCCCCCCCCACCCACCCGCCGTGCCCCCCCCACCCACCCGCCGTGCCCCCCCCACCCACCCGCCGTGCCCCCCCCCCACCCACCGTGCCCCCACCCAACCCACCGTGCCCCACCCCCATGCCCCCGCCATGCCCCACAACCCATGCCCCCCTTCATGCCCCCCCCATGCCCCACCCCCATGCCCCACCCCCATGCCCCCCTTCATGCCCCCCCCCATGCCCCACCCCCATGCCTTACCCCCATCCCCCACACCCCCATGCCCCCCCCACCATGCCCCCCTTCATGCCCCCCCCCATGCCCCACCCCCATGCCCCCCCCCACCATGCCCCCCCTCATGCCCCCCCCCCCATGCCCCATGCCCCACCCCCATGCCCCACCCCCATGCCCCACCCCCATGCCCCACCCCCATGCCCCCCCTCATGCCCCCCCCATGCTCCACCCCCCACCCCCATGCCCCACCCCCATGCCCCCCCCCCACCATGCCCCCCCTCATGCCCCACCCCCATGCCCCACCCCCATGCCCCCGCCATGCCCCACCCCATACCCCCCATGCCCCACAACCCATGCCCCCCTTCATGCCCTCCCCATGCCCCCCCCCCACGTCCCACCCCCATGCCCCCGCCATGCTCCCCCCCCCATACCCCCTCATGCCCTAAAACCCATGCCCCCACGGCTATGCGGTTCATGGGGGGTTAATTCGCCAAAGTTAATTGTTCATTGCATCGCAATATATATTAACAAGGTTTATATGTACATTGTATATGTTATAGCGGGAAGTACCCGGCGTTGCCCGGGCGAAAATATATTTCAAAACTTCTCTTAAAAACCTTACATATACATACACAGATACTAAGCTATTGTGAAAGCCCGGTGGGCCGTTTGTCTATTTCTCCACCAACAAAATTATAAGAGGCTTGCACAAGTCCAAAAAGATATAGAAAGTGGGGGGTAAATAGTTGATCTAAAAGGTTTCCGAAAATTGTCGACCCCCCCCCCCCCTCAAAACATACATTTACCCCCGCGTATGTATATATACCTACACACCCTACATACAACAGAGTAAGTAGTACATATTGACTTTGTAGTTGTATCTACTGACTGTACAGTAGTATCTACTGAGCCAGTAGTAGCTACTGACTGTTTAGTAGTATTTACTGACAGCAGTAACGAATGACCGTAGTAGTAGTAGTAGTATTTACTGGCCCTACAGTAGTATTTACCGACTCTAAAGTAGAATTTTATATCTACGTGACTTTACCGAAAGAACCAAAGGGTATGGATTCCTGCAGTCACGAAAGCTTCAAATCAAGATATCCACTACTAACTTTATAGTAGTATCTGCTGACTATAGTAGTATCCACTGACTATAGTAGTAACTACTAACTCTATAGCAGTATCTACTGACTCTAGTAACTACTGACTGTAGTAGTATCTACTAACTCTATATAGCAGTATCTAGCAACTCAATAGCAGTATCTACTATCACTACGGCAGTGCATACCGACTCTGGTGGTACCTGCTTTAACTTCAGCAGTGCATACCGACTGTGATGGTTCCTGCTATCACTACAGCAGTGCCTACTGACTGTGGTGGTACTTGCTATCACTACAGCAGTGCATACTGACTGTGGTGGCACCTGCTATGACTACAGCAGTGCATACCAAATTTGCTGGTACCTGCTTTAACTACAGCATTGCATACCGACTGTGATGGTTCCTGCTATCACTACAGCAGTGCATACCGCTTGTGGTGGTACCTGCTATGATTAGAGCGTTGCATACCGACTGTGGTGGATTCTGCTATCACTACAGCAGTGCATACCAACTTTGAAACACAGATTGACAAAAAATGTTGCCCTTATTGAGACGGCTGTACACCGTAAGGACCTGAAAACTAAATGTCCCTGTACAAGTGTAATGGTTCGATCGAGGCGCACACACTCGTGTGGAGGCAACACTTTATTTAACACAACTGCAACACAACTGCAACACACCCTACGCATAAGGTAGTGACCACCGTCCTACTCCCGATCATTGCACGGCCGGACAGTTGTTGGCTGTCTTGGTTGATGCCATCGGTGCAACGCGGTCAGGGTTGTGTCTAGGCCGGGCTGTACGGCAATGTGCTTGAGAGAGGAGGCGATCCTGTGAGTGTGGACGGCCGGAGTGGTGTAATGGAATAAAAGAAAAGGTGCCTCCTGCAACTACCTCGTCTCCGACTGTGTGCTACACACACACACCGAGGAGGACACTAATAGGGCGGTTGTCTTCTTGAATAATACAGTAGAACCTCGGAGATCGAACGCACCAGAAGTCGAACAAATCGGTGTTCGAACGATATTTCGGAACATTTTTTGCCCCGGAAACCGAACGAAATTCGGAGGTCAAACGGGCAATCGCGACTTGAAAGAATCTGTACGGCTGAGATGCGTATGGCCAACGTGCATGACGCTTGCACAGACAAAGGTTTTACCACCTCCTCCGCACCACCTTCCACTGAAGCCACCAACTCTCCTTACTACAGGTAAAGTGAAGCTGAATGTTCATTTATTTAATTTATTCCATTTATTTATTAATTTATTCCATTTATTTACTGTGTTTCTTTTCGATTTAAAGCTTTCGTGACTGCAGGGATTCATCTTCTTGGTTCTTTCGGTAAAGTCACGTAGAAGGGAAGTAATAGTTCCCTTCTACGTGACTTTACCGAAAGAACCAAGAAGATGTGTTTCTTTTTTTAATGATTTTATGCATGTAGTTACTGTAAACTTCGTGTAAAAATGCTTTATAATGAGAGATTACTTCTGTCTGGAACCAATTAATGTCATTTACATTAATTCATATGGGGGAATTGAATTCGGTGTTTGAACAAATCGGTGTTCGAATGGCATTCTGGAACGACTTAAGTTCGATCTCCGGGGTACCACTGTATAAGAATTTAAATGTATAAAGCGCCCTTATATAATTGTTCTCAGGGCACTCTGCATGAAAAGGTGGAAGTGAGAAAGATGTTTGAAAATAACTAAAGAGAAATTCCATTTTTAACAGATATGTTTTAGTCAAGATTTGTAGTGTCTTAGAAGTCCTGACCTCGAAGGGAAAGGAGTTCCAGAGTTTAGGTGCCACAATTGCAAAGGCACCGTCACCCCAAGTGTGTAGCCGAGACCATGGTACAGTGAGCAATGCGTAATCTGAGGATCTTAAGGATCTTGTTGGAATATACGTGGATGAAGGTCATGAATGTAGGGAGGAGCAAGTCAATTTAAGGCCATGAATACCAGTGTAATGAGCGACTTCTGCGACACGTCGTGTAGAGGGTACTCTACTTTATTCTACGTATGGGCACAGCACAGGCCAACGTTATCGGCTTCCTCTCCATGCACATACTTAGATATTAATGTTCTACAGACTACACACACGGTTGATCACACGGCAGGTTCTGCCCGTCCGCTCCCAGTCTCGCCGCTGGCTGACGGCGTGCCGGGGAGGGCGGTGGAACTGCACAGAAGATCTGCACCGTGGCCGAACGACGGAGAAAGATGACGGCGAGCAGCAACGCATTCCGGACCCAAGACTCCACACACCGACCACGAGTCCTCCTCCGCGTCCGCTTATATTGCCGCAGTCGCGGCTAGGCTCCGCCTCCGGCCACGCCCTCTCGTGGAACTTTCTATCTGGTTCTCGGAGTTTCTCGGCCGGCCCCGCCCTTCACCTTTGGCTCAGATACCTCTCCCTTTGGAGATTGGATAATGTTTATAATGGTGCCTGTACCCGTGCTTCCCTTTTCCAACCAGTAGATGTCACTATCTCATTACACCAGCAAGATAATCTTAAAACCAATACGGGTACGGGCAGGGAGTCAGTGATAAGGACAGGAGCACAGGTGTGATGTGATCCTTAGCTAACTACTGTAGCCTGTTTAGGAGCTTGCTCGGGGTTCCAAAAAGCAGGGCATTACAGTAGTCAGTGGATCAGTCCTTCAGTGTGCAGTGTTAAAGATGTGATGGAGCCGGGATGTGTTTCTCAGGTGGAAAAAAGGTTCTTACGGTTCTGTTGACATGGGGCTAAAAGGATAAAGTTTGATCTAGAAGGACACCAAAATTGTTGACCTCATGTGTTTGATCGAATTTACAACCATCAATAACCAAGTTAAAAGGGATTTATTTGGATACCTGATGGAGCAAACCGATTAAAATAAAAAATAAAAACTTGTGTTTTATCATTAATTTTAAGCAAGCTTTGAGACATCCAGGCTTTGACATGAGAAATTGACTGTGCTAAAAATGAACCTGTAGATGCACCATCAAATCCCACCTGTAGGTAGATCTGAGCATCATCTGCGTAACTGTGATAGCTGAGCCCTTGGTGTGGTAATAAAGAGCCAAGTGGGGCCAAATAGACAGAGAACATGATGGGGCCTAATACTGATCCCTGAGAGACACCGTGATGAACTAAGTTGTGGATGTATAGTTGCCCATCGTCAATAAGAATGGAACAAATCGTCAAGACAATGTGTTTCGGCCACTGCGTTAAGATAACTGATCGGTATAAAACATTTTTACCCGTGGAATACCATGGGAAGGGGAGTAGACTCGTATGTACGTTGAACTTCTTTGGCACCGTACGTAGCCAACCGTGCTAATCGGAGGTGCGGGAAGGACAACAAACTAAACACAAAAAGCAATTGTAAAGAAATGCGTTTTAAATCTAGATTTTAAATTGCATAGCTCGTGACTTTCTAATCAGAAGAGAGGTCCAGACGGCCGCAAAAGCAAGTCAAGGAGGTAATGTATGGAAACAGAAATTGGAACGAGAAGGGGAAGAGAGAAGAGAAAGGTGGGAAATAGGAGAAAAGAGATGGAAAAGGGACAGAGAAAATGTATAAGTATAACCCGTAAAAACTAAGTTTTTCATTATAAATCCTTTATATGCGTGGCAGCGAACTTAATATAAAGGATTTAAAAAATATATTCGCCTGTGGAGGACGCAGGGATCGATCCCGCGACCTTTGGCATGGGAAGCGAGGGCACTACCAACTGCGCTACTCCGCCACGGCCTGTGGATGGGTTACGCTCTGGGCTCTTATACTGTGACGTTCAGCCAATATATGTAAAATATTTTTTTTTTGCCTAAAAAGTGTAAAATTTTGGGAATTTTTTTTCACGAACATTAATTGTCTGGCACAACGAGTCTGTGTGGAAAATGTCAGCTCGATTGGATCACGGGAAGTGGGTTCAAAAACGACCGAAAGATTTGCACGGTCGTAAGCAAGCAAGCACGCAAGCAAGCAAGCACGCAAGCAAGCAAGCAAGCATGCGAACTTAATATAAAGGATTTAATAAAAGGGGTCAGAAGAGATGAGGTTAACGGGGAAGAGGCTCCATATGAGCCTCAACGCTGCTGCACGGAGTCGCGTCTGATTTTCAAGGAGAGTGTCCACACACAAGTGACGTGATTTAGGGAGGTTTTAGCTGATTGAGATGCAGTATATACATGGGAATCTGGCTCTAACAGTTCTTACAGGTGGGGATGAGAGTCTTGGACCTGGTGCTATGCACGTTGAGGGGACCGCATACAAAACAGCTTCCCATTGGTCAGGCTATGTCAGGACATGGACTATCCTGAAATCACCCACACGATATGTTGTCAGCCCTGTATCGAGCCGATTTGCACTATAGCGTGTCAAGGTTTTTGTTAGGATGAACATTCCATTTCTGTCCAGTTTCTATGTGTATGTCTGACGTGTCCCACCCAAAACATTTTGTTCATGATTTTACGACTAAGATATTTCTTCTCTCATGATTTTGTGACAACTAATCATAGGATAATAACCCAATCATAGTAAATTCGGAGAAAAAATTCTGGCTGGGTGGCTGGAGGGCAGGATGGTCACGTCCAAAGGACTTGCAGGCTACTCGTCCATTTGTTTGTGTTAATTTTCTCCAGTTGCTCGAGTTTCATTCTCACATCGCAAAACACCCTTAACACATAATTGGTCACACATCTCGACGCAGGGCCATCGTAAAAACGAGTGAAACTTAAATGGTTGAATACAACGTAATTATTTATCTCCATTAGATATTTTTAAGTCATACATGCAATATAATTTAGAGCTCTTTGTCAATCCACTGCTGAGTGAAGGCACCTTCCCGTTCCGCATTGGTTGTGGGGGTTATTTGAGAAGGGGAAGAGGCCAATGATTGGTGCAGACCTCATTCACCACTGACGTTAGCCATGGCTGGGACTCAAACCTAGGTGATGGGTTCAGAGCGCAGTGCGAAAATGACTCCCCATTCTATGACAATGCAACTAAATAGTACAAATGGGCGGTGCGGTAGTGCAGGGTTTAGCAAACTGCACTAGCAATCCAAGTTACGCGACAAACAACCGGCTGCGATTGATATCTGAACCGATCCTTGGAGTTACCTTCTCACGTGAGTGTAATCCCACAACTCACATTGACTGACATGGCGTGGGGAGGCCTCCATCCAGCAGTGGATTGACAAGGGGCTGTAAATTACGACAAAGTACATGATTATTTAACACGTGACCTTTCAAGACCAATACGATTCATAATATATGTTTCAATCAATCAGTTTGCGTGATTAAAATGTGCGTTGTACACTCTGGATTGTGGATCGCCCTCCGACATACCAGCCAGTGGTGCTAAAGAATACACAGGGATGCTTGTGCACCTGTCAACTTTATTAATTGGCTATGGGGCCGTCCATAAATGACGTCACGCGATTTTGGACGATTTTGACCCCCCCCCCCCCCCCCATCGTCACACGGCGTCACAAAAAGTCAGACCCCCCCCTCAAATATGATGTCACAAAGCTCTGCCCCCCCCCTCCCCAATAAAACATGCTTCAAATCGCTTTAAGCTATTGTCATTGTAGTGCGTATTTAATGTGGCGCTGCACTCTGATGTTGTAGGATAAAACATTTATTAAAACTTCTATTTAATTAAGTAGAACGTGTTGTCTATGTTTATTTAAAGTTGTGCATTTTGATGTGACGTCACATTTCTCACCCCCCCCCCCCCCTCGTCACACATCGTCACAAATATCTGACCCCCCTCCCCCTAGGTGCGTGACGTCATTTATGGACGGCCCCTATGTCGAGTGTATGTATGTGTGTTGAACTTCTTTTGCACCGTACATGGCCAACCGCGCTAATCCGAGATGCGGGGTAAGGGTGGAGGATGGTGTAAGACATACATTTTATTTCCGCAATCTGACCCAAAATGTATTACGAAGTACCTTATTGTTATAGTTTATAATCAACTGGACACGACTTTAGTTTATTCTTTGACATCACTGGGACGGGCAATGCCAACCATGATTGTATACACCTGATGTACCAGTAATGTCGCCCAGTAATCACTTTTGTATGAATATTCGGGCTAGTATACCACGTTCACGTGAGAGCCATCATCCCACACGTCGAGCTTAACCTGACACAGACTCAGCGAGTCCTTCCTCCCAGGGATGACGATGAAGACGTATTGGCCCCGCTGTGATTCACACGGGAAGCGCGCCGATTGGCCCGGAGTCACAAAATGTCTTTTGCGCATCTGGAAGACAGCGCGGCGGTGCGACAGCGATCAGAGCAACGCACGACCCAGGAGCACACAGCACGAGTGGACACGTGGCAGCAAGACGCTTCAGAATTCGCCAAAAGCCGCAGTTTTGTCTCCACTCCGAAAAGCATTTGAATCTTAAAAATCAGAAGCATTGTTTTTGTGGCCACTCTCATACAAAAAAACCCTTAAGTTTAAACAGTGTAGGTGGCGCATTCAGCAGTGACAATTCTATAAATTAACCTATGGGGCTTGTACCCCCACCCCCACCTCGTAATGGCTGAAGTAACAATTACGTTCACGTGAAAGCTAATTATGACCAATACCACCATGACTCACCATCGCTTCCTTACTTCTTCCAGATCCCGCAGGTGGTGACAAGTGACAGCTGAGGATAAGGGTTCGCACTTATTGGGTGTTTAGTGCCCCAGTATTTCAAAAGTGCCTCACATCATACTCTTAGGTTTTTTTCTGGTAAAGTCACGTAGGTAAAAATAATTAATAAAAATAAATAATAAACATATAATGCCTCACATCACTTTACATTATGGGAACCTCATTTGCCAGTAAAAATATGATAATTGTTTTTTTTACCCTTCTATCTGGCAACAAAACTGACACCTTTTTACAAGGAGTCATGTTTGCATAGACCGCAATACCTGCAGTCATAATACAAACAAAAGATATAACTCTGACAATGTGCACTGTCCTTGGAGTTGATTGGTCCACACCCGAGACAGCTTTCCTTAGAGCCTAGCCAAAAGGCGTCATCTGGTCCAACCCATGTGAGACTAGGCCAGTGGCGGCTCCTGCAAAATCTCTCAGGGGGGGCAAATGTCTGGATGATTGATAAGGATAAGGTCCACCCATGCAATGGATAAATTAACAGCTTAAGCATGTAAAGGCAACTTCACTTCTTTAATATTAATGAAAAATAAAGTGACTCTTACAATACATCTTGTTTGTTTCTATACTCACTATTAAAACAAACCACTCAAGTTTATTTTATTAAAGATTCCACTAGATTTTGATTTAAAACTTTCGTGACTGCAGGGATTCATCTTCTTGGTTCTTTCGGTAAAGTCACGTAGAAGGGAAGTAATAAAATAATAAAAATAAAACATAATAAAATTATTCTCACGACGTTTCGGCCACAACGCAAGCAGCCGTCCTCAGGTGAAAACCAGGTCCGTCGAGGCGACAGAGTCTGAATGAAACAGCACACGAGCTTGGAGCATATATATAAGCTGGGCGCCTTGACAAAGGAATTTGCATATCAAGAGGAATTTAGCATATTTATGGGAAATGCAGGAATGTGATTAGTACTACATATGCATGTGCATTATGCAGGATTAACAGCATCAAAGGGAGCTGCAGTTGCTGCTGCTGCTGCAGTTGCTGCTGCTGCTGCAGTTGCTGCTGCTGCAGTTGCTGCTGCTGCTGCAGTTGCTGCCTTATCCATTTTAATATAACACTATGTATTATTCTACCCACCCTAATGTGTATCACACTGCTATATATTTACTATACAATTACGACACCATACATTACTCTGCACACTGCACCATGCCAGTGAGTGGAACGTTGTGGCCGAAACGTCGTGAGAATAACTTGCGTTGTGGCCGAAACGTCGTGAGAATAATTTTATTATGTTTTATTTTTATTATTTTATTACTTCCCTTCTACGTGACTTTACCGAAAGAACCAAGAAGAAGATTCCACTAGGTGGCGATAAATGATATTGTTGGATGAAACGTGCTTACGTATGATGACGTTAGCACGTATGATGACGTAAGCACGTTAGGGCGAGCCCTCCCGGAAGCCATAGAGAATGCATTGCAGCGCCCCCGTTCGAAAAAAACATCTTTCAATGTAAGTCTATGGGGCCACTCGGGGCGATTCTCAGCCGGAGTGAAATCGCCCAAAAAGAGGCGGTACTCCACAGAACGTGACATGACGCTGATTGGACTATATCCAGAGGCTGACAGTGACGGCTAGCGTGACTCTGTGGTTCAATGACATTGGTGGTGCGTCGCCCAATTGCCCTAATGAAGAAACCGCCCCTGGACTAGGCTCTAAGGAAAGCTGTCTCGGGTGTGGACCAATCAACTTCAAGGACAGTGCACATTGTCAGAGTTATGTCTTTTGTTTGTATTATGACTGCAGGTATTGCGGTCTATGCAAACATGACTCCTTGTAAAAAGGTGTCAGTTTTGTTGCCAGATAGAAGGGTAAAAAACCAATTATCATCACTTTACATCTCAAACATTCCAATGCCCGCCTGTAGTTGTGTATATCTCTAGCCTGGGGGTCAGCTGACCTCCAAGATCTCATCCCACTGCTGGAAGTGTTACACTGGTTGTGGATGTGGGAACCATCCCTCCAATACTTGCGGCCCCCTGTTTCCTGTGTCGTGGGATCTCCACTGGTTAGGGGCTTGTATCGGGGAAACCTGCACAATGTAGTGAGTCATCAACTACGAGTTGTCAGACCCCAGAAACCAAGCCTGGTTACTACTTGGAATGGATGATCACTAACACGTGCCCAGGTAATACAGATGTGGGGTCGTGATGTGACTAGGAGTTCATAATAGAGGTTTTTGGGTTAGATTGCATAGAAAAAATGTGTCGTTAAAACCCGCCACCACCCGACACAGCCAACTAGTAAGGGTTGTTACGTAAACAGAACGTGGTCAATTCGTCACTAGTACAGCACTAACCGGTGTGTTGGAGAGCCAAGCCACAACATTTAGAATCTGAGTATGGATGATATTGGTCGCGAAAGCCTACGTGTTAAACTAACTGTTCAGTGTCACCCCCTCGTATGTGGCTCTTCTCCAGGTACTACCCACTTGCCTGCATTACTACCCACATGCCTTCGATTATCACGGTTGGCGACATGCAGGTGCGAAAGAAGTTCAACATGCCAAATGCTTCATACTCTTAGGCTTTTTCGGTAAAGTCACGTAGGTTAAAAATAAAATTAATATAAGTAATAATAGAAATAAAATAATAAATCACGACGGTTCGGAGGCAACACAAGTCTCCGTCATCAGGTGGGACCGTCACAGCTAAAATTACTGCATCAGGTGAGTAATTTTAGCTGTGACGGTCCCACCTGATGACGGAGACTTGTGTTGCCTCCGAAACGTCGTGATTTATTACCTGATGCAGTAATTTTAGCTGTGACGGTCCCACCTGATGACGGAGACTTGTGTTGCCTCCGAAACGTCGTGATTTATTATTTTATTTCTATTATTACTTGTATTAATTTTATTTAAAAATTTTACCTACGTGACTTTACCGAAAAAGCCTAAGAGCATGAATCCTTGCAGTCACGAAAGCTTCAAATCTAGAATGACAAATGCTCATCAATGGAAGATCCCCAATGCAGGACGCTTCTCTTTGTGTGACCAGGCGAGGCTTTGCTGGGGAAATAATCGGTATTGGTGTTGTTACTTACAGGGCATTATCGTTGTGATTGGACGATTCTCCCACTTTAATGTGCGCTCCAAAGAGACGAATGCCCTCCGCGTCGTCTCGATTGGTGATCCTGACGGCGTCCACCGTGTACACGTCGTCAAGCTCGATGCAGAACCAGGGCTCCCACTCGTAGCTGGTGGCGCTGCACATCCCACTGCAGAAGTTGGTGCCGTTGGTAGCGTCGATGGCTTTGGACGCTTTGTGGTCGGGCCCGACTGTGCTCGACTGCATCGCCTCCCCGTACGCCACGCTCACTGGTGAAAGAAAATGTCCTCAAGTTAGAGTGTGTTATGCCATCGCTTGATAGGGTAATAACAATCTCCGAATACAAAAAAAAAACATTGTTAGTCAAACCGTATTACTCTCGCTAAATAATTACACCGGTTAATAAACAAGAACCTTATTGAAGACCTGAGGAAGGAACATCCCTGGTTTATCTCTGCCCCGACAATTGAGGACTACTCTGAACTGTCTGAACAACACATGGAAGGTGTGCAATATTTCCTCCGTAAATGAAAAACCGGGAATGTAGTGAGGTGCAAACCATCGTCCGCACATCACTGATGACCGCCCAAAACAATACGCGTATTCTGGTGTAACGAGCGGAATCCGCTCAGCTACCCCGGATGATGTGTAATGGTTTATAAATTAAATATACAAAAACAGCAAAAGCTCTGTTATTCGGCACTTTACCATCCGGAATGCTCTTATTAACGGGCATCTGTCATAGACGGCAATATGAGTCTTCCTTTGCGCATCCGTGCACATTTTTGTTCTCGTTATTCATGTATTAATCTTTCAGTTTTGGATTTGCTAAAAAGTGGGGGTTTTGTGCTTGCATCATCAATTGATGTGCAGTGTTGTGGGATGGAAATTGCATGACGCTCTATAAAATGTAATAATTATTACTTGTTGTTTACGGGAGCTTCAGGACGTTGCCGAGTGATGGCACTAGCGGCAGTCTATACAAATAATACTCTACCGCTGTATTGTGTACTCTAAACGGGCCCCACTGCTTCTCTACAATTAACTTAGAATGTTCTACAACTCACCGGTGAGTACCTCTGTCAAAGAGCATATTACTTCTTATGCCATCATTAAAATGTAGGGCTTAGGTTTTTTTCTTGAAAAGTTTTATGTAACTTGGAAAATGTGGTGAACCATAAGTATAACTCTTAGATAACCGGCATATTTAATTAACCAGCACCCTTAATTCCCCATGGATTCTGGATAACAGATTTGTTGTTGTTGTTACTGTATATCCTTTCTCCCCCCCCCCCCCACAAACACCATACGAAACAAGAAAATTATTATTGACAAAGATCCTAATTATATTCCAATTGAGTGAAACAAGTCTCGCGATCGATTGCGAGATTGGCCCCGGGAGATGCTGTTCCTGAATGACTTCTGAAGTCACCACTATGCCCTGCAAAGTGTTAATTGCATGACAACACTCACAACCTCAAATTTCGATTTAAAGCTTTCGTGACTGCAGGGATTCATCTTCTTGGTTCTTTCGGTAAAGTCACGTAGAAGGGAAATAATAAACGAATAAAACATAATAAAATACACTTCTCACGACGTTTCGGCCACAACGCAAGCAGCCGTCCTCAGGTGAAGAACAGGGCTGCCGGAAAGACGCTGTCTTCACCTGAGCACGGCTGCTTGCGTTGTGGCCGAAACGTCGTGAGGATTGTATTTTATTATGTTTTATCATTGTATTATTTCCCTTCTACGTGACTTTACCGAAAGAACCAAGAAGACTCACAACCTCAGTTCACAGACCTGGTGTATGTATAGCCATCCACAATCTAAATGTGAAATAAGGAGAATTGATTCACATACTTTCATTTTGCAAGAGGGGAGTAGTGGAGACTTTAACCTCGCTTAAACTCAACGGAGCATAGGATGTGGAGTTGATGGAGATGTAGCATCCCTTCACTCCTTTACAGTTAAATGTCACCACAGTGCTTTGGGCAGTCTTCTTGAGAGTTTTGCACCTGCAAAAAATATAGAACCGTTGCAATTACGAACATCAACTTTGTTTATGCCCTTCATCTGCACACAGCAGCCAGATGCTTACTTAGACGTTTAGTCATTGTGTTGTTCCGGTGTCACCATGTCCTGGTCAAATTCAGCTGGAAGGTACTGGGAAAAAAACATTCGATTCACAGTCGAAAGACTGAAATTTCAAATCGTGGTCAGGATTCAGTTAAATCCATCATCCCTCTGGAGCCAATAAAATAAGCACCACTTGGTGAGAATTCAACAGTGTTTATATTATTGGGAGATTGGCCCCTACATTGGCAACGTATAATTTGCACCACTGACAATAATGAGTGCCACTCCAGTCGTGGCCCTGAGTAAATTTCTAATTTGAGCCAGAAAATATCTGAAATGTCAGCCATAGGACTTGTGGTACGATTCGGGAACACCATGACCTACTCTTGTCACAGAGTCACTGATGGTGATCAGTGCAGACAGCACCACTTTTGTACATCCCCGCAGAGAAGAACTGTGTTCTGAACACACTATCGTGATGCTCCTATGAGGCCCCCACAAATCCACCCGCATGTGACCTTAACTCAGTTCAGCGCATGACCAAATATTTGTGACTAGCCTTTTGCCAGTCCAAGGACGGGTGTATTGCAGTGAATCTGAAACTTGCAAGCGGAAATCAGACCGCGACGTGATATTCATTACATCAATTCGTGTGCAATTTGTAAGGCCGCGGTGACACAGACTTATTTCATTTAAAGGTTATAATCCCTTGTTCATCACGACGTCCTTTTTACTTTGATGTCTCAACAGCGTTACGGAGACCGCGTGACGCGAGGGTTCTGCCTTTGTAGTGAGGGTTGTAAGTTGACGCCGAGGAGGGGGGAGGAGGCACCTCGCCCCCCCATGTGGAGTGACGTCACCCGCTAATTATTATGAATGGGGGTGGGGTGTCCATTTGGAGGACGTCATCTGTTCATAATTATTAATGAGGGGCGCTGTGACGGCACATGCTCATGATTATTAATGAGGAGGGCGCGTACTCCATGTGGAGTGACGTCACCCACGCATGATTATTAATGAGGGGAGGGGGTCCATTTAGAGGACATCACCTGTTCATGATTCAATTTTGACATAAAACTTTCGTGTCTGCAGGAAATCATATTCTTTGGTTCTTTCGGTAAAGTCACGTAGATAGAAAGAATAATAATTATAATAGTAAATAAAGTGAATAAAAAATGTAATAATACAATTAAAATAGAAGAAAAAAAACACTAATGTAGACTGTAGCCTGGGTTCTTAATCGGAGTGAGTGTACTGGCAGTCTATAATGTAGACTGTGGCCTGGTCATTAAGATTTGGTGAATGTACGGCCAGTCTATAATTTAGACTGTAACAATGTTATTAAGCTGAGTGAGTGTACTGGCAGTCTATAATGTAGACTGTAGCCTGGTTCTTAACCTCGGTGAGCGTTCTGGCAGTCTATAATGTAGACTTATTCTTGGTTCTTTCAGTAATACAAATAAAATACAAATAAATATAAAAAATACAAATAAAAACAAAAAACCACGACGTTTCGATCCCAACACAAGCGATCGTCATCAGGAAAAGGGGGGTTAGCCTCTAAAGGCAAACTGTTTATAAAGGTTTAAAGATGGGCGTATCCCAAGTGTGTCAGCAGCATGCGCAGGGCAGCTAATGTTAATGTAGGAGAAAGCAACGCCAACACAGTGGGTCTACACCAATCAAAGGGCCACCAGGCAATCATTGCACCGAGCTCCAAATACCTACACTACTGACGGTGGAGGTTGACAAGAAAACACAAATCATGTCAAGACCCAAAGTGGTTGTTGACATCTTTCCAATGATTGCTGAGTTTATAACCATCCTCTCGGTTGAAATTGTGTCTGTGTCTGTATATGTGAATGGCTTCATGAACGAATATTTGTTGATAGCCAGTAGGCTTGCAAGGTATTATAGTCTTAGAGAAATCAATTTCGTGTGAGCCGGCCACATTGAAATAATGATCAGCCACGGAAGAAATATTGGTCCTATCGTGTTTCAAATATGCCTTATGCTCATGAACATGGTCCGAGACATGTCGCTTAGTTTCCCCAATGTAACTGCTGCCGCACTGGTTCGGTGTTAGTTAGTTTCTTTGTTCACCAAAGTTCCTGTGCCCGGTACCATTGCAATCATTCAAGATTTGGTCCAATAAGGATTGAATGCTGATGTACTGGCCCTGGGGAGACACTGCCTCATCAATACATACTTCACCTGGAATGGAACATTCTACAAATAAACTGAAGGCACCCCAATGGATTCTCCCTTATTATCCGGTTGTAGCCAATATTTTAATGGAAAAATTTGAGATGGACGCGTCAAGGCATCCACTCTACACCTGTTCTTGTGGAAGAGGTACGTGGATGACACGTTTGTCATCTGGTCACATGGCTGACCGGCTCTGAACCAATTCCTCACCCACATCAATTCCATACACCCAGCCATCAAATTCACCATGGAGGTAGAAAAGGATGGCAAGCTACCTCTCTTGGATGTCTGAATCACAAAGTGACTTGATGGTTCAATGCGACATTCTGTCTACATGAAAGTAACCCATACAGACGCCTATCTAAAACCTGATTCCCACCACCATCCATCCCAGAAGAATTCCCTCATCTAAACGCTACACCATGGAGCTCAATGTATCTCCGACCATGAACACCTAACCAGTGAACTCAAACACGTACACCAAGCTCTCAAGGCGAATGTATATTCTGACTACACAATCCGCAAAGCCTACACCCCAATCGTGAAGAAGGAGCCATCTGAGGATCCAATCAAAACCATCACCTTGCCATACATAGCAGGGGTAACTAAAAAGATTTCCAAACTCATGAACAAACACAAGATCCACGTCCGATTTAACAAAGTACATACAATTCGTGATCTGATCCCATCTGTGAAGGACAGGATTCCTGACATGCAATATCCCGGCATCTACAAACAAACTAAGCTGTATCTGGGGCAGCAGTTACATTGGGGAAACAAAGTGACATGTCTCGGTCCGTGTTCGTGAGCAGATTTGAAACACAGTAGGACCAATACTTCTGCCGTGGCTGATCATTATTTTAATGCGGCTGGTTCACACGACATTGATTTCTCTAAGACGATGGTACTTTGCAAGCTTACTGGCTATCAACAAAGATTCGTTCATGATGCCATCCATATATATAGACACAAACACAATTTCAATCGAGAGGATGGTTATAAACTCAGCAATCATTGTAAATATAACATCAACCACTTTGGGTCATGACTTGATTTGTGTTTTCTTGTCAACTTCCACCGTCAGCAGTGTGGGTATGTGGAGCTAGGTGCAATGATTGCCTGGCGGCCATTTGATTGGTGTAGACCCACTGTGTTGGCGTTGCTTTCTCCTACATTAATATTAGCTGCCCCGCCCATGCTGTTGACACACTTGGGATACGCCCATCTTTACACCTTTATGAACAGTTTGCCTTTAGAGGCTAACCCCCCTTCTCATGATGACGACCCCTTGTGTTGGGATCGAAACGTCGTGGTTTTAATTTTTCATGTTTATTTTTATTTTCATTAAATTTTTATTACTGAAAGAACCAAGAATAAGTCTAGATTATAGACTGCCAGTATGCTCACTCAGGTTAAGAATCAGGCTACAGTCTACATTATAGAATGCCAATACGCTCATTTAGTTTAATAACCATTACTACAGTCTACACCATAGACTGCCAATACGCTCACCACCTTGAAAAACAGGCTACAGTCTACATTATAGACTGCCAGTACACTCACTCCGATTAAAAACCAGGCTACAGTCTGCATGCGTGTTTTTCTGTTATTTTCTTTTTTCTATCTACGTGACTTTACCGAAAGGACCAAATACAAGTATTTATAATTATTAATGAGAGTGGCTAGTCGACGTGGATTGACGTCACGCGTGGGACACATAGACATTCTCGGCTCATTATAGGAGTAAATGGCTCTTTTGTGCAGTCATTGGTGACCAGACAGAGACCATCATATTCACTCCACGGAAGATTTTGTGTTTTGGGCCAAAGGCTGGTATTCTAACCTAAATGTCCAGGTTTCTGGCTTTGAATTCCCACTGCAAATTGCATTGGCCTCCTGTGTTTCACAGGAGATCAGCCTATTTTTTGGAGCAATACTCATATCAAGAAGTCATCATGGACTAGTCGTTGATGCCACTGCAGCTCACCATTTCTTCCTTCTGTCACACGCCAAAACGATTGTGCAGTCAATACCCAACCTCCGAGGACTGCTCTTATCGTCTCAATATCATCAACACCTGACTTTACGTCTTCCCAAATAATTCCCAAACTCTGGGTGTCCCCAGTGCTTGTTTAAGTAACCTGCCCTTCCCAATTTTGTGCATATGCTCTATCACAACCTCCTCATCCTGATTACAACTATTACACTCTCCTCCCATGGTTTATTTGGAAATTACATCTTGTTTATCCCATCCTGCCATGAACATCATTGCATCTTCTATATGTAACTATACTCCTCGGCCAGAAGTCTTTTTCTAGCAGATTTATTCAGGGTCCAGTGGCAGGTGGTCAGCTAACATTTTTAGTGTTGGCCTTTTTTCTGGCCACTGAACACGGACCACTGCCCAAACGGTTAGTCTACTCTATAATTTCCTGTAATAAGCCAGTACTAATGATGGTGTAGATTTCTATGAAGGCTGAGAATGTTAAATGCGAGGAACAGCAGACATAATGCACATATTTCAATTGGGATATACTTGCTTCGCATATCCGGTCACGAAGTCGGAATTTATTCCAATGTGGACTTTAGTAGAAAATGTGTGTTTGTATATATTATCGCTCTGGAACATTATATTCACAGCGTAGACTTGAACCTCCTGATGCATGTCCAGTTTCCACCAACTTTGATCAAGACCACCCTTCGAGCTCGTGCATTTCTTCAGGTTGTAGTTCATCTCCGGGTTCCCGTCAATGTTGAGGGAAAGCGAACTGTCTTCACAATTGGTGCTGGCTCCGTTATTGCCTAGAAGGTGAAGGAGAAAGAGAGCACTTGTGTATAATCTGCAGTTTGTAGGGGATTGATACATAGAGCGGTGCTTAAGTCGGGTATAGGGCAGTCACATATCCGCCCTCACCAATTTAACCAATAAGCAAATAAATCGGCCACACCCAATGCAGTCTGACTAAACACAGTGTAACTGCCACTTTCGATAAATATTCACTTATGCAACCTTATCACATGTTGGCCTATACCTCATTCCTCAGTGAGTCGGATATGCGATGTGCCATATATTATAGCAATGACAAGGGTGAAGTATGTTAAAGCAGGGTTTTACATTATATCGTGAAAAAACGATTATGAGTCCACACGATGGAAGTCTTTTTGGTATGGATGTATTATATTCTTTCTCTCTCCCCAAACTTTCTGGAACTCTTCCGAAGTTCCGCTCGGCTCTCCTCTCTCCTTATTTCCCGCCATATATATCCCCCTTCAGGTTTCCTCCAAACTCCTGTCTTTTGTTTCACGCCTTGATTCCGTCACCTGCCTTTACTTCTCTGAGGTGTGGTCCCGCATCTTCGCGTGACCCTCACTTTACCGTGGGTGTTGGTCCCGTGTTCTTAACATCAGCTTGTCCCCGCACGACCTTTGCAACGAGTATGCTTGCGATTTAGTTACTGGAATTTGAGGTGGCATACATACTGCAAGTGAAAGGAAAGCGGAGAAAAACTGGAACACTCGTATGGTTAGATCAACGACCGAGTCTCTAGGTTGCAAAGGCAGCATGGACTATAAAGAACTAAACTAGACTTTTCAACAATTTTTTCTTTGAACAGGTAAGGCCCATTGTGCAATATAGCTCTTTTTCAGAAGCGACCTGGCCACAAATGATAGCTCAACGAAGTGGCTTATCATGTGGAAATATATAGCAGCCAAGAATTCTAAATGCATGTTTCTAAATGTGGAGGGAAAAACCGAAGCACCCAGAGAAGAATCCACACAACGACGGGGAGTGAGACATGCAAACTCCAAATATACAGGTGTCAGAGTCGAGATCAAACCCACGACCTCCTGTACACCAGGTGAGGGAGTTAATATATTGCCATGGTGGCATCCCAAGTTCAATCGTCACAGCCAAAGCTGTTGATGCAACCATGTCTCATTGCCAATGATTTGTCCAAAATTACATAGCTGCTACACAGTAGACACAGTGATCAAGAAGAAGAATGATTATTGGATAAAAAGTTAGTATTCTAATCTTATACCATCACAGGAAGAATGGCAATATTATGAGTTGGCCTTCCTCCAGTATTGTGTGGACAATTGTATTATATGACTTTCTTATGGCAGCAATATGTTTCGGAGCTATGTGCCAATGCCGAGGTCTACTAGTCACAACGGGAGGGCATCAGGAGAGAGCTGTTTACTGTATGTGTGTGTAATGGTGGACAGCAGCAGTAACTGTGCTGGACAGACAGTACACACGCCGGTGAGCGTGTGCACGGTGTGTTGGCAGGGCGGAGGAACTGGGACAAGGGTCAAGGAGGACCCCGTCTGGAAGCCCCTGGGAACTGCTAGTGGGTTCGAGAAGGGAGGCGTGGCCAGGGTGGAGCTAGGCCACGCTGATAGGATAACAGGAGCCAAGAGCGGGAGCTTGAGGCTGCCGGTTCTGGGATTGGACTCGTCTCGTCGTTGCTATCGTCTCGTCGTCGTTGTCACTGCCGTCCTCGCTCGATATTGCACTGCCAGATAGTTATTGGCTGTCTCAGTCAGCACCATCAATGTTAGACGGCTAGTGTTGTGTATAGGCTCGGCTAAGCGACTGTAGAGAGTGTGCAGGCGAGCCTCCTACAAACCTCGTCTCCAAATCACTGACACTACATATGTATGCTGAACTTCTTTCACACCGTACGTAGCCAACCGTGCTAATCGGAGATGCAAGGGATGGACAACAAACTGAACACAAAAAGCAGTTCTAAAGAATATTGTTTTAAGTTTAGATTTAAAAGTGCATAGCTCGAGTGGCTTACTAATATCGGAAGGAAGAACGTTCCAGACGGCCACAGAAGCGCCTCTGAAAGTGCATGATGCAGTGACTGTCTTTGTTTGATGGTCACTGCATGGGCCATAGTTTGGGTTGCAGTCACATGCCTATGCCTTGTCTTTAACTTCCCATTTATGAAGGATATTCATTCACATTGGCCTGTAGATGTTCTGATGCCCTTGATAGTTTCATCAGTGGTGAGTGGGGAAGTGGGTGTGTGAATGAGTGGGTGGATAAGTGTTTCACCTGTATCTTCAAGGAAGAATGTCAAAGCCAGGAAGCTAATGTTGATGCGTACATTTTTATGAGGGTTCTCTTAAAGCATCTCTCAGAAAATGTCTTCAGTATTTTGCATGTGGGCGGAAAAATGTTTGCCGTACTCGCAGAAAACCCAAGCAGGCATGGGGATAGAACAAAACAAAAACCCAGGAGGGTCAAACACTTATTTTGTGTACTGCCTTCGACTGGATACCTCTCATAGCCCTGCAGGTAGAGTGTCTCACGCACATCATCATCACCGCTCTCATCCTTGCATGATTTACCAACGCTACACACCTCCAAGTCGCTGGTTTACAAGTGTGCATGGCTTGCACGCCAGGTAATAACACATGTGTATGGAAAAGAGGCAGGCTCGATGAAGTGAGGAATTGTGTTAAATAGTTACCTATCGTGGGGTTTGTTTGTGTTTTCCCACATTCCCCAAGCTGCACCAGCGCCGCCAGCACGAGCACGAGCTTCATTGTCCTGAAACACAAAACGGCACCATCAGCCTGCGTGACGGGCACAGGCAGCTTTGACCTGGAGCAAGGGGGCACTCGACCTGTAGGCAGGGCAACATTTCCCACTAGATATATCCTGGATCCCTGCGAGGCTGGCTGGCTTGGAATACTGATAATTGTCGTGTAAGGCACGACCACTCGAGTACAAGCGTGCAAGCGAGTGGTGAAGGTGAGAGAGGTTTAGTAGTAGGTTATTACCCTTTTAAACTGGTACAAACCTGACACCTTTATTAAACATTAAAGGTGTCAGTTTTGTACCAGTTTAAAAGGGTAAAAACCTACTACTATATTTTGCCACTGGTAAAAGAGATCTCATAGTGTGAGAGAGGTTGTTGCGTCTGTCGCCCGGAGGAAGAGGGGGGACGGTGGGCTGAGCCACTCCTACCTACCAACCAGCCCTCCCCCCATCATCTCATCGTTAATATTACAGATGTATAGTCAATGCAATGTTTATGTTTTGTCGTGCTATTGTGCAATGTACTGTGCTTTGACGTTGAGTTCGTAGACGGGCAACTCAGTTCAGCTATGACGAGTCTGACCGCCGCAGGTACTTTGCCTACCGCGGCATTTCCCAGGATGTTCGGCCCCGTGGGTTGACGAGGGATTTGCTCTGTGCGGTTGGACGCGGCTAAGATTCTCATCTTTGCATTGACGAGTGGTGCCGCGGATGCAGCACTCTCTTGCGAGTACGATTTTGTTACGTTTTCGTGTGACCAATGCGGCGCTCAACGTGCACAATGGCACTACGCGACTTTACGCGCATCGCCACTTGCATCTAGCCATCAAGCCATTGACGTTAGTCACACAGACGCCTAGCTGGCGAATAATTAATTTTCAAGTTACAATGTTAGCGACGAGCCTGGGGCGAGGATTGGGCGTAAGTGAAGCGATGCGGGCAGAGTAATAGAGACGGCGGTTTTTTGCCGAGGTGAAATTTAACAAGTAATATTAAAAACAACTTTTTTTTAAAACACTAGTACGGTACATTTTAATTAAATGTGCCGTACTAGTAATGGAAGAACTCCACGACTCCGGGAAGTGGCCCCGAAGCTTGCCATAACGTAAGGGGTCGTGGGCAATTACAGCCAACGTCAGTTGAACGTGGACAATTAGACCCAAGCCGAAACATAACATATAAAAAATATTGTTAAAACATTTTTTTTATGATAGAATATAGTCTTGTCATCAGTATGACATAAGTATACCAAGTTTGCAGTCGATACCACATTGGGAAGTGGGTTAAAATTGAGTTACAAGATTTGAGGATGCAACAAAGACAACAACAACGACAACAGACAGAGTGAGTTAAATAAAAGCGTGTACTGTAATAATAAAAAATAGAGTACACAGACCATAAATAGAGAGCGACTCAGCATCCTTGAGTACAATAACAGTGGCAGAAATAAAATAGAATTAGTTCTATATAAAGAGGGAGGGGTGATCATTTTGGACCCCGGAACGGAAGCCTATTTTCTCATAAGGTCTATTATTTGTCGAACACGGTTATGTCCAACACAGAATTTTCCAGGAACGTAACCCCAACATTCAACGAGGTGTGCCTGTACAAGATACGCCTATCCACAATAATAATATTCCTATGTAATTAGCCCCTATGAAGGAGCATTCAGTATCAAACCAATGTATAAACCGTTGCTCATGAAGCCACGGTGAATCATCAGTCCATTACACATTGTGGTCATTGAACTCTCAGATAATAGCATGCAAACACTGAGATATTTTTATTACTTTGCAAAAAACAACAACGCACTTTTATATCAAGAATGTTGTACTACAATCACAAAATTACAAGTTCAACTCCTGGCCGGGGTTTGACAGCCCATCATCCTTCCTCGATCGATAAAATGAGTGCCACTTTATGGGAAGTCAATGGCGGATGTCCTAATACAGACGTTAGCGCTGTACCATGTGAATGTGTAATCTCCACCGCTGGCTCAGGGCAGACGACATAAGTGCCACCATCCTATTGTGAGTTAAAACAAGGTGGCACTTGGGTATTTAAACATAGAACACGCTACGAGAGACGCCACATTTGTGTTTCATATATACAAGCCCTGCTGCTGCTGCTGCTTGGGCACATGTCACGATCTACAGATGGAGACATCAGCATGTGAACGTATCTGCATCCTTATGAATAAAATCCGAATACCATTTTAGTTTCACCATTGATTTGTGGCTCAGATCGCATAACTGAAACGTGTGTCCTAAACTCTCCACCTGAAGTTGTCACGTGAAAAAAACGCGTCAATGTATTACTGATTCAGCACCACCGGTAATGTTGGAAAGCAATCCAAACAAACATTTTACTATTGGGTACAGACGTGGTTATAACCGGCATCGTCAGACAGTTACCAGAAATCTCACATTCAGAATAATATCGGTCGTAAAAACCTAAGTATTACAGGTTTTTCCACTTTTTTCTGGCAAAAACCAGGTGTTTAAGATGTTAAAACACCGAACTGAAACCTTTTACAAGGAATCATGTCTGCATTAACCACAATACTTGTGGTCAGAATTCAAACAAAAAACATACTCTGATAATATATCTATTGTCTTTGAAACTGATGGGTCCACACCAGAGACAGCTTTCTTTTGAAGCATAATCTCAAAACGGTGTTAGACCAGAGGACGCCAAAAGTCGCCAAAAGGCATCCTCTGGTCTAACACCGTTTTGAGACGAGGCTCTAAAAAAAGCTGTCTCTGGTGTCGACCAATCAGTTTCAAGGACAACGCATATATTAGATTTGAAGCTTTCGTGACTGCAGGAATTACTCGTTGATTCTTTCGGTAAAGTCGCGTAGAAATAAAATAATAATAATATAATACGACGTTTTGGTTGCAACACAAGCAACCATCATCAGGTAAGAATGAATGATAAAACACAAGACACGGAAACAACATAGGCAGACACACATGCAGAGAGAGACACACACGACACACCAAACGAGACACACCAAAAAAACACAGACATGGAAACAACATAAGCAGATACACATGCAGAGAGACACACATGCATATATTATAAGAGTATTTTTTTTTTTTTTTTTGCATTCTGACCACAAGTATTGTGGTTAATGCAGACATGATTCTTTATAAAAGGTTTCAGTTTGGTGTTTTAACGTCTTAAACACCTGTTTGTTGCCAGATAAAAGGGGACCAACATATTCTCATTACATTTACCTGTGTTGTTGTGTCATAGTACAACATTGTAGTACACTTACTTGGTAGTCCGTCAATCCTGCAGTCTGCTGACGGTATGTCGAATGGGTGTTGCATCCTTTTTATTCTTAACCTCAACCAAATAACGCTTTAAAATGGTGTTTGTGTTTGGACATAGAGTACGTCTTGAATACAACGTGCCATTGTTTTCTCACAAAAAGCTAAACAATGACACAATTCACTTCTCGATTCAAGAACAATATTTGCTGGGTGTTTGGTAACATGCTCACAGCTGCTTCTGTGCATCAAAGTACAAGGTAAATATTGACCAAACGTAACCTTTCATTTCAAAATGCAGCTGAAGCCGTATTCATCATTGCATTGAATGTGCTAAAATGTACGGTACTAGCTGTACTACCCAGCTTCAGCCCGGGACTTGTATCCACCACGCCCGGCCGCCTTTGTCTCCCCAGTGGCGATGTTAATACGCCACACCACTCTCCCTCCCTCACCACTCTCCCTCCCTCAGCACTCTCCCTCCCTCACCACTCTCCCTCCCTCACCACTCTGTAGAGGACGTGAAACTTTGATGAATTTACCTCAGAGTCGCGTGGTGGCTGTCGAGGCCTAGCACCGTGCAGAGCCACCGGCCTCGCATAAATTGCCCACCCGGCTGAGGCTGGGTACGGGTGCCGTCCCCCCCCCCCCCCCCCGCGCTACAATAATACTGTCTAATCGCTATAATTTTATAATCTACCGACCCTATAATAGTAATTGCACACATTGTGGTGGGGGGGGGGGGGGGTGAAGAGGACGTGAAACTTTGATGAATTTACCTCAGAGTCGCGTGTTAATGCGTGCGCTTATTTTTAACGGGAATTAAAAATGGCGTCCACCCCGCGGCGAAGGCGTCGCTACCCGTTGCCAGGGGCAACCGCCGTCCAATGAAAGCGGCGAAGGCGTCGCTACCCGTTGCCAGGGGCAACCGCCGTCCAATGAAACTGCGTATGGTTCGGCGACCCACAGACAGACAGACAGATTCGCGATTTTACATATATAGATTAGCAATTGCCAATTATTTAGCTATTTCGATTTACTATTTTTTTCGTAACATAACTTGTTCCAACGATGTATTATGTAACATGTATTATTTGGTTAATAAAAACTGCTGTGGATAGACATCCAGCAGTGGATAAAGCTGGCTGCTGCAAATGATGATCAGGACAAATCCTTACCAGATTTCGATATTGGTGGGTTGACGTTGATGTGGCAACGAGTTGCAAGCAGTTTGCGTGTTACATCTTTGCAGTACTATTCATGGTTTAGATTTATCACTTCTCCGCTAATGTTCGTCATGGCTATGTATAGGAATCGAACTCAAGTAGCCAGATTTATAGGACATGCGTTCGATAACATGAGTGAAAGATGGCAGCCTTCACGGGGTCCACTCTTTTAAGTGAAAAATCACGAGTCATGCCATCATCGACCTGGTGAATAAACATCAGTCAATGATCTCTCCGTCTCCAGAGCATCAACTCATCTAATAATGTAGCGACTAAACCTACAAGATGACTTCAAAATAACACCATAGGCTTGAAACTCCTCCTCAGTGCAAACAAGGCACAATGTTCGACTTTCCCTTTAGCACTGCTACATATCAGAGCCACTGCAATAGGTCTGTAATAAGTGGCTCCGACACCATAAGAACTTAAGTCGTTTATTAATAAATCTTCGGTACAGCTTGGTTGTCTCTCGTCTGTCTCTCTCACTATGGAATGATTGCCGCCCAAGCGGGTTCACTGCCCCGCGCCGCTGGCTGACGGCGTGCCAGAGGTCGCAAACGGCTTTTGATTCCTTACCCGTACCCGTACCCGGCCGCACCAGGGTCGCAAATGGGTACCCGTACCTGGCCGGGTACGGGTAGCCGGGTATCGGGTAGGGTACGGGTATCGGGTACCCGGTTGCGACCTCTGCGGCGTGCTAGGGAGCGGTGGAGCGGCTGGAGGTCGAGCCGCCACGTGGCCGATGGAGATAGTGCTCTCATTACATCACCCCCCCCCCCCCTCGTGATAAAATATCAATCATGAAGTGCAACACAATTAGACTAGAGAGAGGAACGGAACATGAACAGAACAATGCAATAGAACTAGCAGCACGCAATAAGGGGTCCAAACTGCTTCAGGAAAAACGAGACGTTTTAGAGCGTGTGTGCATAGCCGGCCCATCCGCCAAGGGCGGAAGAAGAACAGGAACTCTGGCCCGTGGAAGCAGATGTCCAGCAGGGGGCAACACCGCCGGATTCAGCACAGGTGGACCAGACGGAACAGTGGTCTCCTTCCCTCTCGACGTGTCCATCAGGGGCGCTGTGGGCGGAAAAGAAACAGACTCCGGAAGATCACCATGCACAGGAGCAGCAGGCCCTGTTGGCCACGTCAGGCACCGGGATTCCAGGATTTGGGGATGACGATGGCCCCACGGGAGCAACGAACGGTTTCAATCATGACGGGTGAACGTACCAACGCCGGCGAGCATGACGAACCCGGACACACTGAGGGCGAAACACCTCAACGATCGTAACGGGCCCCTGTCAGGGTTTGTGGAGCTTAGGAGAGGTGCCAATAGACACCTGTGGGCAATGAAGCCACCCACTGACCATGGCATGTCCGACTTAGACCTCCGTGCACAACACTCGTTCCGGGCCTGGGTCTTAGAAGTATTCACCCTGGCAGCCTCCCAAGCCTCGGAAACACGTCAAAGGGACTCGCGGATGTGATCCGGAAGAGTCGGCTTAGGAGACAGCACAGGGGAACTCAATTGGACATCAACAGGTGGCACGTTTTCTCGCCCATACATGAGGAAGAACGGCGAATATCCTGTAGAAGCGTGAAGCGCCATCCGGTAGGCAAAGAGGACCCTGGGTATCTGCAGATCCCAGTTGACCTATCGCTCATTAACGGTCTGGCACAACGTGGCGGACAAGGTACGATTTAGACGCTCGACCATACCATCCGTCTGAGGGTGGTAGGGAGACGTCGACATTTTCTTGGTACCCAGCATAGTGCAGACGTCATCCAACAATTTAGAAGTGAAATTTCTACCCTGATCGGTAAGCAACTTTTCCGGAGCCCCCTTATCCATCACATAGCCATTCACGACGGCGTCCACGATGGACAAAGCGGATTGATCTGGCAGGGGCCATGCCACTGGCCAACGGGAAAAATATTCGACGCCAACGAGAATACATTTATTACTCTTTGGTTCTTTCGGTAAGAACCAAAGAGTATGGATCCTCGCAGTCACGAAAACTTCAAATCTAGAAAACATTTATTCCCACGAGGTGTCACGGGGAATGGTCCCAACACATCCGATGATGAGGCTGTGTGGATGATGAGGCTGTGTGGATGGTGAGGCTGTGTGAATGGTAACCGATCCCGGAGGGTTTGAAACGCCAACCCTTCCTCGGGTCCCCATCTGAACTTCTGATTTTTACCCGTTCATACGTGCAGGGGCCTAGCGATGGTAGAAAAATGTGGAACGAAGCGACGGTAGTAGAACGCGAACCCAGCCCCCCCGTCACCACCACAGACCTTGCTCTGCCCCACCCCCCAACCCCCCACCTCTCCCTCCCCCCAGCCCCCCCGTCACCACCACAGACCTTGCTCTGCCCCACCCCCCAACCCCCACCCCCCAGCCCCCGTCACCACCACAGACCTTGCTCTGCCCCACCCCCCAACCCCCCACCTCTCCCTCGCCCCAGCCCCCCCGTCACTACCACAGACCTTGCTCTGCCCCACCCCCCAACCCCCCACCTCTCCCTCGCCCCAGCCCCCCCGTCACCACCACAGACCTTGCTCTGCCCCACCTCCCAACCCCCCACCTCTCCCTCCCCCCAGCCCCCCCGTCACCACCACAGACCTTGCTCTGCCCCACCCCCCAACCCCCCACCTCTCCCTCCCCCCAGCCCCCCCGTCACCACCACAGACCTTGCTCTGCCCCACCCCCCAACCCCCCACCTCTCCCTCCCCCCAGCCCCCCGTCACTACCACAGACCTTGCTCTGCCCCACCCCCCAACCCCCCACCTCTCCCTCCCCCCAGCCCCCCCGTCACCACCACAGACCTTGCTCTGCCCCACCTCCCAACCCCCCACCTCTCCCTCCCTCCAGCCCCCCCCCCCCGTCACCACCACAGACCTTGCTCTGCCCCACCCCCCAACCCCCCACCTCTCCCTCCCTCCAGCCCCCCCCCCCCCGTCACCACCACAGACCTTGCTCTGCCCCACCTCCCAACCCCCCACCTCTCCCTCCCTCCAGCCCCCCCCCCGTCACCACCACAGACCTTGCTCTGCCCCACCCCCCAACCCCCCACCTCTCCCTCCCCCCAGCCCCCCCCCCGTCACCACCACAAACCTTGCTCTGCCCCACCCCCCAACCCCCCACCTCTCCCTCCCTCCAGCCCCCCCGTCACCACCACAGACCTTGCTCTGCCCCACCCCCAACCCCCCACCTCCCCCCCCCCCGTCACCACCACAGACCTTGCTCTGCCCCACCCCCCCAACCCCCCACCTCTCCCTCCCCCCAGCCCCCCCCCCGTCACCACCACAGACCTTGCTCTGCCCCACCCCCCAACCCCCCACCTCTCCCTCCCCCCAGCCCCCCGTCACCACCACAGACCTTGCTCTGCCCCACCCCCCAACCCCCCACCTCTCCCTCGCCCCAGCCCCCCCGTCACCACCACAGACATTGCTCTGCCCCCCCCACTTCTCCCTCGCCCCAGCTCTCCCGTCACTGGTAAACAAAGTGCGCCCACTTCAAACATTGTCGTTTATTTGTAGAAACAATTCGAATCATTTAAAACGTGATAACATGTGCAATTTTAGTGCGAGTGGTTTATTCAGCAGTGCTTTAGTCAAAGGTAAGTGTTGCATAGTGGATAGTCCTACCATGAAAAATGAAACGAGTTATGACATGTCACACGTGTAAAAAAAAAATGTGGGATAGCCCGCACCTCCATAAACCCCGCAGGGTCTTGTTTTGTTTGTAAAAAGTGATATACCCCGTGGGTTATATGCGAGAAAATACGGTACATCGTTTCCATACTCGATTTATTCACAACTTCTAACAGATTATAGCACTCTCACGGAACAACTTTTTTACGCGGAGATAAAAATCTTGGCAACGTAAAACCGCGTATAGCCAATACAT